AAAATATGAATTATATATACATATAAATTTTCCAAAATGAACGTTTGATGAATGAACAAAAGTTTGAATATGAAAACTCTCCACAAACTTCATTTAAAAATCAAATCGACAATTTGTGCGTTTAGTTCAGAGTGTTTTGCTTAATTATAAAACATAATCAAATTAACTTAAATGAGAAGATTTTCAGGCCATAATTTTCTGCGGGTTTGTGATATATTGATTGAATTTTGATCGTGTAACATACAGAGTGTATGTTACACATAAAAGATAGAATTATAACATGAAAATGTTCAATTAAGTGTGACAACACAAAACAACTAACAACAAGATACATAAAATTAATCATAATAATCATATCATATAATAATTAATCATACAAAGATACTAACATTAATAATTGTAAACAATGTGAAATGTCTTACCAGTCTTTTACGTCTTCAGATGGCAGATATCCACTGTTCTCTGGTGTTCTACTCGTTTACTATTCTACTGTTTACTTCACCTCGTCTTCTTGGAAGCCACCATTCCAGCTTTAACTTGGCCTCTCTAGCTTTCCTTTTTTTACATGATTTCATTCTTGTTTCCAATACACATCTATTTTGTTTCACTAATGTTCGACTTTACCAGTCGCACTTAATCAACCGCAATATTTTTTTCCATTAAGCAAAGGCACATTTGAGACACATTTTAAATAATGTCGGGGAAAGTAATAAATACAAGAGCATTGCTTAAGTCCTTTTGAGATCGGTATACCGCTTGATCATTCCTACACATTTGCGTTTAATTTCTCTAAAATCTTTCCATATAGCTTTAAATAAATTTCAAGTTTGCAAACTTCGAGAACGCAATTTCAGAAAATTTACAAACTCTGTGTTTGTTCCCGTCTAATGAGCATATTTTCTAAAAAGTAATCCAAACGCATATTTAAAGTAAATGATGCCAAATTTTAATCGTCCATCGTCCATCCTTACATACGCTTTCCATTAGTGAATTATACATGTTATAGAGCCTAATTAATGTTATTTCAATTTATTTCCAGCTGCTTTGTGCTTTCTGTGGTTCTGCGTATACGGCTCCTATCACATATGGCTCAAAGACAAGATGACTGAAACTGAAGCTACAATAGTCTGACTTACCCTCAATCAAACGAAGCTATTTTTACAGCACTTAAGGCCGCTTAAGGACCCGCTAATAGTTTGTTTAACAAATCGTATATATAAGAAGTCGCAAAAATTGTGTCTATTAATGGAACATAAACTGTCGAATAAAATACCTCGAAATTACTGGGTATTTTTGCACTTAGCTATATTGCTTTACCAAACACTAGTCACATTGCAGATAATGAAAAATGCGTTTACAATAACAGAAAATGATTTTCACAGTAAATACAGATTTCAGTTATGATTCATAAGAAAATAAAGCTGGTGTGCATTAAACGGTAACACGAATTGAGTTAATGTGTCGAAATTAAACATCAGCTCAAATCTGAGCGGACTTTTGTAATTTAACTGTATTAATATAAAAAACATATAAAACAATGAAGCTAAAATTGACATTTCCCTATAAATAAAACCACACTTTTACGAGTAATTAAATAAACAAACGGTCGATCAGCAACAAAAAGTGCCTCTGGATCCACAAAGTGTAAGGCAGACCGAAAAGAGAAGGTTGCTAAAACAAAATGATCTCTCATTTAATAAAAACAGTTTAAAAATATGTTTGTGTGTGCAAGTTTTTACTAAAGTGCCGGTTAGAGTTTAATTACATAAATATTAGGACAAATATCAATATTATTTGAAAGCAAACAATTAAGCAGTGAACCCGATTGAGTACACGGAACATTTACAAAACACGTAAGCTGTAGAAGGCTCCAAGAAAACATTGCTTCTTTTGATAATGGGAATAACACATATTTTGCATAAATTCCTTTTAGCAAGTTTGATACACAATTAAATAAAACACATCAGTTTAATGTAATTTAATAAACACAAACATTGCACATATTCACATAGTGTGAATTGTGTAAAAGTATACAAAAACTAATTTTTTACAACTCTGCCTCCAAATGCGACTAATCCATTAACATGGATGTAGTAGAAAAATGGGTGATCAGCGTAAAATTCCTTCCGCTCTAGTGGATATAGAGAGTAGCCACTCAATCTTACTGAAAATTATAACAAAAGTATATTGAACTGCATTAGTTTCCGTTGTGTACCAATCAAATGCACATTCTTCATAGCCATTCGAACACTATATCTACCTCCATAATGTATTCAGTACATAAATGTTTCTATTATTAACGTTCTTTTAATGCTTCCAGAGTACTGGCTTGTAGTAGCTCCTAACCAGCTTTTTACAAGGATTATGATATAAGTTCTACAACAGTTTAATACATACTATTTATTACCTACTTAGTTGGTCCCTAAGTTCTATTTAAATTATCAGCCTTTTGTAAAAAAATACTAGCAGCAATGTTGACTATAACTTACGAATGTTTGACTTTGCCAATAAACAAAATCAATTCGTGAATTTTGATATAGTAAAAGAATGGATGGTCAGCTGTAAAATATACGACCGGAGTACTGTAAATAGGCGCCGAAAGTAGCAGTCCATATACTGAAAAGAAAACCGATTAAATTAGTGATTAAGCGCAGTCTGAGAGAAGACTGAGATTTACAAAAAATTGTTAAAACGTCTGTTACCTCTACATCTATCTTTCACTCCATCACCATAAGATTATCCATAAAATGTTTCAGTTTTATTAAAACTATGTATGTAGTTTTCCAAACTATGCAAAATGTTGTTAAATAAATGTACGGTGTTAACTACATCAGCGGTATTTAATATTTTATACAAAGCAACTTCAGTAGAGAGTAATTGAAAAATCCTCAATTATTGAATATTTGCATTTCCAAAAAAGTTTTTTATTTCAAAGTAGTTATTCAATTATTTTTTTATTATTTAGGAATTGATTGATATAGATAGACCATGGGTTGAGCAAACAAAATCTAATATAAGAAACACTGTAAACACGTTCCTTTAATAATAAAGGGCAAAAAATATGAATAACGGTCTCTTTGCAGCTTCCTTATTTTAGCACGAGTAAGAAAAGCCTCAAACTATCGCTAAAGATTCTAAATGTCGTATCAATGGTCAAACTATTATTAATATAATGCAGAAAAAATTGTTTTTTGAATTCATTTGTAAAGAATAAAAATTCTTTACACTTACCTGTTGTTTTTAAATAATCATTATACGTTCACTGGCTCTTACATTTATACCTTTAAAACCGCTTAGGTGTGGATTGGAACCAAAGTGGATTATTTCTGAGGTACAGAGCGATAAAAACGCAATTTGTTTTTAGTTTTTCAAAAATATTTCGAGTCAAGATGATATGTTTTTTAATTAATAACAGTTTAACTTAAAAATTAATTAGAAATATATAAATATTTGCTTTTAAATATTCTCTTAATTAACACTAAAAAGAAACAAATAAAACCGACCAATAGAATAACCCTTCGACTTACGCTACTTGAAAATTGCCCAGCAGCAACCGCGCTATTGAGTAATAAAGCAGTATCGGTTGTTTGTAGGCGTCGAATCTTTGTCCGACTTTCTACTTCACTCCTAGGTTTTTATGTTGCTTTAAGTTTGTTTCGGTTAGTTTGGTTTAGTTTTGGCTAGAAGCATGTCTTTTCAATTAACTTTCTATTGTTAATATATCCAAAAATAAATTGTTTAAACCCAAATATTTAAAACACGGCAGCTCAAACCAATTCTTAGCGGGAAGAGCTATCTTTTCCACGTGAAAACGTTGGTAGGTAAATTATTTTTGCAAAAGAAGCACAGAATATGAGTCAAAAAAGTTATATCCTTATCTTTGAACAATACAAGAGCTTTAAAAATATAGATTTGTGATAAATTGAAAGAAAACTTATCTTTTTCCCTTTTGCAGATCAAAAAATAATTGACCTTCCGACTGAGGTAACACAAATTTGTGTAGTTATTACAAAAAGACCGTCTATCCTAAAAACAAACGATTAGTACTATGAGCAGACAATATAAGCAATCTATTTACTTTTTAAAATTATATTTGTGAATGTATAATAATGTATATTGCCAATGGCTCTACATGCTTTCACAATATACCAAAATATTACCAAAGTCTACAAGCTATTAGGATAAAGAAACGAAGTAGAAAAATATATTTCTTATTAAAAATTAAAGAAAGGTTTGCAAGAGTCAAATAGGAAATAATATGTCTAGTTTGAGGAAACTCTTCCGGTCACAAGAACAACATCGCCTGTTCTAATGTAATAGAAGAAAGGACGGTCCGCTATAAAGAAATATTCTGCAGGAAGTGGCAAAGATTCTACCTCAATATGCACTAAAAATAAAAATATTTAGTTCATATAATATTACAATCGGGATAGTGTTAAAGCAATTTAGTACACTCTACTCACTTTCAAGAAATTCCACACCATAAAAGAGAAGTAATGAATAGCTGATAAGACAAAGTAAGAAAAAAGTAAATTGAATGAAATAAGTGAGAAAAAGGTTATAATGAATCACTAGATCCGCTTTTTGTATCGAACATCCATCCATTAATAATTTTCGCATTTGCTGAAAAAAACTATATGGATGTTGCACAATGCAACATTTGATAACGTTGACATGTTTATGTTCACAAGCCTTTGAAAAATGCCAAAAACTGAAGCTCAGCGTTTCTCCTGTCCACTTTAGAGTGTTCTAAAATAATCGAAATGCTTTATTTGTAGTAACAATTAGCCCCCAAAGTGGTCTCCTTCTTTCAGTTGCGAGAATATAGGTAATATAATATAGTTAATGGTAATAAAATAAGTAAATTAGCAGACTACTCTTCCACTAAAAAGAACAATTCCTGAATTGTGCACAAAAAAGTAGAACGGATGATCAGCATAGAAAAATTGTGGGTCACTGGATATTCTGTCCACTGCAAATACTGAAAGAGAAAATACGGCTACATTAAAGGCCTTTATTCAAATTGGAATTCAAGTCTCTACATGTTAATACATCGGTAACAGCCACCTTGAAGGAAAACAGTATTGAAAGTTATTTTACATACCATAGGCTCCTATAGTTGTTACACATTTATAGAATGCTAAGTTTATTAAAAACAGTATTCACATAAAGTAACAAAAATTCATGCATTTACCTACTTCCTATTTCTGAAATTGCAATATAAAACATGTCATTAATCTAAAAAATTATTAGTTCCTCCAAGTAGAGACCGAGATTTACGCCGAAAATGAACCAATAAAAAGAACGATGTTATTATATTTGATAAAGTATAAAAATCCCTGATCGGCAGTAAAAAAGGCTTGAATTGATGGACGTCCACTTATTGCCACAGCATACACTAAAAAAAAATTTGAAATCAACACATGTCGACTTTCAATGATTGTGAAGACCACAACCAACATGAATAATTGTAGACGCTCATTCTTCAGTAGCAAACTACCCTCAACAGATTAAGTGACTTCTTTTTTGGATGATATAATAATCAATGAACCGAATGACAATTAATGAACAGTAGGCGGTATTTACAGTTAGTCACTTAGTGGAAAGTACATGCATTATTCAAACACGAAGATGTAAAATTTATATGCATACTACCTAAGTATATGTGTTAATTTTCTAAGATGAAGATAATTCGATTTTACGGAATATGGTTCTGAAGAACAATAGGCTGCTTTAAATACTGCTTGCTAATATCTAAGTTCTAATAAACATTTACTAATTTATTTACTGGTTTCAAATACCGCGTTTAAAAGTACATATGTACAATATTTGCAGTTAACTGTAATTTATGATTGTTGATGTATTTTTCTCCTAAGTATATGAAACTACATTGTCAATTTTTTCAGTCTTCCTAGTAAAATAGCACACTGTTTTTTCATTTTTCTTTAAATTTTTTTTATTATTATTTATTATTTTTTTCATTTATTCATCTCCAAAAAAGAGTACGTAACCAAGTTTAGGGCCCACGTTGGCAGTTTTACTGCCTAAATTGAGTTTGAAGCGTAATGCACATAGTTAATAAATAATAGAAAAGAACCACTTTTTTGTACTTTTTATTGCTTCCAAATGCATTTATATTTTTTTGCATTCTGCTATAAATTACAACATAAACATATTATCTTGATTTACTGCTTCTGAAAAAATGTGCTGTTAAACCATCTTAGCCTTCTTTACTTACTCTACATCATGAGTTAATAGTTTAAACTTCTTTACTAGAAATTTAAACTGATAACTCATGATGAAGCTTTGAGGAAAGTTTGGTGAAGCTTTGAGCTTAACAACAGTGATACATTCTTAACTTTTTATTTTTATTATATTCTTAATTTCTGTTGGTTTTCATTTTCATTCTTCTCATTCTGAGTTCTGTTGGTGTTTGTTCGTCTTTATTTTGATTATTGTTTAAGTGTTTGCGATTGAAATTTTAGGTAAATAAGTAGGTAACAGGTCTTAATAAGAAAGAAAGTTTATTTAATTTATTGAATTCAACGATTTACAGAGCTACTATTTTTATTATTATTAAAATAATATAGTCCATAGTTGATAGTGTGGGTCTTTCTCCAGAAACTTAGGAGTAATCGATGGTAGACTCCCCTTTTTCTTTCATTTTTGCTCTTAAAAAACCAATGGCTTTTGGAACTTAACTATTTACCTATAAAGTCTAAAAACTAATATTGATGATGGATTTCACTATTTATTTGCCAATAATCGTAGTTTTTATATTTATTAGATAGTAGCACTACAGGAGGATGACACTTAATTATACAAATGCTTTCTTATAGTTGCTCAATTTAAGTAAAACAAAGTTTTTGCATGTTTTGTTTGATAGTTCTGAGATACCTGCCTAAATTAATAACTCGGACGCCATGTATTTTGTATGAATCTAAATATTAATTTTTTGCATCTGAAAAGTGATTTTTAATTATCTACTTCACTTTGATTATTTATTTTTAACTGATTTCACTTGTTAGTATTGTTCCGATCGCATACCCTGAAGAAAAAGGAGAATTCCTAGATAACGTAAAAAGGTAAAAAAACAGCAAACATATTAGCAATTCTTTTAATTCGAAGACACCGTTAACTTTTTAGTGCAAAACTGACCTTTTATTTTTATTAATTTTACCTTTTAATAATTTCTCTATTATTTTAATTGTAAAGTTTATATAAATTTGATATTCTTATGGTTTTCCGTAGGGCAGCTAAGTTTTCTTCAGCTTGTATGTACTATCATTATATGCTCAAATTGTAATTTCTGTATCATTGCAAAGCCCAAAATTTTCTTAGAGAAACGTCGGGATTGTATAATTCATCATTGTATCTTTTAATGAATAAATTCGCTTTATTTTAACTTAAAAAATCTTGCATATTGGATTTTCTTACACCTTCGTATTTCTTTATTTGTGGGTGCGTCAAAACAAACTTTGTCTCTGTTGAGAAAATTCTCTGTTTTTTTAATTACAAGATTGGTAAAATTTCCATTTTCTCAACTAGATTATTGTCATTGTATACTCAAATTGTAAATTGTCTATTTTGCCCTGTACCTTTCAATTGCGGAAGCATTCTTTTATTGTATTAATTCAGTCTCAAGTCCATGTCCTCTTTATTCTTTACTTGCGGCAACGTTATTTTATTTTATAAATGTTTTCACTGTATAATTTCATTTTTCATTCTACCTTTCAGCAAATTCTTAATAATCTTAATGGCAAAATTTGTGTAAATTTAAATTTCTTATGGCTTTGTGCGGACTGGTCGAGATTTCTTGATTCTTTCGCGGAAGTGGCCATTTTTTTGGAAAAACTTTGTCATTATATACTTAGTTGGTACTTCTCTATTCATTTGCTTTTTGCAATTGCATTAATTTCAGTTTCCGTTTAATGATTGTGTATGTATTTATAATTATAAACTCGCCATTTTTCTGTATAAATATTTTATTCTATGGAGACAGTAAATTTAATGTTGCCAGGAAATTAAACCAACCATTTTGCTACTAATAAACACAAAACACAAAAAAACAATCCAAATCTTAATCCAAATTTAATTTCAATAAATGCAACTTCATACGCGATTTTATGTTTATTTTGCCTACATAATTTTATATTTTATCCATATGAATCTCCATATTTCACCAAAATTATTTGAAATATCTAATTATTTCCTCGCGAGATAAAGCCTTGAATAATGTTGGCCAACATGTTTGCGTAATTTGTTAAAGAACCGAAAATTCAGTGTTCAATGTATGTATTTCATAAAGAACCACTAAGTTTAATGTGCAGTAATGTGTACAAATACTCCAACAATGTATGTAGTTTAACAGACAAAATTTTCTCTGTTGTTCACACATGCAAGAAATATGTATATCCAATCTATAACAAAAAATTAAACTCTTCCACAACAGTCAGGTTTTAAAGAGTCTTTCCAGTGAAGTTTTTTATTTAATAACTTTAGTAGGTACTGAGATGAAAAATTATTTATTCCACTGAGACTTCGTAAAACCGCTCGACTCCCAATGTTTTTCTAAATCCAGCATTGGAAACTATCTGCAAGAAAGTATACCACTCTAACCAAAATATTTCAGCTCTGCAAACAAACACATTTAATTCTTCTTAGCCTCTTTAAATCATTAAACAGTCAAGGGCGATACATAGTAACTAAAATAAGTCTTCCAATAAATATTTGATTGCATTATAGATAATTCAGCATTAAAACATTAACATCTCACTAGACACATTAACATTAAGTAGTTAATTTACCACAAAACAATATCACTTCGTGATAAGTTATAAAATATGCAAAAGAATGATTGGCGATAAATAAGGTATTCGATCCAATAGTAGCAGATTTCTTAGATATCACTAGAAAAAAAAGAATGTAATAAATACTAGAGTTGATACATCAAGTTATAAAAACATTTTTGGTGCAGAAAATAATATAATAAATTACCAAACTAATACCGTGCATGTACATTGTACAGCCACAACCCTGCTTAAAGCAAAATGTACACTTCCTTCCAATAAAAATAATTTTTAGAATAATTCACTAACTAGACAAGAGTGTTGTTACTTACGTGTAAATTTTCAAATTTTACTTACCAGTATCGAAAATTGTGAATTTTTGTGAAAACGTGAGCTACCGACACCCAATAATCCACACTAGTGCACTGGTGCAATTTGCAAATTGCGACTTTTACACCCGAAACCAAAAACAAAATTGCCACTAAAACCTTGCGCCACTACCGTTAACAAATCTTGAGAACCGATTTACAACACAAAAAATTGGTGCTTTCCTAGTATTAAAAATCATGTATAAGAAAATCGAAATTTAGATAATGAATCTCTCTTGTAAAGTCGGAAAAAAATGCCGTGTTAGAGTTCGGTGAGTTTCTTGCATAATATTCTAAGTATAACGTCTATTCTGCAGTCACGTTCAAATTCAAGGGCCAAATTTACATGAGTGAAATAACAGAATGCAAATGGTGAAAACAGTAGGAAATAAGATTCAACCCCTCTTAGTCAAACCACCAGGTCTACAGATTAAGCAATAGTTAGTGGCGTTAGCTGCAGATCAGTGCGTAACAAAGTGCAAATTGTAAAAGTTTAGAAACAATCAAAAATATTTTGCATCAGCTTTTAGTAAGTAAAAGTACCAATCAATGCGAAAGAAGCAGATTAAACGAAATGATTTCTGGCAATGTGCGTTTCAACAAAAGCTGCAACACTTAATTATGCTACTTAATAAGAAAAAAAAACAAAGATAGGAAAACACTCTAAATGCAACGTAATTCTGTTCGGTGCTTGCAGGTTTTGTCAAAAAACTCTTACAGAAAATTGAAATTGTGCATATTCATTATAGATTGCGAAGTATTCAAACAAGTAAGTAATAGAAGCTAGAAATGCTGAAAATGTTACTTACATGCAGTAGTAGCAGCAGCTTCAGTTCCAGTGGTGGTCACGTTAATAAACGCTTTCTGAAGAACTTCTGAAACCATCAACGGTTCAGAGGCAATTCCGCTAAGATCAGCACTCTCTGAGAAGATAGTAGCGAGGCCCAACTGTAAACAATAAATTTGTATACTTTTACAGTTTGGAATGGATATTTGAAGTTAAAAACTAAAAAAAAAATCCACTCAGTACGTTTTGTACTTTAGTACAGTGTTATTACTGAAACTGGTGCGGTTTTAAGGCGGTGATTTGAAGCCACCTCCTTCTGAAGCTACAAGGCACTTGTGGGCGTTGTAGCTTCAGAAGAAAAAATCCCCAAAAATTCAACAACATATAAATTTTTGAATTTGTTTATAGAAAAACTGCTGTTTTTTAGGAGCGTTGGTTTGTCTGGTTGTATTGGGAAGCCAATTTTCATAAATTTGTTACAAATAAACAGAAGCCGATAGGACGGACTTTTGCCTCATTTTGTAGAAAGAAACGCTACTCTATAAATGTAGTGAGTTCGCCTTAAAGCGTTCAGTTTGGTGAATTTACACGGTACTTCAATATTAATGAAGTTGAATATTCATTCCACTCACGGCGCTAAATATTTAGTTTTAATATCGACTTTTATTGCACCTACCATTTCGGGTCAACTATTTCAAAATTTTCTATATATTTTCCGGTATGAACTCTATACATTTTTCATTGCCAAAGAAATTCTAAAAATGATGTAACATATTAGTTTATATGTTCTTATTAGTTATAAGCAGCTTCCACCGAAGTTAATAAAGTGTAACAATTTTTCTCAGCATTTTATTATCCATATTATTATTATCATTTTCAGTACAGTTTTTCTTACTTGTCAACAATCTTCATGTATATAAATTCGACCTTGGTACTTTCGGCTGAAGTCACTTTAAATAATTCGACAGTTTTGCGCGAATCGAAGATTTTAGTAATTTTGAGCCGACCAAAACACTTTTGAAAAAAATATCCTGGTAGGATATAGAAACTTTCTATAAATCAAAGAGTCTGAATCTGTTCAGAATACTCACGTTTTTCAACAACGGTGTCAAATTCAACTCTGTTTCAGTTAAAAATGTGGGCAATTTAACTGATACGTAAAGTTCCTGGTAGTTTTGGGGCTGGAACACAGCTTGTAAGTTTCTTTCCAGAGCTGCCAGGCCCTCGACTTTGTTGGGAAGTACTACAGTCATGGAAACATTACCACCCTCATATGGTAGTTCAATAAATTTGGCATCGAGATCTGCAGATTCGGCGTATCTGAAAAAATAATAAGTATTTTTTTAATCATCTGTACTAAAGACTAGACAGGAAAAATACTTTTTAGAACACAACTGTAATAGAGAGAGATTGACCGATAAATAAATCTTTAAACATTAAAAATAATATACCAATCGTCGTGGCTATTTGATAAATAAAAATTATGATAAAAACATGCTTACTTGAATGTATCTTCGGTGAACATCATATCGACTGTTGTACGTTCGGTGGCACTAACATAGAAGTCACTCTTAGTAACGCTAGGTACGAAAGGATTGGACCATTTTCCTGAAAGCGAATGCATTTTTGTAGAAAATTTTGTAGTTGGAAAATATTTTGGCTTCGTCAACTGTCGTTTTATTATCTATCTATCGTCAAAAAAACATTTCTACGTCGAAAGCCATTAAATGAAATTAAATACGAATTCAAATCCTTTTAAAATAATACAAAAAGACACATTTGAATATTAGCAATTTTACACAAAAACCAGCCTGATTGTAAAAATAATAATCAGCCTTATCGCAAATGCACTATTAAATTCTATAGTTATTTCGTACGAATATTAACCTACGTAATGCAACAATCGTTGACAAATTAGCGTTTTAATCGATTCACAACTTGCCAAATCTAGAAGAAACATACCTTTGAAATGAAGAGCATTGATCAATACAAGTTGAACATCATCGAGACTTTCGGGTTTAACCAAGTTTTGGATTTTGTTATTTGTGCGCTCTTCAACCCATTGATTAATTCGATTGGCCGTTTCAGTTGTCTGAAATTAATTGGCAAATAGATTTATTCATTTATAAACCTATCTCAGATTTACCTTGGTAAAGTCAACATTTTCGGTAGCAGCATCGTACGTGCTCACAGCAAGTTTCTTGTATGAATCCAATATTGAAAAATTGCTATTAATGTACAATTTGTTGGCAGTGGTCAAACGAAGGTTTTCATTAGATGATTTCAACAATGGAAGGAATAGCCTGAAAATGTACAATAATATAATTTGTATTAATTTTATTTTTCTTTGGCTTATTTGTACAATAAAAAAATCTAGAGTGGAAAAGCAATTGAAGTCAGTTTGTCGTTTCAGAAGCATGTAAACTTTATTAAATAAATCATAATTTAAAAAAGACAAATAAAGTTGGTTGTTTTTTTATTAAACTACACGAAAAGTGTATTAAAATATCTACATATTTTGTATTTGTATCTAGAAATAAATGAATAACTACGGAAAGCGAGAAAGCAAGTGGGTTTGAGACAAAACATTTTTTTCTAATAAAAAGCCAACAAGTTTTTGACTGATAAACTGACCTTAAAACTGATATAAACAGTTAAACATGTAATAAATAAACGAACATAAAAACTGCAGCAGTAAATAATTTTCAATCTTTTGCAGCTGCTTCTTATTCTGTCACAACCTTTAAAACATTTTTACAGATACATTTTTAAATCACGATGTTGTAGTTTAGTGATTATTTAATATTATTTAAAATGAACACATAAATCAATTTGTGTTTTATTTAAATTCCTATACACAATACACGACTCTGATTTTTTAAGTCATTAAATCGTTGACTAATCAATAACTTGATGTGAAAAACTTTTAAAATATATTGAAAAAACCAACAAATTAATATTTTAATTTGAAGTTTAATTTTTTCTTACTTGAGAGCTTCTTCAGTGACTTCTTCGCTTGGAAGATCGACGCCAGTTGAGAATTCACTGGCTGTTTTTCCTTTAGCTCCAGCGCGGGTGAGAGCCAATATCACCTCAACTGAGAACGGACTGAAGACGAAATTTTTGCCTATATTTGCTTTGAGAATTTCCTGTAACAATAAGGCGTATAAGTATAAAGGATAAACAGCTACCAAACAAAACAATATATTAATGAAACCACTAGGTTCAAAGATTTAATTAAAATTATAATTTTCCCGAAAAATAGGTCGCTTTATACAGACAGTACTTAACTTTTTTTAAATAATTATACGTGCTGTATCTAAAGAAATGACTAAATTTTACTCAAAATTGAATAACATTACGGAAGTTGTACCTGATTAAATATTCAGTAGATTGAGAAAACGGCAAATAGTACGATGGCATTAGCATCTGATGGTAATTGCATTCAAGAATTTATCAGCGCATTAATGCGTGTTGCAAATGCCTCTCCAAAATGGCATCAAGCCAATCAAATAGTAAAATTTACCGGAATTTCTAATCTGGAAGGTTTATGCTTGTTATTCAATCATCTAATTGAAAAACTTGAATTTCCTTATAAACGCATCTCAACCGCAACATTAATGTAAAACAAGCGCAGGATTAGTTACTGCTACATAATAATTAAATAATGGACTTTTTTTCTAATGTAAGGAATATCTTCAACAACTAGGAAACTAAGTGAATATATATATATATATATATTGTTGTATTACGAAATAAGTATTAAATATTTTAAAAGCATTGACCAATCATAGAAATAAGGAATAGAAAGTGCTTTATCTGTTGGCAATAGCACGATAGCCGTGGATTCTTGGAATGGACGTAAATAATGGTCTTAAATTCACATGTTCATGCGTACATTAGTGCAAGACTGGTTTGGATAAAATTACTATTTTCAAACAGCATCCACCAATAAAATAAACTGATATGTCTCTGTATATCTAGTGGGTTGTAATTATTCCCGATAGAATTTTCTTCACGTGTATGTTAAACGATTTGTGACTATTTATTATTTTTAGTTGGTGGCAAAATTTCAAAATTACCCGGTTTACATATTCAACTTGATCAACAAAATAACTATTGTCTGGACCGATATTGGGCTTGGCGCTGCATCAAATTGTCCAAATTTAAACTACACATAAACTAAAACTTTTTTATGGCGTGCTGAAAGCCTGGTACCAATAGCTCAAGTTATTGCTCAGAAAAAGAGCTTAGAAAAGCACTATGTGAAAATGCAAAACTATGCAGAATCAAATCACATTGGTTAATAAGTCATAAAATTGAAACTGACAAGGTTAATAGCCAAGAATTCGCCAGTTAATTAAAATTGGAAAAACATGTACAAAGAGTAATTTTTATGTAAGGAACGGCTAATCAATTGAACACTGCAACAAAGGATCATCAATGGAAAAAGCATTAAGTAGAAATGTTTTGGTATGTTTATTGACTTTCTACATCTAAGATTAAGATAATTCCATAAAAGTCTTGTAGGTCGCGCTATAAAAAATGTTGAGAAAAATTTACGGCAAAAATGGCTTATTGGTATCATTACAGCGTTGACCAATAATGTTGTTAATTACTCGATCATACGTGATATACTTTCACTGACTTATAAAAGAAGGAAAACTGCGAAAATTTGTACTTATTGCAACTTGGCTAACATCTAGTGTGGGTAGTTCTTTTGCATACTTTTCCGAGTGATATCGTTTTAGTTCAACAGCATTGCGAAGTGAATATGGTACAGCCCCATCAAAATCAATTATTTACTTAAATAATTTGTCGCTGTAAATTTTTTCGCCTTCTTCAGATATACTGAGGCTCCAGCGACGCAAGGTAGGCAAATGACTTCCTATTCGCTCAAATCGATCAACTGAAATATTCTGAGTCTGATGTTTAGGTAACAAAATTTAATAATAATATATATAATATAAACCGATGCAAAAACAAGCCCGAACTTTTTTTGACTTTTTTTGCAAATTTGTCTTATCCAAAAGTTAATAGTTTTCGAAGTACACTGTGGCAAAGTGTAAATAAAATTTTCGTTTTTTCATAAATTCTTACTTAAATAAAGTTATGAAGCCTTGGTTTTACTAAGCACCAAATTATGTGACGTGTTTGGAGGTTTTTTAGATCGAGGAAAGCAAATTTTCTTTTAGTTAGTTTTGGAAGTTTCTAGATAGTGCTAGCTGCAATAGTCATTTAACCCGTTAGAAATTTTTTGGGTTTCAAAATATTTCCTTTTCATTGCTTTATTTTTATTATTCTAAGCAAAAAGCTGCACTTGGTTTAAGTCGATATCTCTAATCGTTTTCGAGATATTTCACATTGAACCCTCCAGTGAATTTTTGAACTATTTAACTCAAATCGGATCTCAAAATAAAAGAAATATTTTCGTAAAATTTTCAATAAAACATTAAACAGTATTTTTAAATTCAGCAAAGTCTTTGAATATTATTATTTCATAATCATTTTTCAAACTGAACTCGTTTAACTTCAATAGAGTTATTAATCGTTTAAACAAATGATTGTCGCATTGAAAAAAAAATGTTGTTTCGGAAGTATTCTGCAGCATTTCAAATTTTGTGCATAAACGCAAACCACATCGCGTATTTCTTCATTCGGAAATAAGTTCTGTAGGGGCATTGAATTTAATAGTAGATTATACAATAACAAAAAAAAATTTTGAAAAAGGAATTTAGAATTATCAAAAATGCCTAAAGTATATCGGCTCTTTTGAACCGATGCTTTCAAATTCAGTGTCGCCTTTTGAGGAATTGTGGATTTTTCATAAATAAATTGAACCAAATCAGTTTAATATTTAACAACTAAATAAAGAAAATGTATATGATGATAACAGAAAAGAAATTTTTTTCATAGCCCAGTGTAAAAATACCAGCTTACGCCAATATTAATGATCCAATTTGAGCTTCAAAACAAAATAATTGAAAAAATCACTAGAGGTTTTAATTTGAAATATCTCGAAAACGGGAAGAGATATCGACTTGAATCAAGTACACATTTTTTGCTTCGGAAATATCGGATATTGCCAACAACATAGCGATATTTGAGATCTGAAAAAATTCTGATATTTGAAAAGGCTCCAGACTATTGCAGCTAGCACCCTATTACAACCTAAGCAATTTGTATTCTTCGGTCTAAACAACCTAAACGTAAAATTTTTTGCAGTAGTAAAGAAAACCTATTTTTATCAGCTTACTATCAAAATGGAAGTGCATCAACATTATATAAATTTGTTCTTCTCTGGTGGGGAAAATAGCTCCTTCTTTTGCTTAATCTACATTATTTTTCTACGTTTTCCTTAAGTAATAATCAGTAAAAGCAGCTAAATCAAAAGTTTGTCGACTTATTTTTAACGGTTTTTAATTTTTTTCAAATAATATTTAGTTTCATTACTGAAGCGACAAAATTACTGGAAAAATTTATTGACTGATTCCACAGTGGTAAATTGTGGGTATTTAATTCAGACTCTTAAGTTTTTTATGTGTTATTTGCAAGCTGAGCTCAGCTAATGAGACCTTACAGGTTCGAAACGGGTTTTGGAAGTACCATTACATGTGACTTAGTCGAAAATCTGTATTTGTACCACGAAAAACTTGTACTTTTTAATTAAAGTTTCTAAAGCTTACTTTTCGGTCAATAAAAGTAGCAGACACATGGAGGTATCTTGCGAGAGGGTTGCTGGAATCGCCCTCAGTCCATCACCTTCTTTGTTTAAAAAAATAACTTTGTCATGTAATAAATCCGATAAATTTATTCTGCCTAGCTTTTGTTAAGGAAAAACAGAAATTCATCAATAAAGTTAACAATGCTTTTATCAAAATAAAAGCCACCCAAAACCATTAGGAATGAATTGAATAAATCTTATCAAAAAGTATGGATATGTTTAAATTCCAGTTTGTGCTTGGTGTTCAATGTGTATTTAGAAACTTTAAATGCAGCGCTATTTAAAATCAAGCAAGTTCTGTTAAAATTTGGTAAAAGTGAGCAATTTATTAAAACAAAAGTATATGGAAAAGAAGACTAAGTGAGGTAAATATAAATATATTTAAAAACAGTTAACGGAAAAAGGGTTGTCCAAGGCAAACCGCTACCGAGCTTTTTTCATTAGAAAGAAACCGCTTGTCAACGTGAGTTGTAAATATAAAATCTGTATTAAATCTAATATTTCTATAAAATATTAACTGCTGCTACAAAAAACTGAATCATCCTGTTTTATTATTAATATTTCTTCAATTCTTCTTGCAATTTTTCTACGGTACCGCTTTAAATTTAACTTTTAATTAAACAATATTCATTCATTCGCCTATTATTTTCTATACTTTCAACCAATACTTTGTGAATTTCTGCCATTTTATTGGCATTTTTTCAGAATTTTCAACACCCAGTGATAATTCTGCATAGGTTTCCCGGCATGAATATGCAATTAGATCTTGGTATTAACATTTTAATGTTAACATGCACTTACCAAACAAGTTTTCATGCGTTAAAAAAAACGTAAAAATCCGCAACCATTATCAATGTCAACGACAAATCAAGATAAAAATGAAACATACAAAGATATAAACGGTGAAGAATTTGCATATAAATATTTTTTACTCTTACTGGTTTTGCATAAAATAAGAATTTTTCGTTAAAATGGATACATAACTTGTATTAGTAAATAGTATATTTTAATGTCTAAACGCAGTAAAGCCGGTACAGTCTGTTACGCAAACGGGTAATTTATACACTAAGCTAAATAACTAAGAATGTAAAACTCACAAAAATTATTCGGATATCTTGATGATTTAAAAAATATGAAAGAAAATATACTTTTGCATTATTAACCAAGTATCGCTGATTTAATTACTGCAAAAGTAACTGAAATAATTGAATTGTGGACGTTTCAAAATAAACCCATTTAGGTTGAATATTCCGCATGGACAAACCTTTAAAACTACCAATCAAAGTAAATTAGTAAATGCGGTATGTGAAGGTTGGTGTACTCTGGCTGAACCATTTTTCCACGCGATTCATGTTTGATCAACAACCAACAAGGACATAAATATTATTGACTACAGAAATGCAGCTTAAATGAAGCAAAAAAAACGTATAAAAACACTTTTAGAATAATTTTGAAAGTTTTTATAAAGTATCTAAGAAGCCGTTACAGATCTTCAGTAGCAATGTAGTTTAGGGTGATGATTTTTAGTCTCGTTAATGTTTTTATTAATTCAGTTTCAATGACACGGACCAGTAGAACAATGTTCTTAATTGGATTTTCTGTTAGAAAAAGTACCGGTTTTTCATGTAAAATGTAGCACAGTTTTGCACGTGAAAATTTTTAATTGAATGAAAACGCCACTGCATTAGTGTGTTTACTGTAGCGAAATCATAACAGTTTTGCAACAGTTTGAACGAATCAACTATTTTTATTGCCTTCAACAACGTCGTTAAATGGCAACAAAGGCGTAAAAATGTGTAATTTTAACCATACCATTTGAGTCAAAAATAAAACGAATTCAAGCTGGTTCAATTTATTGTTCATTATCGCCTTAATATTTCTTTTTGATTTTTTGCGCTTAGTTAAACGGCGGATTTAAAGACGCGATATATATAAAATTGGGACTCTATATACAGCGTGTTCGTGGAAAGTGCAAAAGGGGGTAAAAAAAATCAGTCGAATGTCTCAAGACTTTTACTGCATTTTGCAAAGACCGGAAATTGCGCTTTCTAGAGTTTATGACGCAATAGAAAGCAGATTTAATTTTTTTAACCGCAAAAACTCCCTATATAGCACACCAGTTAACAATAAGTTTAAGAGAAACCAAAACTAAATTCAACTTTCCAGGCTCTCTTCTGCATCTCCGAAATCGGCCACTTTTGGACTAAGTCAAGTTTGTTAAATCAATATATTTTGGGCTTAGAAAAGTGTTACCACACATTTTTCCTTACCTTTCGGGAAGAGTTTGTATATATTTAAGATTATGCTATGAGTTGTGTGAAAGTTTCCATCTATAAGAATTTAAAAAAAATGTTCTTTGACACCAAGTCGACTGGCACAACTTCGATTTTTTTAGTTTGTAATTTTCACCTTTAAACCCTGAAAATCATTGTATCTAATAAGGATGATGAATGAGGTTTTAGTCAGTATGAAAATTGAGACGCTGTATGAAAGCCAGTAAAGGTTTTGGAAAGATTCGACAAAACTGATTTTTTTTCATGACAAACAAAATTATTGAATTGATGAGCAATTAAAATTTATTTTGAACGGACAATTAGTCATGTCCCGACATGTAATACGGAAAGTATAACCAGTGTATTTAAGAAAAAGTGATGTCAAAACCACTCTACCTATACAATAAGTTCCGCTCCCTGAAGCAGCTTTATAGAAAGTTAAAGTTTAAAAATTCCAAATTAATAGAAATAATTTCCAACCGGCCACTTTTGCAATAGTAATTAATTAGTGCATCCGAAACAAAAAAAAACCAAAAATAAAAAAATATCCATTCTTAGTTTAGTTTGCTATAGAATGCAAACGTTTGTGATGTTTCTTATTGATACTGATTGGTATTTTCAGATACTAATATGATTTTACGTTGGATTCCATTCTTCGCCTGTTTAAGTCTAAGTGTCTTAACAGAAGCTTTAAAGCTCCAGAAATATTTAGAATGGAATATTCTGGACTTTCAGTTTCCAACCGATAACGACAGAGTTAAAAATATAGTCACTGGAAGATATAGGCCGGAAAACGCCTTGCCTGTTGGGATAGAGATTTGGAACGATAAACTGTTCGTCACTGTACCTAGATGGAAAGCAGGTCGGTATCAAAAAAACAAAAAATTTGAAACTTTTAGCAGATGAAGCAGACCAGACTATACAAGATGTTTCAAATTTAGTACATTAAATATTTTCGCAGGTATCCCGTCAACATTGAATTTTGTACCATTATTTTCCACAATAAAAAATCCACCTTTGATTCCGTACCCCAATTTGGAGGCCAATGAATTGGGTAATTGTGAAAATGGGTTAAGCACAGTGTACCGAATTCATGTTGATGACGTAAGTCGGTCAAATACACAATTTAAATTGTTTATAACAAATTAATTCAAACTTGCTCTTATGTTTCAGTGCGACCGATTATGGGTGTTGGATACCGGCACATTTGGAATCGGAAATACCACACAAAATCCCTGTCCATACGCTCTGAACATTTTTGATTTGCAAACCAACACTAGAATTCACAGGTACTTAAATCAGAATTAAAACTAATAGAAAACTGAACGAAAAAAATTGGTATTATTTTTACGCGATGATCAAAACAGTAACAGTAAACTGGTAAATTTTTGGGCACTTGGAGACCAATTTCAACTACGAAATTGCTGTAAATTTCAAAAATGTAAACTTTAGAGCTGTAGTATGAAAATTTGCAATATCAGTTAATAGTAAAAGATACTCTTAAGCTAATTCATTCAGTTGATATCACACAGCTGGTTGCTTCATTCATTTTTTTTATTTCGACTGATTTGTAGGTATCAATTTCGAACAGAAGACACCAATAGCAGGACATTTATTGCAAATATTGCTGTCGAAGTGGGACCAACGTGCGATGATGCGTTTGCCTACTTCAGCGATGAATTGGGATATGGTCTGATCGCCTACTCTTTGAAAGAAGACACAAGTTGGCGATTTGAGCACAGTTTCTTCTTTCCAGATCCACTCAAAGGTATTATCATGCAGAAGTTTACTGCCATATAATTTCCCAACTGGTGTGAATTTTAGGAGACTTTAACATAGATAACCTGAACTTTCAATGGTACGATGAAGGAATATTTGGAATGAGTCTAACTCCCGTTTTGGAAAACGGATTTAGAGTGCTTCATTTCAGCCCTTTGGCCAGTAACAGGGAGTTCTCTGTATCCACAGAAATTCTGCGAAATTCTTCCAAAACCGAAGACAGTTATCATGATTTTTATTACTCAGAGGAAAGAGGTAATAATAGTCGAGTTAAAGTTTAAAGGTCCTTTCAGTTTTACGTTCAGTATCAGTTTCAGTTTTTCCGTCATTTTTTTGTATTTAAACATTCAAAACTGATTAAAAGGGTCTTAACACCAGACGAACTGCTAATCTGAAAGTGATCCACCGATTCGCAATTCCAATATTTGATTAAAACATCAAGAAGTGTGAAAACCCGCATAATCAGCTTAATTATAAATTCCAAACACGTTAGCAATGTTGTGAGCAAGCAAACATTCCCGTAAAAACAGCCGCATATCAAACAGACAAAAATATACGATAATAAAATTCTTTTAAGGCCCTGACACTCACACTACCTCGAGACTAATGACTCGTGAAGGTGTCCAATTTTTCAACTTAATCGACCAAAACGCTATTGGTTGTTGGAATTACAGAAAACCATACAATACCAACAATATCGCTATTGTAGATCGAAATGACCAAGAATTAATTTTCCCAGCGGATGTCAAGGTAAGACTGAGAATACCGTTAAAAGACAAAAAATATTTTTTGCCATTTTAGGTAGATCGCAACAACTACTTATGGGTGATGTCCGATCGAATGCCAAAATTCCTGCTATCAACCCTCGACTATACAGAGTCGAACTTTAGAGTCTTTTTTGCGCCAGTTGAGACACTGATCAAGGGCAGTGTATGTGAGATCCAAAGACCGATAGAAAACAATCAACAGGCCATTGGATTAAATAATATACCAGTACCGAATTGTAAATTCAATCGATTGTTTTGCAATAGACAGTCCGAGTATTTGTCGCTCTTTAATGAAGAAGTCTTTTCAGCAGGATAATGAAAACCTTTTCTCCGCAGTGTTTTTGCAGTTTTTATAGAAAAGTTATAAAATTGCTTCTAAAATACCTCAAAGTATATCCATGTTAGTAACAAAACAGATACCTCTTAGTCACCTTGCCGTAAAAATTATATCTACATATTAAAGTTTTTAACATTCACTATTAAAATCAACTTTTTTCGTTCCATATCTCATAATTAGTCAATTTTCTATGTACCTATTTGATGTCGAATAAACAGGGTGTTTGGTAAATTTGTGCTATTATTGATGGAGGTTGTATACGTATGTAATTTTTTGTATATTTTCTTGATATACCATCTTATGAAAACCCTTAACTTTCGATCTAGAAAATATAACACTGTTACTGAGATGAACCAATTTAATAAAACTTGGGAAACTAAAATTTTAAAGGCTTTGAGAGCGAACAACAATAAGATTTACTGCAAAGTAATAATACTATTTGCCTATAATTTTGTATTTCTGCTTGTCTTACTGTTCAGGTGTTCTTAATGCAAACAGTAGTTTGCACAGTATGTTCAGTAGTCCCGTTCCTCCCATTTTGATATTTTCAATCCTAATTTAGCTATCTGGCCATTTATTGTTCTTCGTGTCCTCCAAATTATTATTAATTTCTCGAGGATGATATAATCTCTGGGTTTGTACTTCAAGAATATTTTTGGTGATCTCTGTTACTATTTTTTTTTAATTAGGTCCATATAAAAGTTTCTTATAATTTTCAAGATTTCTTTATAAACTAACCTACCACACACATTAAAATGCAAGAGCAGAAAGACCGGTTTGGTGGACAGCCTTTTTCGAAAAAAAGAAATATTATTATTATTACTATTATTATTATGGTCGTGGTTTGTCAGTTTTCTTACAGTAAATGTGCGCTTAATGGAGTTAGAAAAAGACTGGTTTATAAGCCCAGCAAGTGTTAATATTAACCCAGCAACATAAACTTTCTTTTAGGGTTTTTTTTGGCATATTTTGAAATTCGACTTACTGCTTTTACGTAAGGCAAGGTTTTCCAACACTCAGAATAACAATTAAATGCCCAAATACCAAAAGAGATGAGGACTTGAGGTGCATTTGAGCATTAGATAGAGCAAGATTCGCCTAATTAATTTACCTATTTTTTTTATTATTTATTTGTTATTTACCTTATAGTACACACCTAATTAATTTTAATTAGAAACGCATATTAGGCATTTTTTAGAAATTTTTTATTCTGACTTGCTGCTCTTACGTAAAGCGCGGTTTTGCAAGGCTAATAAAATTAGATAGAACGAAGTAGGGTTTTATACGATTTAATTTGAAATTCACAATGAATTTTTTTTTATTTTCTTAAAATGACGTATGTACGTATGTACGTAAATGTTTTCCAAAGCGCCGTTTGGCAAGACTCTGATTCTCATTAATAATTTTGTGGAGAATTTTTCAAAATGAGCAGCCCCTTTTTTATCGAGTGCAGTTTTTGCGAACAGCTGAATAAAAATGAACTGCTCGAAAACCGAAAAAACTGGAAACATTAGCGAAACGACACTAAATTGCACAAGTTCTAGTGTATTTAAAAAATGGCGTGAGTACAAATTTGCTGCATTTTCATTTTAATTTTAAATGATTATTTGTGCGACTGTCTAAAAACCCTTAAAAATTATCTTTCTCGTGTGCGTTCTTTGAGCTCGCTGCCTAACTTTCGATATACTTTACTTCGATTACTTACGATAACTTTCGAAAAATATGCATATGCAGAGTTTTAATTCTATGCTAAGAAACTAACTTTTGCTAGTTAAGGGAAGTCACGCCTGAAAAACCGCTTAAATTTTTGCATCATTCCTCGATTCCTTGCGATGTTTTCGATGTTTCGATGTAGCACATCTTTTGAGGCATTTGAATTTTCTCGAAAATATTGTAGTCAATACCAAGTCAGTTTTTTAAATCTATTTACTAAAACCATACTTTTAGCGGCCTTTTTCATAGGCCTCCAGTTTGCAAAAAATTGATTTTCTCTAGCTTTGGATAATTCGGTTCATATTTTCTTTTTGCAGTGTAGTATTTCTTGAGTGTTTTTCCTCAAAATTTATTCTTTTCTTGAATGGATTTTTAGTGTCGTTAGCTTTTTAGTGTCACAGCTCAGCTTCTTCCTTTTATCAGTTGCAACTATTATACGCTTTCGTTCTGCTTCCTTCCTTGTTGCAATTACTTGTTTATTTGTATCCTTTATGTCTATATTTTCTTATCATTCGACATTTTTTTTGTTAGACATACATTTAGCAACAGCATGAGCAACAGCAACTTTCACGTTATTATATCTACGCGAAAATATATGCCAATTATTTTTCTTTCCTCACAGGGTAAAGGGTGTTCACAAATTATCTGATATTTTCAACCATTTCACGGATATGTTGCTTTCAAAGTCCAGACACAAAAAAGAAGGTGAAATTATCACTTACACTAATTTCAAATTTATATTGTACCAAAATAGTAGCAGTTCATTAGCAACAACCGACTAAAAGTCGGTATTAAACGAGTAAAGTTGTAACATTAAAATCAAAAATAATAAGAGTTTAATCTGCATTATTATATTGCTATTAACACAGAAATTAAATGTCAAATTTGCATTAGTTTTTAAAATGAGTTCTTATTATATCGAAACAAAATTTTGTCAAATTCAGTTTTTCAGAATATTTTAGTAACCAAAACGTGTGCCATTATTGTCATTATTTGGGTACCAAAAATGATTAGAACTTGAAAATAGCCATATGCCCAATTTAACGGTATATCTTTTTATCTATATCTATATTCAGAAATACATACATGTTATAGCGGTACAGCCAGGGTTTAATTAACAATAAAGTGAACAAAGAGTCCCTGGAAAGGCCCCACGCTTCATCCATCAATGATTAGGCATGTTGCATAATCAATAAACTTACTTATATTTTTTTTTAAAGAAATGTAGCGCTATAAGCTCAAAAATTGTTGGCGCATGAGCCTAGGAACCGTCTTAGGTCGCCTTTGTGTATAGTTCTCAATATACATTCAGTTTTAAAACATAAACAGATAAAATTTAATTTAATTCTAAGTTTCTTTCATAAAACGCGATTTGTAACCAAGTAAACACAATCAAGCAAGGCACTTGGGAATTACTGAACTAATGAGCATAAGTAGGAATGCGCCATTAAAAACAAATCTTGGAAATTAAAGGTGACTTGTTTCAAATTATTGCTTTAACGAAACTGAAAGTAACAAATAATGGCAGAACTAATGTAACCCAAAGTGTGTTTTCCAAAAATTATTAGTTTTCATCAAGCTGCCTTTATCAGTCAAATAACCAGAAAATAACTCTTTCTGGTTAAACAATAACTTCTTCCCTTGAAGAATATTTATAGCAAAAAATTAATTTCTTGGAAAATTAGAGGTCCAATTGAGTCTCTTGGTTAAGAGATTGATCTGAAGTACTAAGCAATAGGCCTGGATAACACTATATTGAGTTGCGCTATTGAGTTGTTGCCGCTCTCTGAGTTAATGAGTTATAACTCATCGATCAATGAGTTATAAGTCATTTATGAGATCTACAAGCCCCGAGACTGGAATTTTCACATCTAAAAAAAGTTCATCAATATTTTTTCTGAGTAACGTTTTGCTACTTTGATCTAACAACTAAAAAAATCATGTAGATGTATTTTTCCTGCAACAGAACTGAGTTACTGGGCCGGTGCGTTGGGTTGGCGCACCAAGCCATTTGCGGAGCCACTGCGCCAACTCCTAAAATCTCACTGAGTTACCCAGGCCTACTAAGCAATCTGTAAAATTCGAGTTGACTCAATATAATATCAGGGCAAATTTGCGATTTGCTGACAAAGCAAAAATTCGAAAACAAAATTCAGAACTCGAATAATCAAAAGAATTAGCCAGATTTAAAGTCACTCACATTGTATAATCTTGCAGTAAACTTGTGGTTGCCTTCGGCGAATTTATCGAGAGCCAAATTGCAGCTTGCTGTCGCAACTAATGCGATCAACAATACGAGCACTGTCTTCATCTTGTTTTAACTGAAACAAAAGGAAAACGTGACAATATTCCTAACACTAAGATCCAGTCTAAATTCCGCTTTATAAGAATTATATAAAACCATCTGCATGGTCTTTCAAAATTTCCTTTCTATTTAACACAGCAAATATCAGAGATTTTGTAGCAGATAACACTTAAGGATTTCGTCCATATGAAAACACACATACCTAAACCAAGCCGTCTATATTCAAGTGGAAGTTAATGATAAACTGTGAAGCAAACGGGGAAAAGTACAATGAATGTGCGCTGAACGATGGTAAATCATCACTATTTATGCTGCACAGTACAAAAAAACATTAACTTCTATCAACAATGAGACATAAAGTGAATAATCAGAATGGTGGTTGGGGAAATCCGATATTATTGTGAAGTAAGACTGTTTTCGTTCAATACGTCCCGGTTAATTAATGAATAATTTTAGTTTAGTCGCTTAAACTGCCGAAAAACTGTACTAAAAACCAAGATTTGATGTTATAGATACTTTTTAGACTTTTTATCAGGAGCTTTTGTAAGGAGGTCATTGTTAATTGCACGTTTGTCCGTGCTTAAGGCCAAATGCAAATCTTTTATGAACCCACTGATAAGCGCTTATTAATAAACTTAATTAACTTATTTACATTTTTTGTTCACAATATTAGAGTTGACAGGAAGGATACTTGCAGTATTCTCGAATAATTCACTATCTAACACCTGCCTGTATAAATTGCATGTTTTATAAATAATAATACATCCAATGAACCTTGCACGAATATCGAACTGAAAATTGGGGTTTATTTGGGTCCGTCTAGACCAGGTTCTTTTAAGATTGTTCAAATGAAAGCAAGGCTTTGCACATAAGCGACCCACCAAATTTTAAGCATTCTTTAGCGCTTTTGCTCGAAAATGACTAGAAATATCGGATCTAGTTGCTGCCTTTTAAAAACAATTGGCTTCCACTAATTCAAAATGGTCAGAAATACATAACTGGGAAAAGTATAAGACTCGAAATGCCCAAGCGTTTAAAATTACATGCTTAGGTATGTATATTACTCACCATATTCATGAATATCTCTGATTAAGCAATATTCGATTTTGTTTAAAGGTTTGTTAGAAAATCTTAACATCTAAAGCGTTGGAGAAAAAAACTAAACTTTTAACTTTTAAAGCAGTTAAAAGCATCTGTTTGCGTCTATAAAGACTATGGAGAACTATCTCTCCCTAATTGGTTTGTTGGAGAATCATAAAAGGAAAGAAAGAATTCATAAAAATAAATAAAAAAATACGAAAAGAAAGAATGTCTTTAACTAAATAGATGCATCAATATAAAAGGCTGTTTTTTAAGTTTTGGAGTTCATATCAGGGCAGCCATAAAAATTATTTCAATCGAGCGTCGTAAGAGATATTTTTTCCTTATACGTCTCGAATCAGAATCCCTTGCGCGCAAGATGCAATTATTTAAACAACAGTTTAAAGATTTTTGATCAAACAGCTCGCCAACTGTTCAATTGGTGAACATTTCTAATGTCCCCAAAAGAGACCCTAAGAGACTGATAAATTTAAACTTTAACTTTTAGCTTGATAATTCTATTAATAACACCAGCATGATAAATTATGTACGAGTTTTTGCAACATTTTCGAGATTATATTGAATTTAACACCCGTATTTTTCAAGCAAATGGTAAAAAGCTATTTGATTGTGGTTTTTCTCTTGTACTTTCGGCAAAATATTGCAATAGTGTAGAATCTATACCAGAATAATAAAAAAATGTGTTATTTTAAAGGACAAATAGACAAGACAACTGTTCGGGTTAATTTTTCTCTTCTAGAACTGATTGAAATGAGCCGAAAATTATAATGATTTTTTCGAAATAACGTTTTTTACAAATTAAGTTTTGTTTGAAAACCTTCATCTCTCAGACGCTATAGGCAGAAAATTGAACCTTTTCGGGTCTACCTGGAAGGCAGTTAAAAACTTCAATAGTCTTTATATACTATCGGGACTTATCTCCCATTAACTAGGATTTACTAGAAAGTTTTAACCTTTAAAAAGATAGAAGCATGAATATTACAAACGATTTTTAAAGTTTTGTGGTTCATATCAAAGCAGCCATAATAAATATCTCGAAAGGGCGCCTCAGAAAGTATATTTTAGTATAAGAATCCAATAAAAATTCGTTGAAAACGACTGAAAGTAGCTAAAGAATATTTTTGATAGAACAACTCGGGAACGGTCTTTCCTAATTGGATTATATCAAACAACTAACATTTAAAAAGATCACGTCTCTTTTCTCTAACGCAAAGTGTTTACAATTGTTTGGATGTATTGATTATATTGCACAAGAAGCGACTTTTTCAAGCCGATCAACAAGCTACTAAACTATTTGGTTGTGGTTTTCCTACTTAAATCAAATTATTAATTCTATCATATCGCATTTTGCAGGGTCGGATGAATAAGGAAACTCTTAGTGCAATAGCCTAGAATCTATAACAAAATAATAAAAAATGCTCCAAACATCGGAATTTTAGAATCAGGTTCTTGAATCCAAGCAAATGTGTTATTTGAATGGACATTTAAACAAGGAAATTGATCAGATTGAATTTTCTAACTTTTCTTTACTTCATCTAGAATGCAGATCATTACAGGTTCAGAAGCAATAAACTCTCAGCGGCTCATTGCCTTAAAAAAGGTGGTGTCAAAAAAAAACGATTTGATTATTGGAACTTTAAAATAAAATAAATTCAAGAAACTGTCTATTGGTAACTACTTACCTTTTCACAAACACGAAAACTTCTAACTGCGGTAAACGATATAGTGTGGTCGGAATCTTCTTTGGGACCGGTATATTCACTTTGGCTTTTTTCTGAACCGGCAAGTTAAGGTGAAGGCCAAACTATTCCTTACCGTAAAACCGGATAGATTAGTACAAAACTATTATGAATAAAAGCGAGTTAAAGCAAATTGAAGCCAGACAATTATTTATAATGCTTACCAATGTTAATAATAACTTTAATCGTCAAGCAGCGCTTAAACTAGTTGTCGCTTTCGCTCACTTGCACTTTTGATGTACTACTTTCGAAACGGAAAAAATAACAATAATGTTGGCATAAAACCTTAAAAGTATCTGAAGTGAAACACAGTTCTGTTATATTGCTGATTTGACCCTGCTATAGCGTTGACCCAGCAAGTTTCGATTAATAACGTTCACTGTTACTGTGAAGAGTGACAAGACTATAGTACTTTTCGATACAAGAGCGAATTCTATTTTTCGAGCTACGACGGCGATTGCCAATGTAGCAATAGTTTTAAAAAAGTACTTCCCTAATAATAATGGCAATTAAATTCCTGGTAAAGCAATAAATAGTTAAAACCACTAGACAATGACAAGAATTTCAGTAGCATTTTTATTTCGTACTTCTATAGAGTTGCTATTCAAACAAAAAATATATAACACTTGATCATATTGCCACAGCAAGTCAAATATTACTCCATGAAACTCGAAAAAAACCGCTCCGAAAACCCGCTAAAGTATCGTTCTAAATTGCTCAACAAAATGAACGTTACACTGGCAATTTGGACCAACTTTGATACTGGATAAATTCTGATTGCTACAAGCAATTCTATTTCTCTTTGCAGCGTTATTTAGCGCAATTCTTTTTCGGTTAGTGCGGGTTTTTGCAAAAATTAGTGATACAGATAAAGCTTCTACAGGGTGGCAAATGTAGCAATGCAAAATAGGTGAATATTCCACGTGTTCTTAGTTAGAAAGGAAAACGTTTTTTTTGTATTTTATTACAATATGCATTAAGACGAATATCTCGAAAAACTTTTTAAATTTTTCGCTCATCTCGTTTTTCTTCAGAGTGGCCTCAAAAACATTTTGGACTTGCAGAAATCCATTTTTTTTCTCTTGGACCCATTTTCATAATATAAGGTTGTTGAATGTTGAAGATAAAACTTCACAGTCCACTTCAGAAAAAAATGTTATATACCGGGTTGCCTGAATTAACGGAAAATATCAAAAATACCTGTTACTTAATAGAAGAGATATCCTAAAAATTCAAAAACGGTTTCGAGCTACTCGGTTTATCTTTGAACTTTTGGTGTTGAGATTTAAAAAACCTTTTTTTGTCCAACTAGGAACTTGCCGAACTTTCCGAAATTTTGCATTTTTTCATTTGCCCCGTGCAGAGGATTTGTCTGAGATGCATATTTTTTTTATCAAAACATTGACCAGCAGAAAACAAATGGGGCTAAATAACGCTTTAAACAGAAACCAAATCGCTTGAAGCAACCAGAATTTATTGAGTTCCAAAGTTAGGACAATTTTTACCTACACATCTAACGTTAATTTTGTTAATCAGATTAGTTGGAACAAAATGATTGTTTATTTCCCATAATTTACCCCTGGTCGATATCTCTCGATGATCTCTTTATATCTATCAACGAAGACTTCAAAAAATAATTTCCGAGATGCCTCAGGGCAGTAGAAAGATTTTCAGACCAAAGGTAAGATCGTTAGAAAACTTTATTAATACGTACGTGTGCCATACTCTGAACACAACATTATTACATTCAAAATGTATTTATAGTTTAAATAATTTAAAATTGTTCTTTATAAATAAATAAACAAAAAATGTAAAAATAAATAAAGAAACCAAGACAAAAGATGAAACTACTGTATAAAAGTCAAATTTTGGATTAGTTAGAAAAAACAAAAAAAAATCAGTTTCAAAATGGCCTTACATTTTCTTAATTAAAAGAGATACGGAAAAATGTTTAACGAAAAACTTTCCTTATAATAATTGTTGAATAATCTGCCATTTTCAAGTATACCTACGGAGTCAGGAAAAAACATATAGGACCTAAGCTGATTTTTTAAATGAAACACCCTGTATATTTTAATCTAAAAAATAGCATTTTAAATTGGCTTTTCAATAATATAATACACCATGACTTATATTGGTTTTTTAGGCGATTTTACATGCTCTTAATGGTGCTAGCAAGGAGAAGTATGCATAAATCATAGCATGTTTTGAATATGAAACTGCTGTGTAAGCAGACTCACAGCGTGTGTACACAACCTATCAAGCTCAAAAGACTCAAAGTTTCATAAAAATCGATCAAAAGACTAAAGGGCTAGCATTTAATTTAGCATAAACGAGTGTAACATGCATGATTGGGTATGTTTATCTTTGACTGAAAAGGCTATTTTTCTACGGCGATCATCCCAACGAGATTTATTACCTTTGATAATATATCCGTACAAATTGAAACTTTCGTCAACCTCGTACGCAATAATAAAAAACTGACATCGAACAGCAAAGTAAAGAGATAACACACACAAAGGGCGATCAAGCAAATGGTTATATCATCTTGTAGCTCGGTTGGTCACAAACGCGGCAAAAACTTGTCTTTTTTAAACCCAACTAAATAATATTCAGTTTCTTACCGGCATCGAACAAAATAGGTCGTCGGTTATTTGTGTTTTGCCGAGATTGATATTCCAGGGTGATTTGGTGCGGCGCCCCTACAGCAATTGCGGTATTTAGCATCCTCCACCTGTTAATTAACTGCAGGGTCAAAGTTTTCAATTTGGTGTGGATCTTCATTGTGTGTTCAAGTGTAGTGTGATTTTTGTGAGAACTAATGAGTATCCAACCTGTTAACTACCGAGTTAAAGTTTTGCGTTTGGTGTGGATCTTCATTGTGTGTTAAATGTTTGTAATGTGAGCTTTTTGTGGATTAATGTATTCTTTATGGAGGATAGGGAGCCAGCTTGCAGAAAGTTGGTAAGAAGAATTTTTTATTGTCCTGTCAAGCAATTCAATGGTGTTTTTTTTTCTGTGAATTGCACCCTAAATTAAACGAATCTTGTATGCGCAATGGGTTGGATTCCAGTCTTTAAATTTTAAAAATATTTTTTATTAGTTTTTCCATATTAATTACGATGGTTTTCTGCATTACGCTGTTTTTATATGAACTTTTATATTAATTAAATGTGAAATAAGGCCGTTCTGTTGTGAACAAACCTTGGATGTCTTCGAAGTAAAGGTATCAACAGTAGTGTTTTCCGGATGTAACTTTAACTTTTTGCTGTCTTTAAATTTAAAAATAGTCAAGAATCAAGACCAAAGTGCTCAAAGGTATGTGGAACTTGTTTATTGCTTTATAGTGGATAGCGCCCCAGAAGCTGTATCAGACAGTGGTTATAAATTTGAGTCGCTAAATGGCGTTTACTTTTTTAAGGAAAAGTTGGGTTTTTAAGGAATTGCTGAGGTCTGGATCCGGACGGCAACCAGGGTTGTAGTTTCTATTTTGCAACATTTATGTTGCTCACATGTCCAGATTTTCATATTTTATTAAGCGGCTTTTGCGGCATGTGTATTGCGGGTTTCAGAGGATTTCTATTGCGTTTTTTCATGGCGGCTTTTCATTAATGGAAGCGTATATTGCGGTTTTTGCGGAATTAATAATGCGGTTGGTACAAGTTTTATATAGTGGTATTTTGGTAAAATTTGCGTCCTGTTTTTCGTTATGCTCCGCAAATTTTTGAAATATCTTAATTTGCTTCCTACAAGGTTTTGCTTTACAGCTTTGAAACTATTTATATTTTATTATACCATTTAGGTATTTACTTTTCAAACAATAATTTTTTTCAGGTTGACCAAGTAAATGTTTCTATTTACTAATAAGAGCTTTCCTTACAGTTTTGAATTATTTACTTTCTTTGTTTCTTTCAATGTTTTATAATCTAATTTAATCAATTTAGGCAATTATCCGCGTTAGTAGCAAAAAAATATTTACTTTTTAAAATCGGAAATAAACCCCATAATAATTACAACGGCAATGGAAATTAAGTTAAATTTTATCAGAATTCCGATCAATTCTTGCGCTTACCAAAATATCGATATGGGCAATAAATATTGATTGGATTATCTCTAAATGATTGCTTGCACTTTTGAACATACAGTGGTCGTAAATTTGAGCTGTATATTTTTTATCAATTGCCATGTTACTTTGACACCTTGTATATGAATTCGAAAGTATGTCCTTTCACTAACACTAAATGTCACTAACAACTGAGAGTAAACATTTTTAAAGGTATTTTTCTCTATCGCGCGAATGAAACACTTTTAAAGCAATCGGATTTCAGTGTAAACGATTTTCAGACTTTCAAAAACAACTTTCAGTAAAACAGCCTCTTTAATAAAAGCACATCAATAATTACTAACTAACGAGACTGGCAAATGTATATGACAATAATACTGAACAAAACAATTATAAAACTGGGATCAAAATAGTGACATATAACTCATACAAACTGTTTAAAATCGAAACAGATACATTTCATCTCCCCTCAAAGTTGCTTTTCAGTTCCAGTACAACAACATATCTGCCAATTCTTGGATCGATTGGAAAATTAGTATGGAAAAACTGGTGTTTCCTTTCATACCTTAAATATTTTCTTTCATTAATGCATGATTATATCTTTTATAATAAAAACTATTTACCTATTCAACACATTTGTTTCGAAAAATGAATCGATAGTGTCAAAACATATTATGTGAGTAGGGATTTGGGCGCCAGGAGGATATTTGTTATTCCACCAACCTTCCGGATCAGCATAAAATTGATCTGCCTCATCAACATACCCCTCAATGTTAAGAAAATTTGGGTTACAAGTTAAAAAACGAGCATGGACTGTTTCATGAAAATAACTAAAAATAACACAAAAATACATTTCTAAAATGAAATTTCTAAAATGAACGTGCAGAAGCATTCTTACCTGTATAATGGAGTCGAATGGCAGGGCATTAAAAACAAAAATTGCGGTTTAATATATTCAGCTTCCAAAGCAACTTGGTTCAGATGGTGCATCACATCTAAAGTTCCTCTTTGGTGATTATATCCGACGTACCAGGCCGGAAACAAGTTGCCCAGAAATATGACCGCTAAAACGAGGTATGTCCGCAGCCTAAAAAAAATGTTTTCTTAAATCCGCGGTCATAAAAGTATTGAATAGTCTCATCCTCACCCGGTTTTGAAGAATGGAGAAATGTTTTTTTGTTTCAAATTGTAGGAAATCTTCTGATTTTTTTTACATATAATAAATATATAATGCGCGTCTTAACTCGTACCAAATTAAACTCCTATATTTTTTAATTTAGATTCACATTCGACGCAATTCTATACCTAAGATCAACTGTTTCCGAGCTAGAAACAATTAAAAATCAACTCAGTTAATTAATTTTTTTCGAAACTTGAAACTAGAAATAATTGATCTATTTTCTCAACATGTCCCCGTTGTTTTCGGTACAAATTATCTGGATTTGTGTGTTTTTGTTTCTCTATTCCATTAAAAACGACTCCACAGTTTATTTATTCCCCTTAAAACTTTTATTTCTATAGTTTCTATAGTGTTTTAAACAGACATTCACTTTTTTTGGTCTCTGAAGATGGCAACCAATACCTGAGACTTGAGTATTTAGGCCATTTTGTTTCTTTTAATGGTTTTAAAAGAAAAATTTAATCAGAAAGAGCAACAGATGGTGAATAATAACCTGAAAGATTAAAAGATTACCTTGTTTAATAATAAAGGAAATATTAACCACAGGAAATATGCATACAATAATGTATTCAAGGCGATGATGAACGGTTCAATATTTTCTAGAAATTAACTTTCTTTTATTTATAGTTTAAGAATGAAATCTATTTTGTATTCTATTTTGCGGAATACCAGTAAAAGTTAGTTTAGCTTTTATTTCAAGTTTTTTTCGTTACTTTTTAGAGTAATCTACTGAGTTTCCGCAGAATTAGAAGAAACCGAGAATACTCGATTTTTAGGTGTCTCTAGCTGGAAAACTGTTAAAAAAAATAAGCAATCTGCTCAGAATTTCAGATAGAATACGAGTCTGCAATAATATACCATTAAACCATAGTTCCATTAAAAAAGTATAAATTTGATCTGGAACGGTATGCTGAAAAATCCTGTTTAGTATATTTATTATTTGTAAAAAAATCGAAAAGTTCCTATAATGTGGTATACAAATCATTTCTTCGATCTTCCAAAATCACACTGTCTATTTAAAATGAATAACCCTGTACGCAATTCGTAAAGTTGTTTTAAAGGGTTCTCGAACGGCAAACAAAGCTTGCCGATTGTTAATCATATCATTAAATCAATCACCAATTATTTTGAAAATTAATTTGAAATGTAAAAATCTATTTTCGTATAACAAAAAACATAAACGCTCGGGCAATCACCGTAAACGAAACCAAGAACTTCACGTTTACTTAAGAAACAGTATTTAAATGATTCTCTGTACTTCCTTGTAAAATAAACGTTACTTACTGCGTAGCTTTCTTGGTCCATGTGAATAAATACTTTGAAGATATAAACAGCATAATTGGCAATAAAGGAAGTAAGAAACGGGCCTCTTTATGAGACAAACAACTGAAAAATGAATAGAAAAATGTACGCACAATTTTTCATAATCAAACATTGTATTACCTGAGAACAAAAATCGAAAACATACTGGCTTGAAGCAATGCCACTTCATTCGGGTAGTTTTGCTTGTTTTTTAAAATCACATAAACTGCCATCAAAAAGGGCAGTATTTGTATTCCCAAAACTGTGACTATACCAGAAGTGAGGTACCAATGCCATGGATGAGTACCGTATAAGACACCAATGTTTGAAAAAACGTTCACTTTTGCGAATTTGTATGCTGTTATTATTAAAGAACCATGGCAGTAGGAATCCAAGGCAACGGAACCTACGAGCACAGGCAATCTGGAAGGAGTAAAAAATTGTTAAAAGGTTACCTAAGAATAAATAGTACTTAGTCGTACCCTCTCCAAATATAGTTCATAAATATTGAGTAAAAATCGAGGGTCTTTAACGTTCTAATGTGATGCCAACATAAAGGCAGCCATATTATAGCACTAGTTGGCCTGATCACAAATAGTATTGTAACAATCGTAATAAACTTGAAGTGGTCATCTAAAATACATAACAAATCCTTCATGTTTATGTTGTTAAATATAACACAAAACTCACCAACTTTGCGGCCAGCCCAAGGATACTGAGACAATGCAATAGTCGTTAGACTAGCCTCAAAAGTATTAATGAGCGTTCTGGAACACGTATAGTACCAAAACCAGGAAGTAGATATGGAAATCAAAGACCAATGTGTTCTACCAGACCATCTGTAAAAACACAGATCCGAATAGGCACTCAATAGTGCTTGAGCAATCCTAGGAATATATATCTAAAACAAGAATCTAAGTTAACCCGGCATTAATTGCTAGAACGATTTGGATATTAGATGCGAGATAGCAATTTGCTCACAGCATCCAAAACCAGGTTTTTATAAAATAATCAGATATTTAGACATAAATTAAACATTATTTAATTAAATTCGTTATTCCACAATCGCCCATTAGGCAAAAGATAAGTCTCCCAGGGCCTAAAGGTTCCTTTCTACGAATTGCTTCGTTGGGTTTCGGACATCTGATAGCAGATCAATATTGGCCACTTCTTGAGCAAGAAAACCATTCATTAAAGGAAAACCATGTTAATTTCTGTTCTCAGAATTGCATCTGTCAACTTACTATTTCATGCTTAATCAGTTGCAAATTTACTGCAACTTTTCTAATAGTTTACAAGTGATAGTTCTACAAAAATGAGCAGTAAATTCAATCAATGCAAGGGCGTTGGCGTAAAATGTGGGATAAACTTTTTATGACTAGATTGAAGAAACCTTTTGTGGGTGATTCTTCAATTTAATCGGAAAACGAAAATATGAGGAAATTGTGCAACAAAAAAGGGTGAAAGAAGTTTTTTGCTTTTTTTGCAAAAAAATGTGGTTCTTAAAAATGCGAACTACGTACGCAATGGTCGAATGCGTTTGTTATAAGCTTATAGAGTTTATTAGTAGGAAATAGCTTCATTACGTCTAAACAGTTAGAGATTGGCAAAAAATAAAAATATGTACTATGATTTCTTAATTTCGCGATCTGCATATGGACACTAACGCTAATACATCGAAACCCACAAAAAATACAAATAATCGTACATTACTATATGCTGTTAACAGATACCAAAAAATAAAAATACAGAAACAAACAACAGATAAACATTTAAAAAAACATTTATTGGCAGTTTTTGTGTGCTCCGTACCAATTATTAAATTGGTTTACGACTTGAGGGCATTAGGGAATCGATATGATAAAATTATTTTCAAGCACATAAAAGTATCACATAAAAGCGCTACCGACATCAAATTTAATTTTCATGACATAATCTATAAATTCAGCTACAGCTGCTTCTATCACGGCAAAAAATCGCCTTATGTGGTCAACATTTTACTAAGAAACGAAAAAATAATAATACGGTTTTAACTGGTTAAGAAAAAATGGATATAAAGCTATTATTAAGAAGTAAGTAAATGTAGACAAAAGTTCGGGAATGATTGTTAATTTGGAGGATGTATTCAGGCAGTATGAAGAATTATTGTCCAATATTTTCCCCAAAGGAAAGTTATCTGTCGCAAATCTGGAGGGCTGATTTTTCCTTCGGCCCTACACTTGCAGAACGTTACTCTACCATGCGAAATGCAAACGCATTTAGACAGACTAGACAAGGACACTCCACATTCCACTATGTTCTATAAAAAACTGCGTTTTTTTATGAATGTGAGCTAAATACCCATATAGCGACTAATGCCGGCTTAAATGGATTTATATGGTGTTCTGAACTTACCACAGCCCATTGACTATCCCAGGCAAACAGTTTCAAGACTTTATATAAAAAACTAAATATCATTGGGTATGCATAGCTTCGAATTCCCTCCTTCCATTCCCAGGTCAAATACCCATATCCGAACGCGAATTTGTGGGCTACTTCTAGGGATTGATAATATTCATCAGGTACGAAAAATGTTTGTACTAGGAACACTGCAGACAGTCGAATTAATACGAATAGGTAAAATATACTGCAATAAGCCCATAGTTTTTTAGTAAAACATCCCAAAATAGATAAACTCATACTAGACACTATAAAATTACACTTAAAAAAATACTTTTATGTTATCCACGACACAGTTTCATAAAAGCAATTAGAAGCCCTGAAGATGCACTATTCTTACATAATTAGGGAGAAACCACTATTTATAAGTTTAAAAATACTGAAAAATGAACAGGACTTTAAGACTTTTAACGACATTTGGGGGGTTATGGTGGGTATATTACGAATGTGACATGTGAGGTTAAAAACTTGGTGCAAAGTCAGTCTATCGAATAGTTGAGGAGACCCGAGGCGGGCGCTGACGTCACCATTTAGTTTTCTAAACAATTATTAACTAATTATTACTTATTATTAATAATAAACTAAATTTCATGTTGGCAAGTAAGACGAACAGTTCTTAAACAAAATTTATAAATATGTATTGCAAATGTAAGTTAAATCGCAAATGCATTTCAATAAAACACAAGTCTAGTTTTAAATAAGTATATTAATCAACAATAATTCATTCTCAAAGAGTATTAAAAAGTTAAAGGCTTTAATTCTGTATTCAATTGGTACTATGCTAAAAAAATATATATGCAATATAACATTAATATTAAAACGTATTTTGCCAAAATTAAAAATATAATAATAAACCAAAATAGAATCATGTATAAAAATAAACAAAATGTATCACTTCGAATTGCTAGTCATTCACAATAATTTTTCAGAATTATATATCTATATAAAGTTAATTTATAAACGGCTCTTAATAAGATTGGTTAGTATTAATACTGAATATGTATAATTGGAAAAAAGAAAACTTAAGAATATAACATTATTAATGTAGACCTATATCACTTCAAGTGGTTATTCGTTGTATTTCTTTAAATGCCTGCATTCGATTGAAGTAATCAATTTTATAACTAAAGCATGTTTACTTAAATACATATGAATGTATATAATATTGACAATTTAAATATGTAGACAATTGAAAATTAAATATTCCATATGCAGGGTGATGCACAATTAGGAGGCAAACTGTTATGGATTTGTTTCGAAAAAAATTACAGTAATTAGACACTTTATTTGTGTACTTTATCGATTTACGCGTAACTTTGATAAAATTCCTACTTAAAAACACTGATATATACTTGAATATAACCGAAGTGTTGATTCTGAGTCATTTGCAAATTAATAATTTTCATTGTGCCGACATGGAACACCCAGTATTTTAACGCATTTTCGGACTTAACTGATATCGTTTAACATTATTTTGGGTTTTAGAAGTGATCTTTAATTAGGTTTGCGCTCCTGCCCATGACGTATGAGAAATATTCAAATGTAATAAAACCAGAGTACAGTGAACAATATCAGGCACCTTAAATGGCTAGTCGTTGTTTCTTTGTAGCTTCTCAGGATTTGAATAGGCGAGCCTTGAAAAATCGCGCACTACATCATTGAACGTATCATCGCCAGATACCCCAGATTCAGTATCTTTCATCTCTTCATTAAGCCGTCCGAGCCGAAGTCTTTAATAGTTTCAAATCAGTTTGGGAATATCAAACAAGCGATCACAAATATACTCACAGAGTGACTATGTCAGCATGTTCTTTCTGCTCGGCCATAGATAAAGGCACTTTACCTTCTTCGTCTTCCAGATGCTGGTCAGCTCGGTATTTTAAAAAGAGGCATACTTGAGCAGTATGACCCTCCCTAGTAGCTAAATGCAACGGAGTCCGACCGTTCTGATCTTGAATGTTTATTTTTGCACCATTAAGCAACAAGTAGGCGCAAGCCATGACAGAGCCCTAAAGCATACAAAAATCAATCCGTATTTCATATAAAATAGTTGGAGGCAAAAAATATAAAGGGTGTCCCTTAAGCAGTCTAGCCATTTGCCTTATGTCTATTGTCCCCTTCATATTTTCACATTTGTGTTAAGTTCGTTTAGTTTTTCTTTTCGTTCTATGTCCTGCGTGTGTATGTACATTTCTCTTTTGAGTTTAATCAGTCTGAGTCTGAATTTGGATAAGATATGTTAGTAGAAGGTGTTCTTTAAGCAAGTCCCTTTCTGAGACCCCAGTTAATTTGCAAGAATTGTTTACATATAGAACATTGTTTACTATATTTGTCAGGTTGGTGTGGAGTTAAAATGGACAATTACTTACCAATTTATTTACGAAAAAACGTATTACTCACTTTGCAAAGCTCAAAAGAAGGGGCCAAATAAATTCGCAATTTGAAGCAAAACTCGTTAAATCGGTTGATTTAACTCAACATCAACAAACATAATACAACAAAGTAAATAACTTACGCTTAATACAGCGGCATGTAGTGGATGCCTGTTCTTATCATTGGGATTCGCCCAATTCTTTTCAGCTCCCAAAGCCAACGCTTGACACATCACAGGCAGATTATGGGCTGCCGACGCCTTGTAAAGCAGCAAGTTTGAGTGTAGATTCAATATATCTTCTTCCCCTGAAATAGTAAATTGTCTGCTAATCCAACTCTCCATTACATTTTAATTAAAGCTTACCAACGTAAGCCGCTTCGTCGCCTTCGGTGCTTTCCTCATCGCTGTTAGTGTCGATAATATCATTGGAAGGCGTTACATCTAAGTCGTTGCCAAACAGCCAAACTTCACTTGGAGCTGGGTTACTCTGCTCGCTAGTGTCTGCGTTGTTTCCATCATCATTTTCAACTACATCAGGCAAGGGTTCTCCGCATGATTTCTTCTTTTTTGAAATATCCTTTGCATTCGCAGTGGTTGACATTCTACGGAATTTCTTCACTCCCCATTTACGCACCTCCAGAGTGCTAGCTTTATCTATCTCAGCTGTTGTCTGGTTGGAGAGTTCATCTTTGAAATCAGATATATTCTTTACGAACTTCTTCTCAACGTACTTAGTCCTAATCCATTCTTCCCGAATTGTTCTGCAAACCATAAACTAACTATGATATATCACTAATATGGAAAGCACCATCTAATCGACCAGTTTCAACACATATCGGATATTTACGCATTAACAATAAAGGCACTTTTACAATTATTACATACCCCGTACAATGTTCCGAAGCCCTTTTGACACCATCAGGGACTTTCGCCTCATAAATTCGATTAACCACATTATTACCCAGCTCTGCCATCACTTTGATAACTTCTGGTTCCCAGTCATCTAGAGTTAGTGACCGCACTTTGCTATAGTGCACTCCTAGACTTCTATGTACTCCCGAACACTCTGCAAATCGCTTAATTTTGAATTTTTTCTTAAAATGAGCACTGATGTTGTTTACCGATGCATAATAAAATCCCTAAATTGATGCTTGCCCATTTAGGGTTTGGACATTTACAATCGGCACAAGAATTGTTTCCCGGAATTTTTAAAATGTGCTCCATCATCCTGATATGATTAAAAAATATTATAATGAAAACAAAACGACACAAAAAGAAACGACCTACCTTAGTTTTTGCGCTTTGCTAGTATTGTTATTATTATTGAGCCCCGATACACCCGCAGCGCTATTCATATGGCCCGTTAGTTCCGCACGTTTATCGCCTGGAGATTCCATACTTTGTACACGTTGAATTGCAGCCCCAATGCCTTTTTGGAGAGCCTCGATCCATAAGTGATACATTTCTTCTGAATCAGCTTGCAAAATATGACTTCTAGTAAAACCCAGAATAATTCAATAGCATTCACATTAAGGCGGAATTGAGCCGTTCACAAATCGAGTCATTCCGCTTTTTAAATAAAAAAATTGAAAAATTCCATAAAATAAGGTGCATTTTTTTAATGTCCTTTACAAAATTCATTAAAATAAATATGGTAAAATAAACGACTTTTATATAACCGTATAGAAGTAGATTTAAGTAATTAACTCAATATGCTGCAAAGGGCTCAATAGCTAATAAAACATAGCAAACTTCCACATGAACTATATTTTTGCGCTGTTAATTTCCGTTCTAAATAAAAATCTCAAATCATCTAAATTATAATTTTAATAAACAGAAGATAGCAATGAAATAAATAAAATCACTTACTTAGAAGGAGAGACAACTTCGAAGCAAAATCTCCGCTCGCCTTCATTAAAAGGTTTAACGGTGCAAATTCTAAGATCGTCCTCCATAACAGTGTCACGTTCTTCTCCAGATCTACGTCTGTATGAAACACAAACAACTTTATGAGTGTCACCGTTATTTGCAATTTTCGTGCATTTTTACCTGTATACTAATTTATTGTCAAACAAGTAAAACCATCTACGATTCCAAGTCTTAAAAGCATTGGATGTTCTTTTGAAAAGGTATCCCTCCAATTTTGGAGATTTGCTATCACCATTGCCGATAGCGGAGGTGATTTCCGGTATTGACACTAAAGCATGAGAGTTTTCCACGTCTTTTTCGATATCGTGTGTCTCATCCCGCATATTTGCTATCTACAATAAATATCAATCGGTTACATTCATTTCCTTCAATAATTCAGAACATGTTCTGATAAGGTTATAAGTTATTTAAAATAGTTGTTAATATGCATGAACAGATAATCAAAGTTGATACTCGCCTCATTTGCCAAAGATTTAAAAAATGGTTGTAGATCGTGACACAAATCTCCACCTTCATGATAATATACAGTACAAGCATGCATATAGGACAACAGCTAGAAATAAAATGATCTATCAAAAAATTCCTAGAAACTGGTAGTTTTTGGGGCTTTTAATCCGTCGTAGACTAGAATTTTTCCTGACGTTTCGCAAGCTCGGCTGGCTTGCATCTTCAGAGTGTAAGCTTTCGAGCAAACCACGTCTGCTGATGCCACTCGTACTTGTAAACCGTTAGGAAGAAATTTCATTTCACGACCGCCCAAAAACCCGAAAAACTGATCCGTTTCTACAAAATAAACGCCAAACTTGTTCCTTTGCTTTAGAGCAAATGGAATATTTATTTTGTTTTGAGAATGCTATAAAAGGGTCTTCATTAGAAACATATCGTCGCAAAATTATCATAAAAACTCTAGATTATTATTATTTTTGTTCAACTTTTCTAATATCTATAAATTTCAGAAATAGCAATTGCTGCACAATTTAACTCAATTTTTAGTAGACAAATTTGAGACTTTTTTATTGAAGATTCAGGTATTTTTATTAAACTTCTTACATTAAATAAAACCGTACCTGTAGATTTAATAGAGCACTATTAAAATAAAACAGCCAATCGAATTTTAACGTAAGTGATTACAGCACAATGAGTTATTAATTAATGAAATGCATGTGAAAAGAGCCTAAATTATTACTCAACCATATATGAAAAACCAAACATGTTAATAACAATTGAGAGGACTTACCGTGCTTAAAATTTCATGTCGTTTCTTACTCTGCAAAACATAAATTCCATTTACGTAGTTTAGAGCCAGATGGCCAAAACAAGATTTGATAGCGATTAAAATGTTCTGCACTTCCTCAACTTCTTGAGTTTTACTTCGTGGCACATGGGAGTTTCTAAGAAGGATATTGTCATATTCGCCTGATATTTTGTCAAAGTGATGCTTATAGTCTCTTACAGCCTTAATGTCTCTAAAAAATGTTTTAAAACGTAGTGGTGTCAATAAAGCGATAAATTCATAATTTCCACTTAATAAAAGTATGTTACTTACTTTTTTATAAAACCAGATATATTTTTAAGAAAAATCCTTGACACTTGATCCAATAAGGTCGTATGAAATTTATTCATTTCCTGTAGACTATGTATTAGTTTGTTTAGGGCACTTAACACATCTGGATCTTCTTTAAATTGGACACTTAAGTCCCACAGACTATTGGCAAACAAACTGAAAAATACGCATACAGTATACTAGTAAGACGTGATGGCCTGATTTGAACCAGTTTTTATTTCTTATTTGTAAGATTTACACTGATAGTAAAAAAATAAGATCGCCCTTCAGTTAAACGAATTGCTCAAAATGATTTCTTTTTACCCAAAGTTATAGCGGCTCATACGGACGTTTCAAATTTATTTTCAGTAATACAGAGTGGGTGTGCAAGTGCGGTTTTCTCGTAGCATAATTCGAGCACATACATGTTTTTAAGGCTTAGACAAAGTACTGCATCAACTTGTCTTAGAAACACAGGAATTTTAAATGCCCTTTAATTAATGAAAATCAAACACTTTTAGCCAGGAAGTTTCACAGGTAGAGTAGTTAAAGTATTGGAGCGTGAGTGATACTAGTATGAAGTAGAACGCCAATAGAAGGTTTTCTCCATATTTTTAAATAAAACCAGAAATATTTTATACGTTTATAAGGTAATCCCAAGTCTTACTAAGCATTTGATTACGCAATCCTACATATCAACAAAGTAACTTATTTATTTCTTTTTATTTATTTTCAGTCACTTACAGTGAGACCATGTGTAACTGCACTTCTACTCTAATTTTTGAATCTGTTCAGAATAACAGATAAATCACAGATCCCAAAATATAAACTGTGAGTACTTAAATAACTTTGTTGTACTCAGATTATTAACAATACGTATTATGTACAAGATTCAAATAGTGTAGAATAGAAAAATAAATACAGTACATATAGAAAATCACAATTGTATCATTCTTTTAATAAATATATATTAAAATATATTGTGTCTGATCATCAAAAAAATGGTTTCCCACATTACTGAAAATTATTTTGAAACGTGACCCTTTCTAGTGCCTAAAACCTACGTAAAAATAATTTTTGAGCAACCTGTAATTGGCATTATGACCATAAAAGTTCAAACTCAGTAGCTGACAAACTGCTCACACAAATAGAATTAGATAAGCTTTGCATATATTTTTTCAGATCACATAATTGATTATTGGTGGATTTACACAGAACTTTAATTAATATAGAATTTACAGAATCTAATATTTGACTTTAAGAAATAATGTGTTGGGTATTTAACTTTGCATTTTCACTTGCATCATGTGATGGTATTAAAATGATTAATGATCATTGAAATACACAGCACAATCTTTAAGATTAAAATTACATTCTATACAAACCCATCATAAAAATAAACAAACAAACTTATACAAATTACTTAACTAAATATTGATTTGATTGATTAGTTAGTCCACATAGTTTCTAACCCTCGCCACATCATACCTTTGTTGTCCAACATAAGTTTTGCCAGCCTCGACCATACTAGAGCATATCTTTAGAGCTTTTTCCAGTCGCTGTTCTAACTGATCGATGTTTTGCTCTTCCTGATCCAACAGAGCCCTGTAAACAAAAATGTAAAATAATCAATTTATACAGTCTAAAAACATACATAATATTTACTAAACAATGCTATGACATATTTAGGAAAATTATAGTTTTTTGAGCAATTACCTAAATTTGGGTGAGTCCCTAAGGCACTCTTGCAGTTCCATCTTCACTCTCATAATGCTAATGGAGTTGTGGCAATTGATGAATTAGGTAAACTGGAGCAATTTAAAGCATGTAAATTAATGACAAACGGAGCAAACAGTTATATTAATTTTTCTTAACAAAGCCATACACATAGGTAAACAAATGGAAACATATAAACATAACCTAACGTTTTAATGTGAGCTTGAGTCATAGCTGAGCGCGTTATGAAATTTACTCCAATCAAATTATTTTATTGGAAAACATTTAAATGTAGGGATTATGGGACCTATCGATTGACAATAATTAAATGGAAGTTACAATTTCATTTGTTCTCCAATAATGGAGAAAATTTAATGAAAATTCTTTTTAAGAGTCTGTACTTCCATATGACCTCTATTTCTCCTTGGCAAGGTCAAAAAAGTCAAAGTAATTTTGACAACGAGTTAGAGCAGGATCTCCTGCAAATTGGCTCATCTTGACAACTTGCTCACGTGATCAACAGCGGTTTTCTTACGCACAGCTCACGTGACCCTTTTATTTCCGAGGTGCAAGGTTTATAAACGGAGCAGGAAAATTTTCAAGGTTCATTCACTCTCCGGTAACTTAACTCAGAGGAGTGAAAGTGATAATTTGCCTCAGCACCTGAGCAAGATATTAAGTGAAAAATTCACTTTTCGCCTTTAAAAAATCGTGTTTACTTTGCATTCAAGTATCTACAAACTTACTCAGGTATGTAAAAAGTATTGCCAAATTAAAAATGTGTGATTTGCCACCTAGTCTTCCTGTTACTCAATATTGCGTTACCTTTTCTACCTTTATAGCATATATAAAACGCGTTTACATACCACTAGTTAGCAAGTAAATGAAGAAAAATCCAACTTACTAGTCAATTATACGATTCATTCGTATATTTTAGCTTTTTGTCAAGAGCCGGTTAGTTACTTACCTAAGGTGTACGTGTACATATATTGATATATCCGGGATGCTCCTAAATATCATATACATGCGACGAAAGGATGTAATTTTTAGCCTGATTCATAATTACGACTTCAAAACAAACAAGACCTCCAAATTTTGTATTATCGATCTACAGGGCGGTGATATTTCAAGACTGTTGTTTTTTCTATATAGTTATTGCAGTGTTCCAGTGATTGCAGAGTACACATTTATATTATGATCCACTAGAAAATTGAGGGTGTATGATATTTATTTTTACGGATAATTAATACCCCATTTGTTCCCTCAAAGGTTGGCTAGGCTACGCTTGTAGGTTTAAATAAAAGTTCGTTAATAAAACCTTTAAAAAAAAAATTTTAAAACATTTTTTGCCTTGATATTAACAAATTTGCATCAAATTAGATGTGCAACATGATACTTATACATACATATACTAAATGTACAAACGCATATTTAGCTTGAGGAGAGTTAGCTGATGTGTGCCTACCTATAAAGTGTGTACGACAAAAATAATTCAAAGCTGTATAGGTGACTGATTGGTTCAAACTGTAAACGTATAATGTAATAGCAAAGTTTTTCACATTTATAAGAGCATTCGAGTAACAATATTTACTCAGTAATCGTTCAGTATAAAAGTTACCTTGTATTTGATGAAGTTATTTTTCAAATTCACTTGCTTTCCACTTTTTCGCACATGTTCAGCACTTTCTAAGTAAATGTGAAAATACTATTTTAATTCAATTTTAGCAGAGAAATAATAATAAACATATTATTTTTGTCAAAAATTAGTAAATTCAGAAGTTCAATGTAGCGTATAAAGTGCGGTTGTCATTTGTTGTCAAAAGTAAAACTTGAAGGCGTACAGTCGGCGGCAGTATTCGGGAGTTTGAAAGTCCAAACGCCCCCTGGTGGCTAAAATTATAACTACCAGTACTTAAGTAATTTGACTCTTGTTTTGTTGATATTGGTGGTGACATAAGTCTGACAAGTCTCAACTGTCACTCGACAACGAGTAATTTGACGATTTGCAGCGCCACCTTCGGTAGTTAAACTCGCGAATACCCAGACTGCACGAATGGGCGTGGTTAACCCGCTGTAAGAATAAATATGTGATGTTATGTATGTATTATAATTAGAATTATCAGCATGTAAATTGATAGTAGATCAATAGCAATAGTTTAGTCATTATAATGTGATTTAAGTCAACATTTAAATACCTATTTTTCATTATCTATGGTTTCCAATTAAAACTTCTTCAATTCGAGCTATACCGTGATATGTTTCCGCAAATAAGCGACGCACATATGAACACATAAAAATATATTATTCAATTACAAATCATCTAACGTTGATAACTTAAATTTTAATGTAGTAAAGCCCAAATAATGGCTCCAGGAAGCAGATTGCCACTTCCTTTCTTCTTGCTGCGAAGTTTGAATAGAGACCAATTTTCAATCACTCTATACGCAAATCAGAAACTGTGCTTAAAAAATATTATTTGTTTTCAGCTGCCAAAATGCCTATCAAGAGCATTCTCGCCCGCAACATTTTTGATTCCAGGGGAAATCCCACTGTAGAAGTCGATCTTGTTACAGACCTTGGTTTATTCCGCGCAGCTGTACCTTCAGGTGCAAGCACAGGTAAAATGTCTTCATATTTTATATTTTATTTATTAAATATACAGAGTGTTACAAATTTGAGGCGTTAGCACTGGGATCTTGTAAACTGAAAGTGATACAAAGTCGGTTAAATTAAGTGCATAGTTGTGCAATTTAATGCTGAACCAAATGGAATTGTAAAAGTTGGGTAATTCCTACTACTTCTAATGATATTCAAGTTTTTCTAGCCTTATTTGGGTACATATTTTGAAATAATTGACACATTATTAGAACACGAAATTTAATTATTTAAATGGGAAAGTAAAAATGTGTTCTAATAATGTGGGGATTGTTTCAAAATATCTCTTCAGATGAGCTCAGAAAAAAATAATTCGAGGAAACTTCGTTTTTCTCCGAATATTTCCGGAAGTATCGGGAATTTTTCAAATTTTATTTTATATATTTATTTAAAAAACACACACATATTAAAATTCGTAACTTTTCCCTACTTTAACCGACCTCGTATCTATTATCTATCACGGTTTATGAGATTCCAATTCTAACACCCTGTATGTTTCGTCTTATGAATCAACGGTTATGCTGACGTTGTAAGTATTGTACTGAAACAGGAGCAAAAGTTCTAAATAACCCAGCGATGTTGGTTTTAATGTATTTACTAAAGTTTTATGGTCCCTTTTTGTAGTTTTCTAACTTCTATTACCGAACAAGTAAATTTGTTTCTATTTCTCATGCATTCTGTTCAAATTTACGTAATTTTCACTTCACGGACGCACAGCGTAGGAAATTATTTTCGGTTTAACGCACACTGTGAAGGTTACTATCTAGGAAAAAACCTTGAGGTAACTTCCAATACACAAATGTTTTACAATTCGTTTTTTTGAGTATTTTGCTTCAAAATTGAAGATTGCAATAATGGTAATGCAATATTAAAAGACGACAAGAACGTTTTGAAAAACACATTCGCAATTTTCTCAAGAAATATGAATCAACCATGAATGCTGAATTTGCTCAGTAATGATTTAATAGATAAAACAGTTATAAGTCAGTCTAGTAAATAATTACCCGATGTTGAAAGAATTGGTCTTACTCAAGGTTTAAATGTTTTTTAAATACGATTACACAAAGAAAAATCCAAAACTTTTCTCAATTCATAGAAGTAGTAGTAGTGTTACGAAATAGCAACTAATAATTTTCCAGAACACAAGGTCAATGTTCGAATTAGATCTGAATTACTTTTACAGCGCGCTTAAAATTAAATCTTAATTAATTAAAACTTTAATTCAATAAATCAAGTCATTACAACTTTTACAAAAAGATAATATAAAATTATTATTATTAAGCGTTAAGCAACCCTAAATGCTTCAGCAAAATACCAAAATAAAACACTATAAAAACCATTATTTGTTTTTCAAATTATGGTCCTACTTCAATACCTTCAAATAGTCATTTAATGAAATAAAAATTCCTTACAATTTGTACATTTTTAAGGAATTTATGAGGCTTTGGAGTTGCGTGACAACGATAAGTCCCGCTACCATGGCAAAAGCGTTCAGAAAGCTATTGATAATGTGAATAAGAGCATCGCCCCTGAACTGTTGAAAGCTGGCCTGGAAGTAACTCAGCAAACTGAAATTGATGAGTTTTTAATTAAACTCGATGGAACTGAAAACAAGTCGAAATTCGGAGCCAATGCCATCTTAGGTAAAGCTCTTATTTGCTAATTTATAACAGTTTTGTTAATAACACTTTTAAATTGTTTAGGTGTATCATTGGCTGTATGCAAGGCTGGAGCTGCGAAAAAGGGAATTCCTCTATACAAGCACATCGCTGAACTCGCAGGAAACAAAGACATTATTTTACCAGTTCCTGCTTTCAATGTGATTAATGGAGGTTCACACGCTGGTAACAAACTGGCTATGCAGGTCAGATTGACTCAGAATCTTCAAAGCCTTGCCGAATTACTTATATCGATACTTTCCAGGAATTTATGATTTTGCCTACCGGCGCCGCCAACTTTACTGAAGCCATGAGAATTGGTACTGAAGTTTACCATCATCTGAAGAAAGTTATTAATAACAAATTTGGATTGGACGCCACTGCTGTTGGAGACGAAGGTAGATCAATCGAGTATTCTAATGTTAATTGAAAAAAATACGTTTCATTATATAGGTGGCTTTGCTCCAAATATTTTGAACAACAAGGAAGCTTTGGATCTGATTAATGATGCCATCGCTAAGGCCGGTTACACTGGCAAAGTTGAGATTGGAATGGATGTTGCTGCTTCCGAATTTTACAGAGATGGTATGTTAATGCGGAACGGTTAAAACTTCAGGCTGGTTTTTATTGTTGTTCATCTGTAGGTCAGTATGATTTGGACTTCAAAAATCCAGCATCTGACAAAAGCAAGTGGTTATCGCCCGAAAAACTCCAAGCCCTTTACCAAGATTTCATCAAAGATTTTCCCATCGTTTCCATTGAAGATCCCTTTGACCAGGATGACTGGAATGCTTGGACTTCCATCACTGCCGCTACAAACATCCAGGTAAGATTCATTAAGCCAATTATAATTTGAACTTTCACAACTTATTTTCTTTAGATTGTTGGCGATGACTTAACGGTAACCAATCCAAAACGCATTCAAACTGCCGTGGAGAAAAAAGCCTGCAACTGCCTGTTGCTGAAAGTGAACCAGATTGGTAGTGTGACTGAATCTATCAGAGCACATTTGTTGGCCAAGCAGAATGGTTGGGGCACAATGGTGTCGCATAGGTATGTATACAGAGTGTTTGGTAAGTAGATGCAGTCCTTGTAGGAGGTGATGGTGCACTTTTGGATGTATTTCTTTAATAGACCATATTCCGACAACTCTTAGTCTTTGATCCACAGGTTGTCAATTAAGTATTAATTTAAAAAACGATATTTTTTGATATTGCGGAAACTCCTTGGAATATTTCAATAAAATTTTGCAGACGTAGGCACTTCGCATCGCAAAACATGTTTAATGATAAAAAATTTGTTTTTACCTTCTCCAGTGCCGTTAGCACAGGTTCGTCTGTAGATAATATTAAATAAACAAATGTTACGCCACTGATTGATAGTTTGGAAAAAAAGTCAAGAAACTTTTTCTCTTCCGAATTGAACAGGAATTTGAATCATAAGGTTTATTGCTTAAAAAATCAGTTGCGTAACATTTGTTTTATTTAAAATTATCTACAGTCATGCTTGTGCTCACTCCACTGGAAAAGCTAGAAACAACATTTGCATCACAACACATGTATTGTTGTTAAGAGCCTAAGCCTGTAAAATTTCGTTTAAATATTCCAAGCGGTTTTCGCATTAATAATAAGTAACGTTTTTTTTTTATTAAAACTTTATCACCCTCTAGATCGGGAACTAAGCGTTTTTGGAACACGATATATTAACGAAATATATCCAAACTTATTTGCACTATCACCCCTGCAAGAAATGCATCTACTTACTAAACACCCTGTATTATAGATATGAACTAAACCGTAAATTTAAAATCACTGTTATACGTTTGAATGTGATTTATTTAAAACTGGGTTTGTGATTGAACTCTCCCCTTGCTTAATATCGGAAATCTGAAGCAGCGGACTAGTGATTTAAATTAAATTTGTAATTCAGACAGTTTTAATGAGTAAGACGTATTTAGGTATAAATTGCCTCTAAAGTAACGTGCCTTCAGAATTGAATGATATTATGGGAGGTTTGCATTCGATTTGCTCGAATTTATATTCGAGGTACTTGTTTTGTAAGATAATTTGCTATACACAACTTGCTTTTTGCAAAAAATTATCAAAAATCATATGAAATCATTATGACTATGGCTTGCTATTTAATACAACTGCCAAATATTCGCGAATAAATTAGTTATTATTTTATTAGCAAGTTGTAGGTGATTTAAGGTAAAACCATCCAGTATTTGTCCATTTGTTTACGTACGAAAAAATAATCTGAAGGAAATTCCTCAACGCTTATGAAAATTAGTTAGATTTGACCGAGTTACTATCAGTTGTTCTTTGGATAAATTCACTGTTGCGTATGATCAACTACTAAGAAAGATATTAATTTTTTTTCGTAGGTCCGGCGAAACTGAAGATACATTCATCGCCGATCTCGTCGTTGGTCTATCCACAGGTCAAATAAAAACTGGAGCTCCTTGTAGATCGGAGAGATTGGCCAAATACAACCAGATTTTGCGCATTGAAGAAGAGTTAGGCGCTGCCGCCAAATACGCTGGAAAGTCCTTTAGGAAGCCACAATAAACTGATCAAATTCATTGATCATAAGCTTGGCAATAGTTTGATACCATGCAGAAACCCCATTCCACATGCATTGCGAATTTACTCCTACGTATCAAACTATTTCCCACAAATCGCATATGATTGGGATAATTGTTTCCAAATAAGTGGATTAGATGTTTCTCTATGATCTATGTGAGCGATAAGTAGGGTGTACTAGTTCCAGCATATTGGAGTAACTTATTTATTAATAAATGATTAGTAACCAGAGTAAATGTTCGTTAATTGTCTCAGAATGATCAACATGGCGAGGCTTGAACGGTTAAGATATTTTCTTTTGGGAGCTGGATTGAAAAAAACTATTCACACCAATTTACATTTTATTGCATGATTAATGAGACAATTATGATTACGTAGAAATTCCCATTACATGCATAAAAACTACCCAAATTGGCTCTTGAAGACTCTAAAATAATTAAAATCTATGTTGTCGCTTTCGAGTGTACAATTCATTAGTGGTCGTAATTTTCAGGGGGCTTTTGTGCATAATTTTCCGACTCAGTCTGCGCTTATCAAACCCAGGTCTATCTGGATTCCTCGCAGTCCTCGTTGTGGATGAGTGCGAAGAACTGCTGTCCCCATCTGACTCTTCTGAGTCAGAGTCACTTCCGCTGCTGCTACCGGAACTATCATTGCTAGAGCTATTTGATTCGTCTGATTCACTTTTGCTGGTGCTCTTTCCACTTGGGCTAGATTTGGCAGACACTTTGGACCAAACTGTTGACGCAACCGTGGGCTTCTTCGGGGTTCTCACCACTACCGACACTTTACTTCTCGGCTTTTCACTACTACGACTTTTCCGCCGTCTTCGCCCCTGCAGTACTGGTTTACTAGAATGCATTCTATCGCTATGCATAGTTCTTTCTGGAGTTCTCCTTCTGCTTGATCTATGACTCTTATGTCCATCGATGACTTCGCTGGCAGGCTTAATCAATACGGATCGATGCCTACCGCTAGATTCCCTATCTCTGCTCCTGAGCTCTATTCTGTCTTTGAGCAAATCCCTTCTTTCATTAATCATATCTCTTCTATCAGTGATAAACTCTCTTCTATCACTCATCAAGTCTCTTCTGGCGTCAACCAATGCGTTTCGATCATCAGGATATAGGTAGTCTAAATGCTCAAAGGGGCTGCGGTCCACAGCAAACACCATCCGTTTGTTTCTGTTCTTTAATTTGGTTCCCAAATCAACATTATGATCAATGTCTTTTTTCGAGATCAACTTGCTGTTTGTGTGGCCTAATATATCTCTCAAATCTCGCTCTCGTTCCCTTTTATCTATTTGGTCTTTTTGGTTCTGGATTTTCATTAGTATTCGCCTACGCTTCTGATTTTCCTCTTCCTCGTCAGCATACATTTTCATTCTAGGCACTTTGGTGCGCTTTTTTTCAGACTCATCATCAGCGTGTAAGCTGTTCGCAGGTTTTGAATTTTTTTCAATGACTTTCCTTTTTGTCCCCAGTCGCGATAAAAGTTTTGAACTCTTGACCTCCACTACTTCATCATCGTCATCAGACAACTGATAAACTACTGGTTCCTTTTCTCGAAATTGAGAATCTTCATCCCAATTGCGTGCTAAAGATCCCCAAGGATTTTTACTGGGGGGAGCTACTAAATCTTTGTTGCGCTCGAAAATGGTCTTCAGTTCCTTCTTCTTTGATTCTGGAATAAAGTTCTTCTGGCTTGTTAAGCGTTTGTAATATTTACTGCATTTCTCTGATTTAAACGGCAGCTTATCAGTAACTCTCCCAAATCGTACTAGCATGCATTTAGTTCTTGGATGAGCATTTGCCAAGCGCCAATATCCTGGGGGAATGGGAATCGTTATTTCCGATATGTCCACAGCGTTTTCTGGTTTAGGTTTTGGCAAAAAAACTTTGCCTAATTCATCTTGCATTTCGACATCGCGATTCTTTAACAAAATGCTTTGCCCTGTTTCCAACTCATCAATGTCATCTATAAAATCCTTCGGGAAAGTATCTCTCGGTTCTCTAGCAGGCATGCCGATGATCACTTTCGATTTGAAATGTAAGGCTCTGGCTGCTGACAGGCTATCCAGCCAAACGACATTACAACTGTTGGAATCCACCCATTCTATGCCTTCAGGGGAGTAACTGGCAAAATATTCTACTATATCCTCAACAGTCATGTCTTCTAATCCAAACAGATGGATAGACTTGAATTTCACTTCGCTTTCATTAGCGGTATTCACTCCGAGGCTGTCGTACAAATCTTGCAAGTCCTGATCAGTAAAACTGTGAATATCCTCCGGTTTTAATGCAAATCTTTTGGCACGTTCAGCAAGTTTTCCCTGCTCCTTTTCATCAAAGATATCTATCCCAGTTATGAAAGTTCCACTTCCACGCATACTGGAGGCCATCTGAAAAATGCAAAATCAAATAGTTTAAACATTTCAGTATATGATCGAAATAATAAATAAATGGTGGGTTACCCAAGATTAACGCGTAATAAAATATAATTAATTAATAACAAAAAATAATTGTTCCGTCGAAAAAGGCGGTTTATCTTTAAAATAATGTTTACATTATTGTATGCGATATTCAACTGAAGGATTTCTAGCTAGTTCGAAACGTGAAAAGGACTTGATTTCGTCACGTCAAATCGACGTGATTATCACGGTAAATATGATAAATCATCCGCTTTGAGCAAGTGGTGAATTCTTCAGTGTCGTGGAATAAAAACTACCAGAACTTTTTATTTGGTAGCTGTTTTTGGTAGCATTTTTGTGCTCTTTGTAAAATAAATACAAAACATATTTCTGTTTCCTTGCTATTTAACAATTTCAGACGTTAACTACAATTGTCGTAGTAAGCGATAATGGTTCTTTAATTACATTATTACCAAAAGCGACTTCGCTTACATTTATTGCCAAGCTTTTCTAATTATGAAATGCTCAAAAAAACATACTAAGTATTAGGATGGTTACCCTTTGGAAGAGTTTTCGTCCGAATTGCTTTTCTCAGAAACCGGCTGCAAACTTTTTGTAAAATTTGGCGCTTACATAGGAATAAATTTACAGTAAATTTAACTAAATATCATTCTCCCGATATGACTTAGCATATTTAAAAAGGCGTTTTTTATGTAAAAAATTGTTAAATAACAAGGAATCAGAAATAATTTTCGTGCAAAAACTATGAATTTTACAAGATATTACAAAGAGCACATAAATGTCCAAAAATAATCAGTACACCAATTTAAAAAAATCAGGTGATTTCAGGGCCCAAATAAAAAATTCTGGTAGTTTTTATATCAACACTCAGAATTCACCACTTGCCCAAAGCGGATGAATTCGGTTACTTCATCAAAATATAAATCTTACATCAGAACAAATTTACAGCGAGATTCATTAAAATTCTCCCAATATTTCAAAAAACATAATTATTTTGAAGAAATGTGGTCATATTTATTGTATTGATTAGAGCACAAGCATCCAGCCGAAATAATTTAAAATTATCTCCATCGGTTCAATTCTGCACAGTTTTTTTAAATTATTTTATCACAGCTACTGAAAATTCGAGCACACTTTCAAAGTAGTTACAGGTAATATCTGAACATTTATAAGACATAAAAAACCAAAATTCCTGTGTTATAAAATTTCGTACGATACTCAAAGTACGAATAACTTAAATAATTAAAATACATTGGAGCAACTGATTGCAACAACAATTAACATTGCTCCTGTTCGCAATAACTCCTCCAACTCGGAATAACTGGAAGAAATTAAAGATGAAACAGGTTGCAGGAAAGTTTAGAAGTTTATGATTGAAAATGATTTCAATGGTCGTCACTGATTTAAACGCTTTGTTCACAAAAATACGTTATATTGTTATACGAACTGTTTCGGGAAAGACAATTGAGCCTTAGAGCAAAATAGTTTTGACTAAAGGTTTCATGACTGGAGTATGCTACATTTGCTGTTCATATACAACCCACAGGTGTCTCAAATAATAAATATGATGAGATTTTTTGACTCCACCCTGGACCAAACGTGGCTAATTGGTTGAGACACGTAAAGTTAATTGAATACCCAAAATGTTTCAAACAGAAAACTGTTCAAATCCTTAAATAAAACATGCTACGAAAACGAATGAAAATGATAACACTCCCATTATTACACAAGCAAAATATGTGTAATCTAAAAAATACCCCTTGTTGAGGTGGGGACTAACGCTTTGATTCCTAGCCGTTCGATGACCTTAGAAAATAAACTCACCTTGCTTTCGGTTTAACAGCCTTTCTAAACTGGTCTAGAAGCAACCACAGCACAACAAATATTTGATAGAATACGAATTATTCCTGCAAGACTTAAAAACAATTTATCAATTCACAAACTATTTTGACATGACGAAATTGGCCTCACGTTGGCCTAACCAAAAAACGTCAAAACATTAGAGTGTGTTCGGTTATGGCTAAATGGGTAATCGATCAGTGGCGAACTCTATCCGCCACTTCTCAAGTAGCAGCTCCAACCGAAACGCCAGCTATATCTTAGTTAATATATGATATCTACCCACTAACATATCCCACCACAGATTACAGAGTGTGAGATTACAGAACCTCTGTGATCTGTGTATGCCACTTGTAAACCATAGATAAAGACCACATAAAGACCACAGGATAAAGCAGGATAAAGACAAGTTGTAAACAATTACAATAGGCTAGGGCACAGTCTGCGAAACTTTAGCGATGATTTAAAGCATTAGTTGTACTTATCTTGTGCGATTACCAGTGATTGATCGAGTTTAGCGTCGTTTTTCAATTCACCATCTTGAGTCTTGTAGTGTTTCACAAACATGTCGAAGCCCAGTCACATTTTAAACGTTTTGAAACAAGCACTTATAACGTTTACCACTACCAAGCACAAAGCGGAATCGTTTCCATTGAATTTGGAAGCTCTCATAGCTCTACTAGACAAAACAACTGCCGAGCATGTTAATTTTCCACGTCAGTTCCTCAATCCACAGCTGTGGGAACATCCAGATAAGGCACCAGTGAGTTGCATCGAATTATTCGAGGATGACCATCTCACCATGGGAATATTCATTCTGAAACCAAATGGAAAACTGCCACTTCACAATCATCCTCAGATGCATGGACTAATTAAAGTAATCGCTGGTCAAGTCAAGATAGTGAGCTACTCACTCAATACAGATAAAACCCAGGAAGTGGACAACAAAAGTTTCCAGGACAGCACGGCTCCAATGCCTTTCAAGCCAAAAGCTGGCAATTACAGCATAGTAACTGCGGAACTGAACGAAATTACGATAGCTGGGGTAAACAGCCCTCCCTGTGTTCTTGAACCCAACTACAAAAACCTACATGAAATTCAAAGTTTAAATGAGCCTGCAGCCTTTTTGGATATCCTGGCTCCTCCATATGGCTATTCTGATGCCGATTACGATTCAAGAAAGTGTTCATATTACAACAAATTAAGTCAAGTAAGTTCAGACGTGTTTCGTTTACAAGAAATTAGATCACCATTGTGGTATTGGACTGACTCCCATCCTTACACTGGTCCAGATTTGTATGAAGCTGGTTTAAGTAATTAATTTGAAGTGATATTGTGGTTTATTAGTGATCGTGATGGTGAATGGTAAAATACGCCTATTTAGGTCCTTCCCAGCCATCTTTAGGGCTCAATGAAATTCTGAAAATACATCTACATTGGCATGTTGCTATATAGCTTTCTATGCAAATATAGCACTAACTGTTAACCGATAAATTCAAGAACCTAAATCGGCATCTTTTACCAGTTAATTCGAATGCTAATTTGCAAATTGAAAGTTTTTATTTTTGCTATTGAAAGTGTTCCTAATATTGAACATTGTCATGGTCCGTTTTTAGTCTGATAATAAAATTCTTACATTCTAAATGCTTGGCCCAGTATTTTCTATTTGGCTGGGCATTAATCACTACTTATAAAATTGAAAAAACTTAATTATAGTTATTTATATAAATTATTTCAGATTTATTGTTATCGCTTATGCGTGTATGTTGAATTTGCTCAATAAATGTTACAATAACATCATCTTTTGAGCATGATTGACTTAAGTTTGAATAGTTATTATTGCTCTGTATCGTCATTCAAAAATAGTTAATACTCCTACCGAAATGTTTTGAAGAATGTGTTTAAGAATTGAGCTAAAACATGAATGAATTCCAGTTTTTTGTTATTTTTATTGCCCCGATTATTTAAGTGAATAAAACAAACTTTTAAAAATATAAACGCTGTTTTTATTAGATATTTTAATAGGAGTTAACAATGACCAAATTTTGCCTAATTACAAAAACCCTTAAATTAATCGCTCAAAACATTAACAAATATTCAAAGTAAAGAAGGCGTCATAGTCGATCCCTTAAAACAGAACTGAGCAATAAACACACAGACTGATCAGTGCGCATATATTGTCAGCAAATTAAGCTTAATTCCGTTAATAGAACGTACCTGAATAGTAATCGATGTCAAATTTTAAGAGTAGCGTATGTACGCGTTACAGTAGTCAATAACTTGAGTCGTTTGACTTAAATAATTCACTTTAATTGATAATTTTTTCGTTTCCTAAAACCTGGGTTTCATCTGTCGTTAATTCCCATGAAAAGCCTCTAAAACTGCCGCAATATGTGGATTGCATTTGTGCTTTAAGGGATAGTAAATATTTTTACAGTAAGAATGCGATTTAATATTATTCATCCTGTCGCCGATTATTGTGCCTTACATAGGTGGAAATATTGGACTCAGTGTAATCTAAAATCTTCCTCTGGCACTGCCTGATGTAGTTCTGCTGTTTGTGGTAAATTTTCAGACACCCTTTGACCGCAATAAATGCCAATCCTCCTAACACGGTTCTGTGAAAGTTCGATTTGACTGAATCAAAAAGGAATTTGCCAAAAAACGTTGATATGGTTGGCATCAGTAGTGCGCCGCAAAGCACCCGAGTAGCAGACACTGGACTAGACAACGGAGGAAGTTCATTTTCCGTGGACGATTGCGGACGAGTATTTGTGGCAATATCAATTCTGAAATATTCAATATATTTAGTTAAAATTATTCTATAATTGATGTTGCAGTTTGTGGGTTACCGTGAGGCTAATTGGTAAAAGACGCATGTAATGCATAACTTACCGAAATGGTGGAATGCTTCTGATAATTGGAATTTTGTTGATATTTTTTCTCATAAAACTAAGTAACGCATCTTCCCAACGGATGAGCTTTCCCAAAAGTAAGGCCACTGGTATTGCTGGAAGTCCAATCAGTAAAACAAGCGGATCAGCTTGTTCCATTATTGCTAAACCTTCTTTCTGCCCTATAACCTGAATAGAAAAATTCTTAATACAACCGAGTTTGCCTATATGGAATTTACACTTGTAGAGATTTTAATTAATGGCGATTTTTCTATTAGACTTATAAGACCAATACAATATTTTACCGGACTTCAATCTCTTAATACGTTTATAATCAGCAGATACTAATGTTCTCAGTAATTCGAAGAAATATATATAACAAAAACCACATTTTTTATACGAGTTTTCATTCGAATTTCTTTTAACTGTGTGATAATCTATTGTTTTTTTATAATTTCTAAATAGACAATAAGTGCAAAAAACAATTCAATTTTCAACGAATTCACTTCAGATTTTCGAGTATTTGCTGTTTACCTGCATTACTGTAATGGCACCATATGTAACTGCACACCAATATACTGCCCCAACAACTATGCCTGCAGCCATAAAGGGACAACCTTTGTATATAAAACTATCCATTGTATCTAGCATTAGAACTAAAATGCCCATATTTGGGAACACTATAATGTACTCAGTCTGACATTGAGGGCATATCACTTTGTTCAAGTTGCCCCCTTTCTGTTTTTCATCCACCCATCTCTGGAGGCAAGTTTGATGAACCTATAATGGGGCGGTAAGGATTGATTTGTTGATGCAAGCAAAGCGCTGAAAATCGAACCCATTTGGTCGTGCCTCTGCAGTTACATGGCTGTACCCATGCAGCGTCTAAATCCTCGTCCTCTGACGCAAAACATACCCAACAGTATTTGCCGGAGTCCTTGCTGATTACGGGAACTCCTTTCGATTCACTTCTCGAACTGCTTTGACTGTTTTGGTCGGCATCTGAGTTCATGATAGGTCTTTATTTCATAACAAATAATTTAGCTTGAAAGAAAATTAAACGGGATTTAGTGTGAAAATATGTAGATTTGAATTAAGATGACATTTTTTTGGCATTATTTATTGGAAATAAATATACCTTTTAACACAAACGTCAACAATAATATTTAAATGTCATCTCATATTTGTCAGACAGCTTAAATAACTCTAACCTTGTCTTTATAAATTTGTCTTCTTTCACTATCAACAATCATATAGAAGCACGGAAGAAGTAGAAGACTATTAGAATATTTGGCAATTGGCAATAACCAATAACCAAAGTTTTTTGTTTACATGCTAAAAAGTTCATCTTTTAAAGATTTTAAATCGTTTTTCAAACGAAAAAAAAAACAACTTAATCTCGTTATCAGCAATTAAAAAGCTCCTTAAACAAAGTATAAATCATGTCCGGAGATAGTTATGAAATAGATCAGGATGTAGATTATATAGGTCAAGAAAAGGTAAAATCAAGAGCTGTAGTAAAGTTCTCAGCTCCTAAGCCTGCAACATTTGCTAAACTGCAATGTAACACTGACTTGAATCTACCTCCTTCTAACTGGTTAAGCAGTTCCGCTGATTCATATGGATTACAACGCGTTATATATCATCAGAAAGGGTTTTCCAGGTATAAGAAAAATGGGAAACTTGTCCTTTGGGCGCTAACTAAATTAAGATTTTAGTTTTAGAATGGCACATATGTTTCCAGACTGTGTAGGCGAGGTGGATGTTGTTTCGGATGCAGAAAATATTAAGAATCTTCTGAAGATTCCTTACAGCAAAGGACATATTAGTATGATGGTTCATCGAGTTGAAAATACACTCCTACTAGATGAATTTGATATCTACAAGCATTTACTGAAAACTTCAGAAACTGACTGGGATTGGCTTAAAAAGTTCTTCTTTGAAAATGTAGACAGACAGTCTTACGAGGAAGATCGACACCTGTATTTGAAAAATAGGTATCTCCTTTCCAATCTAATCTTATCTAATTCACTTTGGCTTAATCAATATGCAGTTTATATTTTGGCAACTTTGTGGAATGTAGTGCTAATGAGTTGGAACAAATATAAATTGATTATTCAAGTATTCAACCCGATATCATTCCGGCCGTAAATATAGTTATCAATTAAAACAGTACTTTTACTCGTTCCATTTATCATATTTTATTTAAAAAATTATTTCCAGGACTCAGAAGGCTTTGAAACAGAAAAGTTTGGTCTCAAAGTTTTTATATCACAGTTTAGTGGAAAGCAAGGATGATGGCGAAGCTGACTCTGGTTCTAGGTAAATATTTAATTTTTAATACCACTCCTAGTAATTTGAAAATGATTTAATTTATAAATTTCTAGACATTTTCCATTGCAACCTACCACCAGTAAAAGTCTGCAACCGCCACCTCTGCCAGACCCATCACCAAGCTCAGAATGTCCAGATTCAAATCCATTCGAATTTAATCGCAATGTAGCGTGGACTTTTGAGGATATTGAAATGCTTCTTGGCACTGATATGCCGATATTTGGAGGTGGGACGCATCCGTGCATTTCTTTGAGGTCGGTTTATTTTGAAAAATTTTAACGGAATTTCCAGCAATGGAATTTTCAGGTTGCGAGACATGAATAGACCAATTTCTGTACTTACTGGAATCGATTATTGGCTCGATAATTTGATGTCAAATGTACCTGAAGTTGTAATGTGTTACCATCTGAATGGCATTGTGCAAAAGTATGAACTTATTAAAACAGAGGACTTACCGAGGTAAGACAATACCAAACTGTATTTTGTCTCATTAGAAATAGCATTAGAACTTAGTTATTAGTGTAACGAATGCCAGGGTTGCGCAAGTTTTTAATGCCATAAAAATCTACTTACTTAGAACATTTTATATGAGTAATTTCTTAAAGTAACATCTTAAAGAATTTCCACCATCTAGTTGCATCCACAATAGTCTACCAGCTAGACCTTTAGATATTTCTTTCAATGGTAGACTCATGGTAGAATCTACTCATCAGAAACACTAGTTCGGCTGCTGCCACTCAAATTTCATATGTTTCTTTGACTTTCATGAGGATTTTCTATTAAAGAAGCTGTTACTTCACATTGGTTTGCTTCATTTTCAACTACTGAACTGTTACTGCACACTTGTGTATGCCACTCATCAACTTTTATCATTCGTGTAGCAATACGCAGTTATCTCGAACTTTATTAATTGGGTGAAAAATCGCAATCATCTAGAAAACGGTTGATTTTTAAGGGTTGTTATAATATTTTTGAGAAAAAAGTATTACATTTTATGTCTGACGCTTTGAAAACACATCCAGATTTCGATTTAACGAGAAATTTCAGATAAAGTTATTTAATTTTCAAACTTTAGTTTTCAGAGATTGTATAAATGTATAAAATTCGATATAAATTAAATAGTATTAAATAGTCAAATATTTTTTTTAGTACTGGCACAAAAAGAGGTCCTAGAATTTTTTTACTTTTGGTTTACAGTTAGACATGTTTTCAGAATAAATCAAATACGGTTCACATTTTCTATATTTTACCTTGTAAAAGCTTTATTTTTACTATGGAATTTGATAATGCTACCATAGAAGGTGTAACATTTTTTGGGGAAATCTATAGTTGAAACAAATTTTTAAATGTGGCCAGCTAAAAAAATGTTAAGTTGCCAAAAATTCGATTAGGAAATCCTGTTATTTTCTTCGCCAGATAAAGCCGAGAGACAGTAAAGATGAGGCGGCTATCTTGTATTGAATATTTTGAGTTCAATTTTCCTATAAAATAAAACGAATTGAGAAGATTGATTAACAAATACTCTCCCTCATTGAAAACATCACTCAAACCCCCTTAAGTATAGTTTTCAAATTTAATCTCTATACATTTATTTCAGACTGAACAATTCAAAGTTTTCCCCAAAGTTAATTAGAGACGTTGCTCAGAGCATTCTGTCGTTTTTAAAATCAAATGCTACGAAAGCCGGTCACACCTATTGGTTGTTTAAAGGGAAGGACGAAGAAGTGAGTACCTAAAAGATTAACTACTTTAGGAAGTAGATCAGTAACTGAAGTAACCATTAACGGACTTTCAATGTTTTTTTAGGTTGTTAAACTTTATGATCTCACTTCGCTTTGCTCAGAAGAGGATGTTCAAAAGGGACAAAATCCGTTTACTATTCCCGTTGCTATGTTGCTTTATAGAGTCGCTAGGAATATGAAGCATTCGCCGGATAGGTGAGCTAATTTTCTCATTTATCAGACTTAGTTTGCAGAAATAGTCTGCACAGCGCATTTATAAGAATATTTCGCTGTTACGTAGAAGGCCACAACCCGGGACTATTCGCATGCTTTTAAAAAACACTGTGAAATTACTATCAGCAGAAAAATATCCGGAAATCGTGACCTCATCCCATTATATGCTCTCCGATTTATATATTCCAGCGGAAGTAAATCCTGAAAATCCAAATTTGGAAAGGTTTGAAAAAGATGATGATGAAGGGAGTGTTTACGACGATGATGAAGATTTGCCGAATGATGGTAGGTGGATATTAGGAATAGTGTTTTTTAATAAAGAAAAAACGGTTTCTAGATAATTCTGTATCTGTTCTTGACCTGGACAAGCGCGAAAGCAACGAAAAATTCAGAAATTTTTATAAGCCACCGACTCCATTAACTGGAAGCTTAGAAGAGAGGTGCAGCCATGCAATTAGTCACATAGCTGCCGGATTTAAATGTTTGCCATATTTTAATGAAAAAGACAAAGAGGAAACCAATAGGGGAGCAGAGGAAGAGGCAAGTGATATTAACTAATTGAAAGTACTAGTGACTACATTAGTTATTTTAGGTACCCATGGCAAGACCTTTTGAACCAATTCCAATGCCATATCCCAAGCTAAATGAGAACGTTAAAGCTGACAGTCAACTCGAATCAGACTCCTCAGGTCGCACCTCTAAACGATCTAAGAAGAAAGATAAGAAGAAAAAGGAAAAAAACGTAGAGCAAAAAATGTAAGATATGGTTGACTAGACGCTTTACATGTCTATTCCTACAATAATAGCTTTTGAACGTTTGCAAATGAATTTCCTAGCAGAAAATGAGCGTAACTAATAATAATCACTATTTATAGATTTATTTTTATCCAGGGAGTTTTAAATTGAAAGTATTCCTTGCAAAACTAAGGCGAAGCATTCAGGCTATATAGTTTCAAGTCAAGTTGCGAATTGATGTTCAGTTACGATCCCCCAGAATTTTTCAATAGCTGTATGATTGTTTTATTAATATAGGGCACTGTTGCCTAAAGAACCGAATGACGCTGCTTACCATCCTAAGTGGCCTACTTTTGATCCGAAAACCATATCTTGGAAAGGGCATTTAAAAACGTTGCTACTGGAAAAGGCTGTCTTAGTCTATGCCACATTAGCAGAATACTATATTTCTCGGGTAAGTGTACATGTTTTTTTGGTTCAATTGGGATTGGTCGGCCGGGGCAGGGAGTTTGTTGACTTTTTGGAGGTTGGTCTATTATGGTGTTCGAAATAAAACTTTCTCAAATTTCTTCTTGGCTTCTGAATCAAAATATAAGCTTTTATAGTACCAATATTAATTAAATTTTTAAATTAAGTTATTTAAGTCCCGTTAAATTATTGCTTAGTAAAGAGCAAGTAAGTTTGTATCTAATCGATTTTTTTACTGAATGCTCAAAAAATGGAGAACTTAAAAACGAAAATATCGCTTAAATATTCCAAACCCTTTACCAATATCAAGAAACTTTTAATAGTGAAAAATATTGGAAATCGGTTTGTTGTTCAGAATATTTAAGAAATACAGGCATCTGTTTGCGTCTATGTTGAGATGAATCGTTATTTTCGTACCCTGTGAAGAAACACGTGTTAAACCCTAAAAAAAATGCAATTTTGGAATGCTAAACAATTGATGCAGAAGTTTTTGTTTAAAACCGCATAAACAACCCCCATTATTTCGAAGTTTTTTTCGAACTGCATAATTAGCCCTCAAACGAACTTTCGGCATCACCATAACTGTATAAGCTTACTCATCTTTCGATTTTTTTTCACGCAATATCAACGCTGAAACCTTAAGGTTAGCGTAACGATTAGTGATTGCAATAATCGAATTGTTTTTATAATCGAAGGATTAAATCTTGGAAAATCTTGTCTAAGACCTAATTCGAATCATTTAATCGAACTGAATTTAGTTTTCGCTGTTCAAATTAATAAAATGGAATATAATACAATACATATATGTACCATCACCTTTCGATGGGAAATAAGGTGAGATTTGCGAAAAATGTTCCGCAGATTCAAGATCATGAAGACAGCATGAATGTTTTTTTAAGATTCACAACAGCCTCAGAATAAAAAGCAGGTATGGACCACAGTATGCTTTTACCATTGGAATAACTCTTTAGTTGAGGGTACAAATTAGTAAATAACTATCATTTTCAGAGCATGTATGGAGAATGCCTTCGAGTCTTAGGGCTGCTTGCAAGATGTCAATTGGCGTTAGATCGAGCTCAGTTAAAAGGTGGCAGTGGAGTTCTAAGACTGAGCTGTTTGTTAGGAAGAGCGGGAGACGCTTGTCTTATGATAGTACAACATTGGAAAAGTGTTGATGTCTATAGAGAACAGTTGCAATCACACCATTATGAAGATGAACTCTTGTTGGAGCAATTAGAACAGGACGAAAGGTAGCGAATTCCTTCACTTTCGAAATATTGTTAGTTAAACGTGTTGGATTTTCAGAGTTTGCCGCGTTAGTTTGGGGGACAGTGATATCAAAGTTGTATTTGTTCATGACATTAGAACCATTGAGCAAATGTTGCTTAAAACAGTGGAATGTTATGAAGGTGCAGCGAAAATATCACCTTCGGAAAGTATATCGTTCAGGTAAAGTACGTTGGGTTTTTAACACAAATACTTTACTTAAACCCCAAATATGTTTCAGGTTGGCGAATAGCTTAAACGAATTAGCAAGCTACTACTTGAATGTTGCGAAACAATCTACCACCGCAGAAGATGCAATTTTTGCATGTAATAAGAGCGAACCATATTTAACGAGAGGCTTACAAATATTCGAAAATCTAAACAACGATGCCAATATCGCACTTTTAAACTCCAATATGGGTCATCTACATAGACTTCTGGCTTTTGCACATATGCCAACGGACAGGTGAAACTTTATTTATATATTTATATCATGTACAGGTGTTCCAAAAATACACGGACATATTTTTAAGGGTGGTCAGTCACATAAAAAAATTAGTTTTTTGTATTCAATGTCCAAAAGTAAATTGTTCTTTTGGATATCTAAAAGGTTCTCCAGGTTATTTTATTGAACTTTTGAGTTTGTTTCTTCAAGGGGGTTTTTGTTTCTTCAAGGTTTCTTACGGGGCAACTGATTCGTGTATCGCAGAAAATGAACACTCAGTAGTATTTGACATTTTTTTACTTTTAAAGAAAGTAGACCAAAAGGCAATTTTTATATAAGATTTTTAGCACGAGACTTCTTTGCCAAGAAAAAACTGATTCACTAAATAATTTACTATGTTGTAAGTAAACTATGTATTAAACTGTGCGACAATTATTCAACACTTTGATCATTTACTTCAATACATAAGCAACATACTGGCAATCTTATGTTAATTGAAAAACTGTCAAGCGAGTTATTTTGTGTATGCAATCAAATTGCACCATGAGCCCGCCCTTGAAACGCATATAAAAGATAAAGTGATTTAACACATGAGCTGGACTGAAAATATATTTGAGTTCAATTTAATGTATAATCTAAACAAAAGAAGAAGCCCAAAGTATTTCGGATTCATTCTTATCAAACTCCATTCTAAAACTATTTACCAAAATATTTTAGAAACTCTAATTTGAGCTGCATTTAAAAAAAAACACGCTTTAATCTTGGAGATTTTTTTCTTTTTTGAGGCCGTCGTTGAATAGAGTTCATACGAATGTTTCACTAGGATAGGAGACGTCCGAACATCAAAAGTAATCATGCTAGATTTTTTCCTTGACTTATTATAAGATACGAAGCGGTATTTAATGTATGTCCGAAATATCTAGGGCTGAACTGACCCCACAAGAACGAAAACATTTCAACAAAGCCTATCAAAGCTACAAAAGGGCGCTCCGCGCTATAGGGGAGAGAAAACATTGCCCTGGAATATGGGACGCTGTCACATGGGAACTAAGTACTGTTCTGTATACAGTTAGCGACATTTTACATAAGAATCCACCCACAGACGTCGTAAGTTATATCAGCCGATAAATTATGTGCGTTAATTAAAACTCATTTCAGAGTCAAAGCGATGCTGAGAAACAAGTTTTGGAAGCAATTCAAACCGCTTTAGATCATTGCGACCTAGATGAGACGAATCCAAAATATCCTCTTTATCAGTTCAGAGCCGCCATGTTGCACGTTAAATGTGGTAATATAGAGTTTTTAGCTGTAGTTTTACACATTCCAACGATTTTCTTTGCAAGGATGCCTTTGGCACTCTCATATCTGTAATCCTGCCGCCTCAGATACCAAACGGTACTCAGTTCAATTAGCTCAACATCATTATGAAAAAGCTTCGAAGTTATTTTTCGAAGCTGGGGATGCCATACATTTCCTTTCCTGTGAGATGCATAGAATGGCTCTGACAGAACATCTAATTGAATGTGAGTTAATTTCTAAGCAGCCGAATTATTTAAACCAGCCGCTGTTATTATTTGTAGATAGCACATCTGCAGCAACTAAATTGAAGCATCTTCAATCGGCAATAAAATATTTTCTGGAAATCAACAAAATGTTGGAAATGTTGGTGAACAAAAAAGTCCAAGTACCAGTTGAACAAAAAACGTCCACTTCAGACGACACGTGTTTTGAATCATTGCAGTCGCTACTAATATTAATCAAAAAGCGCTTGCAACATACGTTGAAAATGTTGATTAAAATATGTCTTTCGAAACCGAGTCCAACTAAGGATTCTCCTAAGTTGGCGGAAATGTACAAGGCTTGTTATAAGGTCACATTTAGTTTATCAGACGAAGCTGATTGTGATGATCTTTTACAAAGTTTGTACGATGCCTTAGTCAAAATTTCTGAAATACAGTCTCAGTGACGTTTATAACACAAATTATTTTTTGTAATTTACATATAAATTAAATGTTTCATTAGAATGCTCAGGATTTATATTCATAGTGTGACAATGGAAAAATTGCGTTCGGTTTTCATGCTACAATATTTTTTTTGCGCCACATTGATTAGGAGAGCACACTTGATACCTAAACGGAATTAAAGGTTTGAAAGGTAGTGCAAAGCAACTAGGAAATTAAAATTTCAATGATACACCCTGTATACTAACGTGCTGAAGCTTTGGGGATAAAAAACACTCTTCGAGAACCGATAGAGCTGGGAATATCGAATGCAGTTCTTTTTTTTTTATCAAACTGAAACATTTTACTCTATAAGAGTTCATATATTTCGCTTTATTGAGCAACGAACAGTATGAAGTCATACTCATTTTCGAAATCTGCAAGATAGTGTTTGGCTTGCGTTTGCAGTACCTTTATCTTAAGTTTGCTACAAAATTTTGATCTTTGAAGAATGTACAAACAAGTTTGGAAGTTGGTTGCCTTCACGGTTTTTATAAATTACCATTTATAATTTTAATAAAATAGTAAAATAAATAAATTTTACAGTAATTAAAATAAACTATTTCCATCAGATTACGTTGTTCTTCAGATTATGTCATTGCGATTGCAGTCTTGTAACTAACAGCTATTAATTAACGGGCCAACGAGCAAATGTGAATAAAGTACCATTTAAGACGTTAAATGAATCCCGATGGGTTGTCAAGGTAAGTTTGCATTTAACGTTATTGTTGCTCTCAAAAACTAAACCGACGTAGTGCCGCAATTAAATATTTTTAAACATTTTGTCTACAAATTAAAATCGTTATCTAGGAAACGTTTGTATAACCGATCTAAAACCAATATCAAATTAATCCGAGTTTTAATTTGATAACTCCTAATTTGGTTGAAATGTTATTGAAACACCAAAAATAGCAAATTGTATATAATTATATTGCCAAACTAAATAATAAAATACAAGTTTAAGTAAGTATATGTATATACAAAATTTGCTAGATCCACAAAGATTTTATTAAATTTTAACGATATATGCGGCAATGTTTTAAAATAAATGGTTCCTTCATATAGCTTGATAGAAAAAGTAAGTTGCCGTAAAGTCATACTTATTTATCACTTAGTACATAGATATAACATTTCGAACTTACGATGATAACGGACATTAAGTCTTTTAAGTGATAAAAACTAAGCTTTTATCGACAAATACATTTTCCCTTTCAAGGTCTGCTTGGTCGGATTGATTTTCTTCAGAATCTGCGTCATAAAGTTAACGAGTTGTTCGCTGGATAGGCCAGTCTTCTTAGACTTGAATTTCTGCAGTAACTCTGTAGCTGTCATTGGTTTCCTCATTAAGTATTTACGAACCGAATCCTCGGTGACTCCTGATTCGGCCAATCCTTAAAATAAAATATTTATTTAGATTTAAAACATTCAGAAGTTTGGAGATATTTACCTGGAATAAAGTTCGGCAAATCCAATTTTGGTTTCTTGCTAGGACCTGCTATCACATCATTTATAATTTTGCGTTTTCCATCAACAGTGGGACTAGCTGCTCTACTACTGTTCTCACTAAAATTATAATTTACTGTTTCGTGCTGCTTACAGTCAAGATTGATTTACTCATACCTTACAGGTTCGAATTTAGAATCGTTCTTCTCCTTATCTTTCTTGTCACTTTTCTTTTTTTTTGTGTCATCATCTGAAGAACTGTCTGAACTGAAATCATCGTCCGGATCATTTTCTTTCTTCTTTTTGTCCTTTGACTAATAACAAAAAAATATATTTATGTGATACATTTTCAATGTTTCCAAACAAGTGTTATACCTTTTTGTCTTTTTTCTTCTTTTTCTTGTCCTTATCATCATCAGCTTTTTTTTCTGCTTCATCTTCCTTCTCATCTTCTTCATTGTTCTTATCTTTGTCCTCCTTATCAGAGTCCTCTGATTCTTCCTCGTCAGAATTTAGCAGTTTTCTTTAAAATTCGCACCATGTAGTTTTTAAATGATATAGGAATATATAACTTACTTCAAGCCTTTTTCCTCAGACACACCATCAAGATTTGTATTTTCTGGCTCACTTTCACTACTGTCGCTGATGTAATCTAACTCTCTGCCTTCCTCATCTCCATCATCAGAGTCTTCAACTGCCTCCAAATCCGTGTCTCGCTTTTTCTTGGGCTTAGGTGGACCTGAAGAATGACATGCATTTTAGTATACCTAGATGCAAAACGGTTTTTAAATAATGAGTGTACCTTTCTTTTTTTTCTTGCTTTTCTCCCCATCATCTTCCTCTTCCACCTTCTCATCACCATCAGAATCTGAGTCTCCGTCAGAACTATCCATCCATTCATCCATATCAGATATTTTTAGCTCCTTATCTTTTTTCTTTGACGTCTTTTTACTTTTCTCCCCATCTTCATCTAAATCTGCGTCATCTTCACCTTTCAGTCGTTTCCTAGATAAACCATCGCAAATCGAGCATGAATGATATTATGTGCACTTGCCTTCTTACCTCATCATGAGAGAGAAGAAATTCAAATGCTTGTTTCGCTTGTTAAATTCCATTTCGGCTTCTTCAGCAGACAAAGCTTTGTATCTCTGAATAGATTGAAATTTATACCACTCGTATAGAGGAAAAGCTTCAATTGCCCCATCTTCAGCATGTGTAAATACATAATACGCCGTGTTTTCTGATATACCACCCTCTCTGATTCCTGAAAAAAGTTAAATAATAAAACTCTAAAACGATCATTGCTTTGGCCTGTTAAGGTCCAGCATTTTGATCTACACGTTGTGTGTGTATGGATATCAAACGGCTACTTCAATAGGTCCCACAGAATGAAATTTCTAGGCGATAAAGGCACGGAAATCCTACTTTAATATTGGGTCAAATGGTGCCGTATTAGAGTAGGCTAGAGTAGTTAACAATATTATTTATGATTGATCCTCGCGCGATGAGTTTCCTCGTGTTTAGCTCCTAGAAATCCAGTTCTGCTTTGTCACCGATGGTGGAACGTATTAAAGTATATATATAATGTACGCTTCTATGTATATACGCATCCATTTTTATTCGGCGAAATTCACTTTGATAACAATCGATTCATCTGCTAGATGTTATTTGGATAAAATCGAGTAATATCGTGATATTCAATGTGACTTTCGGATACTGTACCTGCTACTAATGAATTAACCAATATTAACCTTTAAACTTTTTAACAGTGCTTCCAAAACACTTTAATATCCAGGGTTGATCGTCTGGGCGATATTTCTTTGCTACTATGCCAAGTTTCTTTCTTCGGGCTTCCTCTTTAGCTTCTCTACCGAATTCCGATCCGGCACCAAATCTGAACAGTAAAAATGTTGCTTTGAAACTACTTACGAATCCATAATTCCAGGTTGTTCACTTGAGCTCAAAGGGTTTTAGGCCTTCTCCGAACTACTACTATTACGGCTCTAACAATATGTTACTCTGAAAACACGCTATTCCCAGTGGAATTTTACTTCTAGCCATATGGCTTTCAAAGTATATAATTTTGAAACAAGCTAAACTGTCCGTTCTCTAAAGAAGAGGAGCCTTGTGGCAGATACGTTTTGGGACGTAGATAAACTTACTTCGGCTGTTCTTCATCAATGCCTTTAAATTCTTTCATATTATTTTCACGCTCCATTTTTACTTGAGTCCATTTTGCAAAGTCCACGCCTAGGTTCCCGTTAAATCTCATCACGTGGTACTTTCTCTGGTTCATTTTTGGCACCCTTATGGTGAATTCTTGAACAGAAACCTAAAGAAAACGTAGATCAGTAAGTTGCTACACCACAGCAGTCTAGGGCTAACATTTTGTGACGATGAACCTGCTGCCATGTTAAAAATATCCAAATATCTAAAACTTAAGCACTTCGAAATTGCACAATTGAAAGTGACACAATTTTACTCAAAATACTAGCACTATTCAAAAAAAACTTAGACTGAATACCATCTCACATTTATTTATGCGCGATCTATCTTTAATCTAACAGCTGATCTAGTAGAAATTAGGTTAAGTTGTTGACCAGGATATGATAAGAAGAAATTTAGGCATTAGCTACAGTCACTCTTCTGTATATTAATAATTTGACTGTTAATTCTGTTTGACAAATGGATGGCATCCCTGAGTTTACACTTTACAGAAAAAAAATAAAGACGACATTAACAATAATATAAAGGAATTTCATCCATTTATAGGTTTATTTAAGAAAACTGCTAGTTTATGCCTTAAAGAGAGAAGTTGTATCTGCTATTTGCTCTGCTCTGATGTATTGATCTGTAAGGTAACTGTGGGAGGAATTCGTCAAAAAACCCAATCTTGGCAGGTTTATTCAAATTTATCCCCGAACTACAAATAGGCCGAAGAATGGAAACTGGGGAGCAGTTTTCTCTGTGCTGGAACAATTTTCATGCCAACCTGAGTACTGGTTTTCACAGCCTTTTAAAAGATGAAGACTTAGTAGATGTTACATTGGCTGCGGAAGGTAAATTTGTAAAGGCGCACAAAACGGTGCTCTCAGTCTGCAGCCCCTTTTTCAAGGAATTGTTCAGAGTGAATCCCTGTAAACACCCTATAGTTATATTGCCGGATGTAAACTTTGGGGCTCTTAGGAGCTTGTTACATTTTATGTATCAAGGAGAAGTCAGTGTTAGTCAGGAGGAAATTCCTACTTTCATGAAGGTTGCTGAAATTTTAAAAGTGAAAGGTCTGACGGATAATTCAGTGAGTACCAGGAAAACAGTTTTAGCTTATTAAGCAGCAACTATCGCTTGTTCTTAGGATGCACCAAATGGCTTCCCGGCAAGAAATTCCCTTGGACTGCTTGACTCGCATAGGCAAGACATTTTAAAGAGGCCACGACCTATCAAGAAATTGATTCGCCCTATGCAACCTCTAAGGCCTCTGGAAACGCCAAATGTTTCCAGATCTTCACATTCTCCCCAGTCATCCATTCTACAACCCATCTATCCAAAGAGGCAGCACTTAGACTCTTCAGGTATACCGGTTTGTACACACAATTTTCATCTTATTAATGAATTACCCAATCCTGCAGGTACTCCACCTCCCTCCTTACTCCAGCCCTCATCAAGTAATCAGGGACATCTAGTGATTCCACCGCTTGTATCCAGTTCACCAACGCAAAGCGAAGCATTGCCATTAATTAAGCCGAAAGAGGAACCGTTAGAGCACAGTGAAGAAGAAACTGCATCTCAGAGTGGCATGGTAAGAACCTGCGCCAGACGAAGTAGAGGCAGTAGTGTGGATTTACACAGTGATGGTTGTGTAAGGATATATTATTTTAATTAACATTCACTTCTTAAGTCACAAGTCCCTAAAGCTCACAGTTTTTGCATTTTGTTAAACGTTCCTTTGGTGCTTTTTCTATAAAATAACTCATTATTCTACAAAAAACAGAGCTTTAAAGTTGAACACCAAGTTTTTCCTTTGCTTTACATTATGTYTAATATAAAAGAGCCAGTAAGCGAATATCGGAAACCGTAAGCGGTTCAAAGTTGGTTAAACGGGGAAAACTTTGAGCAATTGACAGATTTAATAAAGTGACACAGTGAAACTTTTGATACGGATTTTCGTATCACGTTGTTCATCTATTAACGTGTTAATAAATGTATGTGTAGATAGAAATAGATGAATTCTAATATGTCACCAACTAATAAATCGGTTTTACTTTTTTAATCCATTGTTGTAAAAAMWGRGTCTTWTTTTTATTTAAATTTATCATAACTTAATTCAATTTTCTGATTTACATTCCAAGTGTACACTTYATGCTGTTTTTGAACCTATTTACTAAAACCGCTTGATTGCTGTTAAGTGTAGCTGAAGAACTATCTGAGTACAGAAAATTTCCTCGAAATATTTTGAGCGGTTTTTGATTTTCTGAAGAAAATATTTCTCCGAACTTTATATAGATGAGTTATCTAAAAAACATATTAAAGTACCAGACTTTATAATAGTTTCATGTACTATTTTAATACTGAAATAATAAAAATATGTTTTATTTCGATTTAAGGATGAAGGTCAAATGGACCTCGCAAATATGTTGGATACTCAGCTCAGTGGGGGTGAACCTTCCCCATCCCATCAGATACCCCCTTGGCCAGCGCCTGGAGAAATGACCCCGATCCTTGGAAATGATGAATCACAACCCGGTAAGTTTAAATTACTCGTATATGTGTAAAGAATGTGCATTTAATGTAAGTTTAGTTAAGAAGTTTTGAGAGGAGTTATTTGAAATTGAACTAGCATCTCCGATATTTACATATTCATAGACTGGATATGTACAAAGTTTTAGCTTGGAAAACTAGTGTGAATGTATTACAATATTAGTTAATTTGGTTTCAACTTTGCATGTACAGGTTATATAGTTTTTTACTATTTTCATTTTCGGGAATATCGGTTTTAGAAAATAATTTGGTTGAATCAACATCTCACGTTAAAGAACTAATTCGGATTTATTACAATACTCATCAAGGAATAATAAAGTATAAACTTTCCGTGCACACGTTCATAGTGTATTTTATCTCTATTCTTAGATATTGATTTTTAAAAAAGTTACATGTACGCATTGTAGCTAGAAAGTTCTAATTTGATGCGGTCAAATGTGCTTTGGTATAACTGAAGAAGAACATTCTACAGATTATTACCTTGTTTGCTGATGTCACCCAGATAGTCACAATTATTTTCAAATTTATTACTATAATTGGATTTGACTTTATCTAATGTCCTTAGTACGATCTATTTAGTAGAAACGGCAAGTTCTGAAAACTTGTCAGAAGCCATATCATGCTTTAGAACGATTATAGTAAACAATGTAAAAGAGATGCTTTTTCAATAAATAATTAGTAATAAAGAGTGGTTGTATGAAGCCGAATATGCATTTTATTGCACTTATTTATATATCAGTACTTCAAATGCGTTCTGTACCCCCACATTAATATTTTTCAATATGCAAAGTCCCGCATTTATTTAGTATACTTCCACTGAACTAATAGCTAATCACCTCCATATCACCGAATATGAAATGTATTGCCTTTTTTCACAATTGTTTTTTGCAAATTTAATTAATTACATTAAAAAAATGTACCGTTTACTTCTTGGTAACCCACATCTGGAAAACGGTTGGTCTTTGAAGTTTCGACCAAGTATACAGTTTTTGCTCATTATGGGCAAAGGAACAAATGAAATAATACTAGGTTGGTCTACAAAGTGCCAATTGAAGGCAAGCATACCTTTACAAAAATCGCCTTTTGTAATTGGTATAATATAAAATAACATGTTTAACTTACTCTTACTTTCTCAATTGGCAAATTGGGGTAAGGTAACAAAAATAAATGCTTCAATACATACCTTACTACATCGAGAAAGTAAGCATTTGCAAACGCATATTTTTGTCAATACAAATGTTGGTTCGTAAAATGTACAGTTGTACAATTGTTTTCAATATAAGCTGCCGTTTATTCGAATTGATAACAATTAATATTTTTATTAGTCGAATTGCTAATTAGAAAGAAACGAATGGTGAAAGTAATAAGGACAAAACATTAACTTTTGTGCATGTCGATGTGAACCAATTACTGTTGGCTGCTGTAATATGAAATTGAAATATACAAATTTTGCTAAAAATTATTTTATCAAGTAGATTGAATAAGCAGGAACAACGTGGATTAAAGCCGATTTGAACCCATTGAAGTAAAAGATGTGACCTGGTATTGTTTTGATTTTTATTAGAAGAAAAGTGTTCTAGGTTTTGATTGTTTTGTTGTAAAAATGAGCTGTTTTGACTTTTGAAATTAACTAAAAGTAAGTTTTCAAAGTAGTAAAAGGCAGACAATTATTTGCAAATTGCAAACCTAAAATTTGAGGCAGTTTTTCGATGAATCCCGGAATCTTAAATACCTTTTCAATTAAGTGGTTTAAAATAGTAATAAATAACTTTTTTGTCAATGTGCTCTACAGGGAGTTATTAAGTAGCCAAAGTTCAGGAGGTGAATCTCTGAATTATTTTGAGAAAATTCTTATCAAATAAAATATAGGCATCATTCTTTTTCAATAGACAGGGTGTTGAAATTTGGCTGTGGTATTTACAACAGTAAGAGGCTTGTTTTGTCCAAACTAGACTAAAACTTTTAAACCTAGTGGTATCCCGGAGGACAACCTGGCCAATATTTTTGATAAAAAACATGTGCAACTTATTATGCGGCTTTCAATACTTCATCTTTAGTATCTTTTTTCGTATCTCGCTTTGTTTTCGAGATAAAAGTAAAAATTACTTTATTCTTTGTCCTATAGTATAAAGAATAGTTAAAACTACCATACCATTCCGTAATTAAAGAAATCTCTTCGCACAGATTAAAACTAACGCATAACTTTTTTATTGTAAAAAAATTGCAAACCTATACTCAATAAATTTAATTAAATGGATGCATTATCTGTACACTTCAACAATTTTACCACTTTGTTAAATGTATGTATCGACTATGTGTGTATACTTCCACTTGCTAGGTTGGTTAGACGCGAAATAACTTGGCTAAAATAATACACAATACCGATATTTAAACCAAATTGAAGTTAAGTGTGTTTAACGTAGTAATTTCGGTTGAGTAGACTTTAACGTATTTTTGCATGCGCTTAAACCTGTTGCTTGCATCAATCAATAAGCGATGTAATGTGTATTATTTTATCCCAGGTACCTTGCAACTGATCCTTGGTCGTCGCGGTAATCCAAGGCTCATTGTCGATGGTTACGTTTTCTACAAAAAGTCCGTCTCCAGAGGAAAAGCGTTTTGGCATTGTAAAAACGCGAGAACGATCGAAAAGTGCCCTTCAGTTGCTTGGACAATGAACGGTAATATTGTTAAGTGGCCTTGTGCACATAATCACGTTATCTACCCGGATCCCTTCAATCCGGAGGAGGATTCTGAAGTTCCGATTGAGAATCTGCAAGAGGTTTTATGGCAGACTTCGTTAAGCTAAAAGGGACTATATTAGTTAATTATTATAGTGGTGCTATACAATGAGCAGTAGTTTCCAGGTAGATTAGTCAACCTAATTTGTTTTTGAAAGCAAGTCGATGTCCAGTTTTTGCCTCATCAGTTTTCCATAAATGTTGATACAAAAATGTATTTAAATCTAGATACCCAAAGTATGATACAGATTGGAAACAAAAAACACCTATATTTATTTATTTATGTATGTACCTACTATTGATATAAAACATAATTTAACTAAATGTATACGAACAAGGAATCCCCATACCAAATTTACTATATTCCGCATCCAATGATCTGTGATTTTCATTTCAACAACCAGCTGCTTTCGAAGTATGGCTGTTTTAAATATTATTATTATTTATTTTTAGTCAATATATTCAATTTATAGCTGCTTCTAAACAGGGAGCCTCAAACTTAAGAAGCGGAATGTTCATTTACGTGTGCAATACAATGATATTTTTTTCTATAAAAGGGTTTATATTAGAGGTTTGGACTTATTTTGATATGCGGATTAAAATTGCTATTTTTCCTAGAGAAGTAAAATTTTGAGGTGAAATAATAGTGTTCAACTTCAAATTTTATGGTATAACTGAGCGCTCATAAACTAGTTAGTAAATGTGGGCAAAAAATCGGTTATCTAAAAGAAATAAATCTGAAATAATACAGAGTGTATGATCAAAACAGTCTGTATTTCAAAGAACATGTCGCCACGTTTTCGTTCATTGCGTAATGGACAACACGCTGATTATGCCACTTAAGTTTGGGTCAGCCAGTATATAAAACGCGTTTAACTCTTTCTGTAAAATAAAACAGTGGTTTAATTGATAACTCGAAAATATCGCTACATACTTAATAAGAAATAGATGCAATGCTGAAATGGCGACCTCGAGTTTTCCAATGAAGAAAGCTAGTCATCCTATTAAAGAATATATGTGCAACCCTTTTTAGTCACCCTGTACATGTCGCTCTATTCTTAAAACCAACCCCCTTCCTGTGGAAAATTGGAATCCTAACTAGACACGCTACGCTGTATACAGTAAAATTTTGGCAATTCTATACTTTGGAACATTATTTATAGATACTTGCTGTGTATTGATGAAATAAATATGTGTGCAAATAAATATGTATGTAGACTAGACCTAATAAGTATATCTTAGGTGTGATTGTTGTCATACGCCAGCAAACTGATTTGAAACCAATTTAACTTTGTTAACGATCCATCTTGAATTTACTGTTTTAGTTCCCTCCTATGCTCAGTGTACTCTGCTTTCTCAAACTATTAGTTCCTCATTTCAACTTTCTAGTCAACTCGTAGAAAATGATTCAAATATGTGTAATGTGCCCAAATATACGATTTACAATAAAACCACCTGTTAATGTATTTTGGCTCATTTGATTTTAATTATTTATTATATTTGAACGTTTTCGGTACTCTAAACATCTCTTTGCAATCGTTTGTTGTTTTTTATATCCCGTATTGCATTTAGCGGATTTATTTCAACTTGTTCACAGTAAATGTTTTATTTAGGCGCTGGTCTTTGGATAGTAAAAAGCGGAAAAGGTCAACTAGTCCTAATCCATGACGGTCACATGTACACATTTGTTGATCAACGTGAAAACAGAGGTCTTTGGGTGTGCGTTAAAAAGAAAATGCTCAATTGCAGTGGATGTCTGACGACGATGCACGGGCAGTTACTTAGCTACATGGGTAAGGAGACGCCTCGGTTTAATTAGAGCTTTTTTGTTGATTTTACCACGTTTCTGTAGGTCACAATCACCCACAAATTCACGATGTTATTCAGAGGCTTCAGGTGCCCAAAACCAAGTCAGACATTAGGTGAGTAGGTATCAGTAAGAATCGGTGATGCTTAAGATTTGCAAATGTCACTAGAATACGATTTCCGTTGTTGTTTGATGCGTTTTTATGGGAAGAATACTCATGTTTTCTTTTACTGGTTATCCCAAGGGTATGAAATATTAATTTTATTAAAGAGATGTGACATTTGATATCTAAGTATAGGTTGGCCATGCTCTTATTGGTCTTTTGCACCAAAAATACTTACCAAATATTTGCCATAACTAGTTATTTATTTATTCACGAATATTAATATTAGTTTTTTATCGCTCAGAGTTATATTTTATGTTCAATTCTAAGTATTTTTTTGAGTTTTCTATGTATTAAGGTAGGCTTTATTTTTTTTATTGAATTAACGTATCTGTCATTTTTCTTTTCATATTAAATTACCGAGTTAACAGAATATTTATTTCGGGTCAGTTGCCACGATTAGCGTTTATCAATTATTGCATTATGTAAATTTAGAAGGATGCTTAAGTTGCAGAACAAGAATTCATGAAACAGTGATATTAATTAAATTCTGTTTGGGTACAGTGGACTGATTAATGTACTGAAAAACCACTTGCCTCCCGCTGTTAAATTTATGAAACTCTCATTTGTTCAATAGGAGATGAAAAGTATTAAAATATCTCATGATACGTAATGATAGTTTCGACCAATTTTGAACCGTTTATTAAGCACGGCTTAGATGCAAAAATGAATTTGATTGAAGCCATACATTTAATAAAAATGAACACATTGTTATAGGGTTTGACAAAAAATTACAGCCATTTAAAACTGATTTCCTTTGCTTTATGCTAAAGCGAGGTATCATTGTAATTAAGCAATCTTGTTAGTCCATTTTATAGAGATTTTTTGACTGTTATTTATATTGACTTTTTGACATAATAAACTGTTATAATCGATTATCGGCATTTATTTCACATTGAAACATTTACTAGAAAATAATGATTCTATGTGTTTAATATGCACTATATAAAACTTAGTAGTATATATTCACTAGAAAAATATGTATTAACTTATATGGAATTGGTGTTAAGGATATACAGCTGGAGGTAATGCGCCCAATAATACCAACATTGTGATTAAATGTTAACAGTTGACGAAATTGTTGAGCAAAATTAGACCTTTATTAGTTGCCATTCTATCATGAAAATTACAATACTGTATAAAATACAAATTAGGCAGTTTACTAATGAACATTTAAGTGTGAACATATGGTGGCAGGTTGGCATTTATGCTGCGGCCTAAAGTTAGTGCCTGATTAACAATTCCGTCAATTCTTAAGCAGTGAGTGATAAGAGTACTAGAAAACGCGATATGTGAAAATTCGATGCACAAATGTGTTACTTTCGGCAAATGCCTATCTTAACTTACAACAGATTAATTAAAATACGTGAACAAAATTGGTATTACTTTCTGGAAACCATCCTTCAAATCCGGGAAATACCATGATTAATCCTAAAGACAAACATTTAGAACAGTAAGATTAATAAGAACATTATTTATGAGGTTTGAAATAGCCGAAAGGGCAACTGATGTTTTATTGCTTAATAAGAAATGCATTAAGTAGATAAGATTCACATTGAAAAATACCGAAACTTATACAGTAGCATTAGATATTGCGTCTTACCATTAAATAATTCTAACATACGAATTTGTACTTTTTAGTAACTTCAAAGGAGTCTCATAAGGAAGGGTAATTTTTAAAATGTCTACTGCTCTGATTGCTATTTTGAGAGCATTAATTACAGATATTTAATTAGAGCTAAACTACGTATCTAAACATTTAGAAGTGGATGGGGTATTTCCCGGACCCATTGCTAAACCACTTGGAACAATTAGAAATTCATGTTGGGACCGCCGTTGCGACTCTCAGTCCAAGCTTTTGCTATTGTGCGCTTCATTTCGTCGTCCCCTGTCTCGTACCTGTGAAGAACCAAATATGTTAGCATTTGCTCAAAGCTTCAAGCCATCAGTGACATTACTCAAAACGACTATTTTTAATAAATGCTCGACTAATTACATTTTCATTTAAATTAACGTCGCCGATGACTTTGCTGGGTAACAACAGAGAAAAAACGGTGTGTTATCAGCAACAAGGACGAATAAACCCATTTTGTGGAAAATGACAATGGTCAGATTTCTAAATCATAGGAAGATTTTTTAATGCATTTGGAAACATTTTGGTGGTTCGCATATGGTACGTAATTTTATAATTTCTTGAATACCCTGTGAATCAACAGAACTTCGGATAAACCCCGCTGTAAATCTTTAATGACCCTTTAAATGGATGCTTCATTCCAAGAGCAGTACTGATTCCAGAAACGAGGATTTTAAATTTTGCCATAGAAGGCCTTCTATGGCAGTTTCAATTGTTATTCAGAGATCATTATTATTAATAATTACTCCTGTTTCGATATTCAAAAACACCCCTAGAACGCCTTAGTACTTTAGTAGTAAATAATTCACTTTAAAATTCGATGAAAAATTAAATGCTAAACATTAACTCTTGCTGGTTGAACTCATACTGCTCTTGAACCGCCAAATTTTAATACTTTACAGACTTTCATGGAGCAAAATACAAAAGCAGCAAATACGTGGTAAGGTAAGTCTTCTATGTACAAATAAAAGATAAACACAAACTACCAAGGTGAACAAAATAATCATAAGATAGACTGATCTATAACTTATTGGAAATTTCAATATTGAATTTAAAATTGATGTTTAGCAAAGGTTGTATAATTCACAATTAAAGCAATATTGAAATTGACCAAGTAAGTAACATTTACCTCTATAATGTGGATTATGATGTCTGCAAAAACAAACAATGATTAAAGTTCAAGGTTCAACAAAAAAGGAACCAAAACTATGTAGACTCTTTGAACAAATGAAAAAGGAAAACGATGATGACAAGCTACTTTGAAACAACAACTCAGACATATAAAAGAAGTTTAGTCAACTACTGAAGAACTAGAAATATAGTACAGAAAGAAGAACATAAAGCATTCTATTGTCTACATAATTTCAGTGCCTATTGAAATTCCTATTGGAATCACAGCGCCATTAGTGACCTGAAATTACTTTTCCTGGCCTAATAATGAAAGAAATTCGCATTTTTAAATTTGCAGTTTGTGTTGTGCATAAATAAGCAATCAACTACTAGGATAATAAAGTTTTGTTAATCCAATAACCAAATGAAGACAACTACTAGGCCTTTGCCGAAAGCAAAGCTTAAGAAGGAATACACGTTTGGAGCCAAAGTACTTACATGTTCCGCATCAGATTTATTAGGCTGGCCGATGGATCCGATTTGTCATCTGAATCCATGCTAGGCATCTTTTTGTCACTGGCCTTTTTCTCCCATTCAGTCACATGGGACCAAGTTATATCTTCTTTTTTGGCTACATTGATCAAAATCAGATCGTTTTTCACCTGTTTCGAAAACAAATATTGCCCAAAACTATTTATGCCAAAATATTTGTGGATAGAATACCTTGTAGGTGCTGTTTTTTGGTTCAACCGCATGTAGAAGTTGGGTAATACTGAAAACGTAATCTTTATTTTCAAGGTTTTTAATTTTCAGTTCAAAAGATTTTTCCTGGAAATTGCATTGAACGTTTTCAGCCGGCACAGTGTTCACTTTGGGAAGAGTAATGTAGAATTTCACAAATTTCTGACTTTGATCCCATGCTGCAAGCATACAAATGATTAATAGTTTTAGGTGATAATTTTAACCGTACTAAGTTTTGCACAGAAATAACTAGTTCTACAATTTTAAATAGCTAAATTTGCCGAAAGAGCAAGCGTATGGATAAAGAATATGATATAGAATTAATTCAATCTGCATTTAGCATCTCTAACCAAGTCAGTTATAAGAAAAAATGCTTTATTAACGCACTGCTATGCATTAACGATTATTTTTGAATGGTCCAAGATCGGAGTAATTTTAGTACAGCTTAACACTTCAATATACAAACTAAAAACTTTCCGTTTATGTGGGTAAAATTAAACTTAAATATATATATTTATTTTATCAATGCAAAACTGCCTTTCGCCACTCATTAATTGGATAATCTCTACGACACAAGTTTGAAAACGGAAACGTTTCTGTTGCATTTTCAATTCAATCAGATGCAAAGTAGTTTCGCTCTAATATCACAAAAACAATGTTGAGAAATGCAAAACAAAAATAGAATTATTTGCAAATTGTTTATGATTACATTAACCACCAACTTTTGTTTAAATCAAGACCCAAATATTTGTCATTTTTGAGCTTGAGTCAAATGAATAATACCTTCTCAAAAATTCTTACACATTGTTTCTTTGTATATTTTGTATAATTCATGCTCGTTATGATTAATTTCCAAATTTCTAGCTATTTCTATCTAGAATTTTATAACACCTAAAACATGTTGAAGTATATTTTCTATTATATTAAATATACATGTATATCATCTTGTTAAATATTAATTAATTCGTGTATTGCGGTTTATTAATATAAACCGCAAAATTTTCATACAAATCGGCTAAAGGTTTTAAGTTTTTAATAAAGAACTAAACTGTTTTAAAAACGTTGGTGTTCAATACTTGAGAGATGTACAGTACTACGAAGTAAAGAGTTTTGAGTACAACGTTGTTTACCTGAGTACATTTATATATATTTTTTTCATAGCCACTATTATAAGCCGAGTCACTATGCATAATAAGGTATAAAAACAAATCACCAGAATCAAATCAGTAAAGCATGGATAAAACTTCATTCTTACCATAGTTGGTTAATTTTACTTCGTAGGGAACAATCGTTGTTTTAACAGGGGAACTCGGTTTTTTAAATTGCAATTCCAGCTTGGCTTGTTTTTCTTCAAGTTTTACCAACTCAGAAACCATTTTTCGCTTTTCAATGCACAGAATATCTTTAACTTTTTGCCGGATAGCATGGTTTTCCAAGTTCTCGATTTCAGCAATGTCTTTTCTGATCTAAAGAGAATTTGTCGTCTAATAAAACCTATCAATTAAAACACCTCAGCACTCACCTCTTCTATTTTATTCGCCATCTCTGCTCGAATTATTAGCACAAATTGTAGTTTTTCACGTTTGGAGTTTTACTGTTCTAGAAAAATGTGGAGACCGTCTAGAAATGAAAACAAATGTCAGAAAAAGACAGCAATTTATACACATTCCAATATTGAGAGGGGAGTGGAAACCGCCAAATATCGATATGTCAGTATAAGCAACGCAGCAACGTACAGCGCAATAAATTTAATTAATTTTTTATATATAATTAAATTATAAAATTTAAAGAGTTACATATGCGAAAATGTGGAAGTTCGATATTCACTTAATTTTATATGTTCCGATTCGTAAATTAAATTGTAAAATACAATAGAAGTAAGACAAGGAGATGTTCGCAGCGCATATATTGAAAGGGAAAGACAAAGAAAAGTTGGCTAAAATATTTGCATTTGTAAACATTACGATTCTTTAATTTTTTTTTAGTTACAGCGGCAAATATTTCTTGTTGTTATTTCTTAGTTTCAGTTTTTATTTGCTGGTTTATGCGTAAAGCAGCTAAATATAATGAGAAAACGTTTATTTTAGATGCGAAACAAACTGTCGTTGCCAAATTTCTGATTAATATTTTTGTAAATATATAAGTTTTTGGAGGGAATTATTTATTCCCACTATTTTGTCTTGGATATACTTATGGACCCTCAACCAATATCAATAATTAAACAATTTTGAATTTTCAATTTATTCAAAACAGCTGATCTGGTGTACATCGCTGACAATACGTTTGACGTTGATCCATTCCTATCCACAGTGAAAAACAACAAAACAAAAGTTTATTATCTAAATTTAGTCAATTACCATGTATTACACATGAAAAAATGGTACATATTTAAGAAGTACACTAAAGCTTTAAACATTCCTTCGGTCTAATCATTGTGATAGATATATAGGTTTAATTATGGATATATTTGCTATATTTTTTGTAGCCCTTATTTCATTAATTGCGGGTATTATAGTAACCCTTTGTATACAGTATTATATTTTCTATGTTTACCTCAAGAAAAGTCCTTTATCTAGTGGTACAACGCCAAAAAAATCGTTTGAATATTATTTACCAGATGTAAGTATCCTAATTAATCAAGTAAAGTAAGTCTAGGTATGAAAGGGTTTATTATAATTCAGCGCCTTTTCCCCCATTGCCCTATTGTTTTAAACATACCTAAATATCGCTCGCGAGCACGTTCGGTTATTTATTGCAGATTCTCTTAACAAATGGCTCTGTTATCTGTTTCCTAAGAAAATTGCAAAGTGCCTTTTTCGTCTGTCTTCATATAATAAACAATCGTGCTACAAATAAATAAAGTTCATATAGACGTGTTTTTCAGCACGTCGTTGCAAACATACACAGTGATAATTTTTTTTTTAAGAAATTCTGCTCGTATAGACTTTTACGATATATAAAAACAGCGACGAATAATTTCTTATACTTCTACCAGTAACTAAATTGTTATTTAAACTATTATAATATAAATTTGTTAGAAATACCAAATGTATGTGTAGCCAGGCGTGTTGCATGCCAAATAAAAAATGTTTACTACTAATGTTAATTAACTTAGGTGGCATGAAAACATACAGCTCAATATTGCAATTATTTTGTTTCAAAAATTAGCTATTAGAGTTAATATTATGATAAATTACTTTAAATAGAAAGCTTGGTGTTTGACTGTCTTTATTTTAAATATTTTCTTAGAACTTTCGTTTCAACATTACACTGGTCAACGACTTTAAATACATAGTTTTAAAAGTTTTTTTTTGATTCGTATGTCTCGTTACAACCACAATTAAACTATAACTGATATACCATAATCAGTAAATTATAACTTTGAAACTGCGTTTCCAGGTAGTTCTGGAAGAATATAAAATAATCTGTTACTTATTTATCTAATCATATTTTGCTTCTTTCACGTGTAAACTCAGAAGGCAACAAAATGCAATAATCTAGGTACAGCTTTTTGCTAAGAAGAATTCTCAACATTTTTGTCTGCAGTCGACATTTTACAAAATAAATGGGCGGTGAAAATAAGGGAGAGCACGATGAAGTTATTTTGAAAAGCACTAGCTGTTTTGTAGAATGCCAATGATTTTTTGAAGTTTTTTTGGCTGCGTCATACAGTTGTAGCACAAAAAATGTTTTTTTTTTAAATGAAACACTGCTTAATTTAGCTTTTCGAGTTTCTACATACATTTCCATGACTTTTTGTTATATGAAATATGAGCGAAAGTTGTATAGTTTTTTTAGTTATTATTTGGAATGAACGATGGAAATGAGCGTTTTGATGGCGCTGATACATTAAAATTGTATTTATTAGAAAGCGTTTTATTGTTTATGTGTTATCCACACCAGAACCTACTCAATATCTCCAAAGATTTTCCAAATCAAATTTGATTTCCTATTCTTATTACATTCCTGAGTATGGTGCACTCGCTTATTGTTCTAGATTAAAACGTTATCACCCTGTATATACATTTGAGTTGAGATGTTGTTGAGATTGCTTTATACATTTGCAAAGATCTAACTGAATGATTGCAGGCAATCAAACACCAGTTAGGAGCAGGGGATATGAGTGATAAAAGTAAAGGAGGACTTGCCATTAGCCTTATAATGCAGTTTTTATTTCATGAGCTAAGACACTCTGAAGCTATAAAAAGATGGTTGTATAAAAAGTTGACAATGGAATTTGATGAGCTTTTAACCAAAACTACAATGGGAAAATGCTTCGATTCAATAAGTGTAAGTGGATTTGTAATTTAACAAGTTTTGAACACAACCATGGTGATACAATTTTAGATTAAGGATATGGATTTGGGATCTCAGTTTCCAGACATTAAAGATATATCTGTAGAGAGTGTTAAATTAGATGAAAAGGAAGAGCACATTGAAGTTTTGAATCTTGGACTAAACGTAGATTATTCTGGCAACTTTTTGCTGTGCATAGATGCCAAAATGAAATTTAGTAAAACTGCCTATCTTTCAATTAAAGGTATTTTTTTAAAGCGACTAAATATATATTTTTATACCTAATATGAGCTAATGATCACGACCCAATTTCAGTAAAGAAAATTTGTGGTTTTGCCAGACTTCAGTTTTCCAGACAGCCATATACACACTGGTCATTCAGCTTTTATACAGAACCTGTTTTGGAGCTGGCAGTAGAGTCTCATTTTCAAGGCAGACAACTGCAATCAAATATAACAAACTTAATAGTCAATCAGATTAAAAAAGCTATTAAAAGGAAGCATACTTTGCCGAATTACAAAATTAGGTAAGTGAGTAGAGTGGAGTGAGTAGAGATAGTCAATCTTGATTGACTTTTTCATTTATTCTTCACTTCTTCGTGCCCTTAGCTGTGGCGAAAAAACTTTCGACTGGAAGTATCTGAACACTTGAGTTGATAACTTGTATTATATTTTAGTAAAAAAATCGAAGAGTGCGGAATTTGCAAATTTGTTCAGTTTTCCAAATTATCTCCAAGTTATTTTAACTTTATTCAGCTGATATATCATAAGACAATATTTTATTTTCTGAAAAAATGTTAGCAAAATGTAGACGTTTTGAATTAAAACCCGAGTTGGTCACCTTTCCCTACAAAGTCAAGCTCAGACTTTAAACTACAGTAAAATTCTTCTTATTTGTGAGTCTTCAAATAATTGTACGGGAGATAAAATAAGAAAATATACAAATTTTACTAAGCTATAAAGCTATGAACCCGGCAATTTTGTTCAAACACGAATTTATAATAGTGATGGCAATATTTTTTGGGTAACATCAAGTAAATCGTTTTTAATATAGAACTCGTCAAACATAAGATAAATGTATATTCACAATTTCATAAATACGAACAAATTTTCAAAATTGTTAGACGACATTAAGACAAACGCATTTTTCGCTTCATGCAAATATACCCGAAAATTTTCATTTGATGAATTTTGAGATCATGAATCACAGGCTGATAACAAGTATCATATAAGTATCTTGTATTAACATGTAAATACTCTTTGACCGAATTTAATTTAATTTTTAGTGTTTAGTTAACCAGTCGAAGACATCTTGCGGATTCATTCCAATTGATACATTATTTTCATGGACGTGTTCATGGGGCTGATATTGGATAAAAAATAACCCTGCTTAATTTTCTACGAAAATTTGAAAACATTTTTAGATAAAGCAAATACACTAAAACGCTTTTTCATTTGAAAAATGTTTCTATTTTGCGTCGTTTTAGGGACAAAGTGAGTTTTATTTTGAAATCCCCCCGGAAGAACTTTATCAATTGCAATTGGCCCAAAAGACGCCTAGTTGTCGTTTAAAAAATCATGTGTAAACACAGAGCACACCAATGAGATTCGTTTTGTATATCAATTGACTGCTTAATTTGTGCTAAATTTCATTTCAGATAGAATTAATTATTAACATTGTTTGATCAGAAATTGCAGTTCAGGAAGATTGATTTAGCGGCAATTACTTTTCAGTTTGTTATTCCTAGCCCGCGGTTTCATAAAAAAGGATTGCGTTTCTGCGTTTCTCAAGAACGGTCATAGATTACGAGACAAATATGATGTACGCGTTTGCTTAAAATGTTACTTTTTATAATTGCCCAATTTCGCCACCCATTACATCTTTGCTCTATTATCTTATTTTTTACCAGGTATAAACCTTTCTTCGTAAAAACCGATCCTAGTCAACTAGACATTGACGATAGTGAAAATGCCCTGCAAGGAACACTTGAAATGAATGTATCAGAAGTTTCCAGATTGTCATTACCAGATAATGCTCAAAATATTTATCTAACTATAGCTATAGGTAAGTCGAGTATTCAGCATGGATAAAACATGGTAAGTTAGCTGATAAAATGATTCGTAGATGCAATTCCTTGGATATGTTTGTGCCAGAAAAATGAAGCTATGGTCATGACATTGGAGATAACCATGACAAAACTGAAACAAACGCAATTAGGAGTGATTTTTCGCCAAGAAGCAGGTTCAGTGGTTGTAGATAGTGTGACCAGTAATTCCTGCGCCTACCATGCCGGGTTAAGGGCCGCTGATGTGGTTAGTTACGCTTTAATTTTCCATATGACTACCTACCATTCTTTATATTATCTCAGGTTGTTTCTGTGGAAAATAAATTAGTTACTACAGTTCCTCAAGTTGCCAAATATATGAAGTCCGTATCAGGAACTAATGTTACTTTACGAGTGGAAAGAGCTGTTGAGAACTACATTACGAAGTGGAAGCTTAATGATGAGAAAGAACCACCTATAACAATAGCATCTGAAGTAAAATGTACATCTTTAAAAAAATCCCGTTTTTCTGTACCACACTGTATTGCCGTGGGTTTTCTTTAATAGGTGAAGACAGCGAGACAGAGCTGACTCAACAAGAACAGGAATCTTTTGTTATTATAGAAAACATAAAAAAAGAAGAGCGGAAGGCCCGGGCTCAGAAAATAATTCCCAGCAATGAGAACATGGCCAAGCTGGCACAAACTATCAGCAGTTTCAGTTTGAGGAAACGAAAAAGTAAATTACGATTGGGATTTTCTAAAATGTGCTTTTTAACTTATTCTAAGTCTTAGGCGGAGGAGCGTCACCAAATACTCCGCAACGATCGCGCGTTCCTCCTGCCAAAAAGAATTCCACTTCTGATTTGCCAGAAATTGTACGAACGGAAGTGGATAGTCTGGAATGCGAACATATTTTTTCAGCTATTGAAATATTTAAAGGTGAGTATTTTTTATGGTTAAAATGCACAATGAAATTAACGTTTTAATAATGATGTTTATTTGGCAATGCTTATCTCACTAGTACTCCTAAGCAGAACAATGGGTGTGTGTTATGTGGCTTTATTCTGTTATATTTATTTAGTTAATAATTTGTTACGTGCTTTAATGAGAAAAAACCTCCCTAAATCAACCCAGCAGTTATGCATTTGCTCCGTTTTATATGCAGTGAGGAATCGATTTGGACTATATAAATCCATCGCAATATTTAATAAGAAAAACGCAACAAATAGAATACTTAATTCAAATAAATTGTTGTACTTTCATATCGCGATTCCAGGCGTTTAACTTCCATTGCTCAATATCGCAACACTATTAATGTGAACAATTTGGTGATTCTGCCCATGTTCTTCAGCCCATTTAATGCAAGTGTTAAGCTACTTAATGCGACCGCATGCCGCACTTTTGGATTATTTGCAACCAATTCCTCATCTGAAACACCGTCGTCCCTGTTTAGAAGGGAGAGTTCCTCATATTCCACTATGTACTTGGTCAGTTTAGCTTCCATGTTTATAATCAGAAATTTGCTACATCGGATTACTGATCTCAGTCAGTTCTCTTTGGGTATCATCTATTGACAGTAAGTATTCTCTTATTATAAAAAATCGGAAGTTATCATCTAAATAAATAAGATTCTTATCAGTGAAACATCAAACATTTTTCTTCCAACGCTTTTTTTAACGCCTGAGACTTTGGCCTGCTGAAACACATTATCTTTCAAGTTAATATTTTTATGAGCGTTTTCAATGGTTCCTTCTACATTCAGAACTGAACGCAAGACTTATTCGAGGTCTGGTTAAGCGTTTGGTATTCTCGTTCAGTCGCTGAATTAATGGTGTGAATTTAGATGGAAAAAATATCGTTATAAGTTTACCATCAACATTTGTCAGCTGCGCCTTTCATGAATAACTTGGGCATGATCGGTTAATAATAGAGCATTTTCAGTTAGATTATTCTCCTTTTCAAAATGTCGTACTTGTTTGGTAAAAGATTCATGAAACTACTGAACAAGTAAAGCTGAAGTCATTTATGTTTTTTTGAGTGGAAAAGTTTTCCACTGGAACGTTAGCGTTTGCAAAAGCTCTGGGATTCCTCAGCTTTGTTACTCTCCATTCAGTTTGAATTTGCGAATACAACGCCATTCTTTAAATATGTTTATCCACTCTTCGCATGCAATGAAGTCACTAGTCACTGAAGTATCTATTTGCAATTCAGATTATCCAAGTCAGTAGCGATTATATTTAACTTATCTACTGTACTTAAATAGAAACTTACATTACTTATTTGCTGATTTTTCTGTGTCTATATTAAATGCTTTGTATGTTATATGACATCTAGATGCGGATTTCTGATAGAATATTTACGCACGTTCACATATTTATTTAGGGAAAGAACTACGCCTTGACAATGTTCTGCCCTTCGATGACGATTTTCGCTTTATAATCAAAGAAGGCGCGAAATACATTAATGTAAACGCTTGGGCAACATTCAACGACTCTCCTGATGTTCTTCTGGGCTACTTAAATATTCCCTTAAATTACGTTGCTTCTGAATGTTCATCCAGCGTGCTGGGACATCACTCTAGACGATATTCGTTTTTGCCACCAGGTAAATATCTATAGTCGGATCAATCATTGATTTCAGAACAATTTTTTTACATAGGTGTAACGTCCACAGCCACAGTGCACCCTCTTAGGGCACATTCAGGGTTTGAGCATGTATTTTGCTTCGGCGATGCCCTTTTAACGTTCGCTTGGTCGCCCATCGAGAATCCTGAATCGCGAAGAAAAACTTCAACAGCGGTTGATAATAAGACTGATGTTTCTGGAATAAGAAACAAACACGACTTTGTAAGGACGCAGTTCCACGGAACGACACATTGCGATTTTTGTTCAAAAAAGGTACGTTCCTAAGTGAATTTTAGTATGCATTCACATTCTATTATCTCCATTCAGATATGGCTGAAAGATGCTGTTCAATGTAGACAATGTGGTATGTGTTGCCACAAAAAATGTGTTGCAAAGTGTCAGACCAGCAGCAGTTGTAGCGCTGACTCGTCGGCGCTTCCTAAGACTGTTGATGCCCCTCTTATTGATGCTGTTCTTCAACCTGATGGATGCTTTGATGACGCTGAAGGGATGGAAAGCAACTTGAAAAGGGTTAATAGTGTGACAAATCTTAGTATTCCAGGTAAGTGTTCGAATGATTCGGTAAATGTATTCAAATTTGTATCGTTTGGAAAATCGATGTCCCATTGTTGTTTATAGGGTTGTTTGCTAGTTTATGCATTCCTTAGTTCACAATACTTGATTTATAATCAACGTGTTGCTTTCAGTTTTTTTAATTTAAAAGTTATTTAATTTTGCCGCGGCTCAGGCTCGGTTCGTTAGGTCTGGATACACAATAAGAAAACGCAAATATAAAAAATATCCAAACGTAGCGAAACAAGTTTAAATCAGTAAATTCATAACATGATTCCAATTTTAAGATTTTAACCAATCGGTTTGAATCATTCTGTTTTTACTGAAAATTCGAATACTTTTATCATAAAAAACGTAAATCTGCATCTGTATATCCTTGCATGAGCAATAAATGTTATATCATAATTAATTATATCTACCATTGTAGGTTCACCCTCATTTTCCTCGCGTAGTTTACCACCCAGTCCGCAAAGGACTCCCATTAGAAAACAATCGCTAATTTGTGTCAACCCATTTTCCCTTTGCCCCATTGCCCTGGAAGAAGTACAAAAAACCCCACAGGATTCATGCGAAATTATTTCTAGACTCTTGGATCAGGTATTTTATACTCATCATTTTTCGATCCTTAACTATAAAAAATTCAGTTTTTTAACTTTGCACTGCACAATAGCAAATCTGATATCTCAGTAGCAAAAAGGTCAAGCCAAAATTAGGTGGCCCATTCCCATCTAAAACTATTGATTATTAAACCGCATGTATCTGTAAATGCACATGAAAAGCTCTATTTTGGCTTGGTTTTTTCTTCACTAAAATACCACTCACATTAATTAGTAATCACATGTTAAAAAGAACTTTACTAGTGTTCATTTTTGGCCTTCCAAAAATGGCTTGCAGGTCATTTCGAGTCCTCCGGATGAAAATTTAATGGACAACGCAAAAGAAAGTGGTCAAAAAATGTACGTCCATTTGGAAATCGAAGAAAAGAGAGAGAAAATCAATTTGATGGTTTGTAGCAGTATTTAGCTGCTTTGGTGGATATGATTGAAATTGTGCATTTTAGATGGCCGAATTGAAGAAAACGTTAGACCTAACAACAACAGAGCATATGGAACTAACCAAGAAAATGAACTTGGAAGAATCGGAAGTCGAAAAAGCCAAATTAGCCTTTCTGGTAGGCCAAGCAGATGCCAAAGTACATGCACTGTCCGTGCTGATGTTGCACTACTGCTCAGGACTACAGTATTCACACGAAAAAATATTGTAAATGAAAAGGTTTGCTTTGTCACACTTTTCGGGGTGCTGTTTTAAATGCATTCTAAGCATTTATTCAAAAGTACCGTTTTTGCAACATATTTATATCGATACACCAACGCGTAAATGTACAGATAAAACGGCGATCATTGGATAGTATGTACTTATTTTCACTCGCATATTTATTTCTTTTCACTTCACTACAGCGCAAGCCGCCAGAAAATATAACTATTATGTTTGAATTTGGAAATTCTACGCACAACTTTACAGCGCTTTTTATCTCTACAGTCATCAGAAAATTATTTTTAATCTTATTAAATTATGCAGGCATACGCACACACACAACACCTAGAATGGAAGCAAGTATTTAATTGATAGATACAAACACGCTTTGTTTTTATCTGCTTATTAAGTATCGTTTTTTTATAGCTTTTAGTGATTTATAGGTGGCTTACAAATTTCATTCGTCCGAGTAATGTTTTTAGTCTGTACATACACATAGCAACTTGAGTACGATTGGTGTATGCTTTAAAAACTATCGTATGGAACTTTTTTTTTCTATCAATTCGGGAACATTATCAAGATTTCACTTCACATTTATATGCGTAAAATTTACTAAATCGTGCATATCAGAAAGGAATATTGAAATAAACCGAATCGTTTTTGTTTTGAATTTACTTAGTCAGTATTTAGTAGCGAAGCAGTTCTTAGAACATGCCCAATGAAAGTATTTATTTATTTATTAAATATACATATATCAAGCCGTTGATCTCATTGAAAACATATTTGTACATCATTCTCAGTCAGGTCTTTGCAAACTGTTATGCCAATATTATGAAACGTTAGATTAATTTAATTGCAAATTAATTTAACACAGGAATAGTAAAGGATGTTCTAAATAAAATCGGTATTATTTGCAAGCTTATAATTAGCCAACGTCTGATTTTAATTTCCGTGGACTGATTGTACACAACACGTTTGCGCGCAAATTGCAAATAAATATTTTATTAAACCCTGTGCATTTGCTAAAACTCAAAGCAGCCATAGAAAAACCTTAACGAATATTGATATCCCTTTAAATGTTTCAATTCAATTAAAATACTTGGATGATGTGCTTTGAATTTTTAGCTATTATACAGACTCAGCATACAGATAGAAAAATCTCTCCTTAAAAAAATATTGAAAGCATTTAGAAAACGCGTTAAGTGTGTTTATTTAAATGTTAGTCGCTAACACTGTTTAGCATATTTCTAGCCTGTGTCGCAAAATATCGTTCTATGTGTTATAGTGTAGCTTGTATTATTTGAGTTCGGGTGAGTATGCAATATTGGTAGCTTTACATTGATGGGTTGTGATATGTTAATTTTCTTTTACAAGACGGCTGAACTAGAACAAAATATCTAGGCAATTATACATATCTCCATAAAAGGGTCACAAAACAAGCCTCTTATCTACTGTCAGAGATTTGCAAAAGATATTATTAACTCAATCTTAAGCTACTACCAAATTGTCAATTGAAGTTCATTTATTTTAACAATGTATTTCGCTTATCTGTTATATAAATATCTATTCCGTGTAGTGATAGATGCAAATTAAAGATTGTCGGAAAATAGATAGTTAAGAAAAACATGTACTAGGTGTACTGTAAGTACAAAACTTTGGAAGGGTTTTTATTTATTATCAACTATGGATTTCCGTAAAAAATACAGGAAAAACGGGTTTCAGAGCAAGTATTGATATTCCCCAAGACACTGATTGTAACTATATTGAAAATATATTTGTCTAATAGTTGTTATGCATGTAGATATTTAATACTTTAACTATCTGCATACATTTTTATTTTTTATTCAATTATTCCAATTATTTAAAAAAATCCTTGCAACTTTTGTATTTACGCCACATACCATTTTCCTGTTATTAAGCGTCGTAGTGAGTGTCGAAATATAAATAACCCTGTACATATATCACTAGTCAATTATTCGAAATATTTTATTGTATTGTCTAAAAAATGTTGGCTGTTTTCATTTGGATAAAATTGTGTTATATTCGGAATTTCCTACAGCTGCTATCTGTTCCAAACGTGCTAAGATGTTCAAAGTTCAGACGTTGATTTTTGTTATTATCTTCTCTACACGTTATAGTTGGGAGAAGCAGTTTTTTGTTCTAAAATATATTGTGATATAATATGTATAAGTCCATTTTAAGTTGTTAGACAAAGCTTAAAAGTAAAGAAGTAAAACAGCATTTTCGCGTTTTTCATTTCGGGATTAAATAGGAACAAATAATTCGTGAATTCCTGATATGTTTGTTATGAATATGCATTTTTTTATTGAGAAGTAAGATAACTGTATGTAAATTCGCAATTAAAGACGTGCGGAAATTCTGTACTTTTGCACAATTGTAGGCGGAAAACCCAACAAGGTCTGAAATTCCTTATACTCGACTACCGTAAAAAATACTTCTGGAATAACTATGGATCCAGTTTATCGAGGGGCGATATAATAATGAAACAAAAATACAGAATTTAAAGACAGTTTCCTGGTCGTACCATATTTTCTTTGGACATCCACAGTTGGCTAAGTTTAAATAAAACTGGATTTTTCCGTTTTATACTTAATAGTTTGTTTATTCAATTAGCGGTTATGCTGAAAGACAATTAAGGTACTGCATATCTATCTATCTAATCACGATAAACATTTGTTCAACAACAAGTTCAAATTCTTATTCCTAAGTTAAACAGTCAGTACGTTCGTAGGAAAATTGAACAATAATTAGGGCGAAGTAAACGTTTTAAACGAAAACTCCCCAGTCGTGAGTAATGTAAATCACTGCAGCCGCCACAATACCTAATGTGGGCATAATAACGTACAAAAAATATCTGGACGGTAACGGTTCTAAAGGTCATCTTTCGTCCATTGCGTCATATTCAAACAGAGGCTCGTCCTGCAACATACCGTGTTCCTCAGTCTTATTTTTCACATGTTTATGAGCTCTGTTGTGGCTTTGGCTGGGAGCGCCCCCGATTAAGTTCGGTGGCGCGTCTTTGCTCCCAGACTTAAAACAAGCACATTAACTGCAAATCAATGACTTAGTGCGGGCATGCACTTACTGGTTCTTCACGCCGCTTGTACATTGAATGGCTTACAATTGAGTCGCGAATCAGTTTGTATAATGAGTAATAGTTGAAGAAAGTCATGATGCCTAAAGCCAAAATTCGGTACCAATAAACCGTGTACCAAACACTGTAGAACTGATAAAATACCAACGCGCACTGAAAAGTGGCAGCAAGAGTCAATGGGTAAGAGGGCGAAGAAAATAATTGCTAAAAAAGAATTAAAATACTGAAAATATTCTAAAAAGCATGAAAAATTGCTTACATAGCCCCAAGCAAGGGCCTTATCTCCAGGTGTAATACAGTTACAATCACCCATAGATTTCCACAAGGACTTGTTCCATTTAACTATCACTCCACTAGGCCAAAGTACGTCTTCTCGCCACTCATGGGTAACTAAAAATATGAAACAGTTCATTAAACTGCACAAATTTGATGTCTGTCTATACCTATGACCACGGATCTTTCATTCTCAAGTTTTTGCCAAATTCCAGAATGCAGAATTGCTCTATGGAGTATATCGCAATACTTCAAAGGGATCATATGCACAAATGAAAAGACAAAACTGCCAGCAAAGATTAAAACTCCATGTTCAACGTTCCAATATCTTTCATAAACTAATTCCGACTGTAAAATATTAAAATTTATTTTATTAATAAAAAACATGACTATCTGTTTGGTACACTAAAAATCAGCTTCATATCGATTGCCTACGTGAACCCATAGTTAAATTAGAATAATGATTATCAGGTTTTATTTTAATATTTATTGTCCCATTCGCTTCGGCTAATTCCTTCCCTTTCAGTTGAACACGAAAGTATTCAATAATTCAGTAACAGAAAACAGGTACTTATTTAGATTCTTGTATGATATTTAATAATTTGTGCTTGTACACTTTGATCAGCGTTCTGCAAAAACATATAGGGAAACAATAAATAATAAAAGTTAGTACACTATATTTGGTACTTTGGATCTGAAAAAAAAATTGCATTGCGAATATATCTAAGGACTTTTTTTCTGTAATCTTGGATTTTAAAAAAACGGCCGATTTTTCTGTAAAATACAGGGGTCTGTGCAAAATTCTACCACAAATTCTTGGTCTAAATCGCCTGACTAATTAAGTTAAGAACTAAAAGCGTTTTTCATACTAATTTGAGTATTTTTGTTCAGTCGTTTATTTGATCAAGAAGGGAAATAACTAAAATTGATGGACAATCCTTTAACTGGGATATGAAAATAACATACCGTTTAAAATAAAATATTAAACATTAAATAAACACACAGACAGACGGAGGGAATTAGCCTAGAAAATGTTAAAATAAAATAATTAAAGTTGCTGATTGATTTTTTTTTATTTCTACTTTCTACTATAAGTATGACAATCTTTTAATTTAACGAAAACTTTTCTTACCTGAGAAAAGCAGCAGGGAATGAAACTTCCGTAGTAAGAGTTGACTGCTGCGGTGAAGAAAATTTGCCTTAGCCGATCTAAAAAATTGGCCTTTAAATGTTCGCATTCAATTCGTATATCAGATGGATTCGAACTGCACGCATGTAAGGGTTGAACGCCATTTGAGCACCACGTTGAGACTTCAAAAAAGGGGCGAATCTTCAATCCGAATATCGGAATGTAAAGTGTGATCCTGTCATAATACAAACGTTTAAAGAAGCTTGAATGTAATTTTAAACAATCAACTCACGGATAGAATAAATACACTATATCCATTTTATCTCTGTTTCCCAAAACTATTGTTGCTAGAATGCCGATCATTGAAGCATAAAATATTAATAAAACATACCTAAAAAGGAAGTAACATTGTGCAGTTAGACAGTCCGCATTTGAGATACTCAGTAAAAATTACCTGGAAAAACAACTTAACTCTTCTTCAGTTTTGTTTGAATACACTCTAGATATAAACAGACAACCAACCTGATAATAAATTCGTCTCGCAAATATCACAACAATCAATATGACTAAATTTGGATCAATCAAATAGAAATTCTGAAATAAAATTAAAAAAACTTTGATTAGGGTACATCCGTTTTTTAAAGTGCTTTGTTTCTTTTGAGAGCTTTGCACTGGCCACTATGTTCACATAAAATCAATAATAATATGCATAAATAGAATGTGTTTCAGAACTATGAAACCAAACTTCTAGAGAGTGTACAGGACATCAATAGCAGACATAGAGTATAAGAATTCTTCTCCTGAAATGTCTCCTTAAGGCACTACATCATTATGCCCATTTGGTACAAAATAATGTTTTATTGAGTTTTTTTATTATAAAAGTGAATTTATTAATTAAGAATAATATCATTAATTATTATAAAAAGAAACGGACTGCACTGCAGGCTGATTACGCAGGTTACTGCTTACAGTGTAACAAACTTACAGTAACAAACTTACAGTTGACCCTGACCAAACAGGTATGTATTTTATTTTGAGTCATTTTCAAAAATTCGTCATGTCCAAACTGGAGCGACTATACACTTGGAATTTTGTTCCGTTCCAGCCAAGGTAAGTGGCTAGAAATGGGACCAATTTAAAGCTATATAAACGAACTGTATCCTGATTTTCCAGAAAAAGACAAACTTTCAGTTGAGCCTGACAAAAACGTTCATGCTGAGTCATGTTCAAATACTTTGAATTTTTTTCATTCCAATCTGAAACAGGTAGAAAAGTTGTCGTTAGGTACATTTATCCAACGCCCTTTACTTTACCAGACTGTTGAGTGAATGAAGTTTAAATAAGCACCATCGGTTTGTACTCATTTTGAAAAAATCCGAAAACTTTCTGCTGAGACAAAGCCACTCAAAAATTTTTCTGCAAAGATTCGACTAAGTGAACACAGGCAAACTGCAGTTCAGGCTATTTTTTGGAGTCACAAACTTAGAAATCAACTTTACCATTGTCTGGATGAAGAAACCCTGTACAATTATTTTAAAATATGAACATGAAAAAATAATAATGGTTACTAAAGCGAGTAAATTCATAGTATAAGGAATATCGTTTTCTCAAGCACCTAACCTGTGAAAGTAATCATCAGTTATAAGAATTATCTTGTCTTGTCCAAGTAAAAATGTAACAAAATATACTGACTAGTTTATATGTATTTTAGTAATTTTCAGTTATTGTGTACGAATAAATTTAAATCGAAAACACATGATTTCCTACAAAACGGTCTTACAGCGTAAAAAGGCATTAGCACCTTAAGACGACTTTTCATGGGTTTTTCTATTGATGCCCTGAACACTCCCTAGGAGTTTTATTCCATAGTTCTGAAACACCTTTGCGACTTTCTTTGCCTCTAAAGAACGATCTTACCTAACGTTTAATTTGTCAGACGATTGTTTGAAGAAAAAACGTTTTTTATATATATTATATCTGTAGAACGATACGACGGTTTTTAATGAAACTTGCTGTGAATTTCTTCCTATGTAAGACTCATGTTTTGAAAAAGTAACTAAATTCATCTGCTTTGGGCAATTGGTAAATTGTTGAGTGACTTAGTGCAAAAACTACCAGAGCTTTATAGTGCGTTTTTATTGTAGACGAAAGTTCGAGTTATTGCGAAATTGTGGAGAAGTATGGGGAAGTATAATGTAGGAAGAATGATGAAATGTAAAGGCAAAACTATGCCTCTAAGGGTTTTTGCCTTAGGTTTCCTTGTCGGTCTAAACACCACTAGTTGATAGAAACAACAAAAATTTCATTAGATAAACGTGGAAAAAATTAATCAAACAACTTTCAAATTAATGTTGCGTCGTTGGGTGTTTTTCTGTTTTCAAATTTATTTCACACTTACCATTGTACTTTGCGTATAACTGTTGGGCAACCACCACACTGACCGGTAGAGATACAAAAATTGTAGTGCCGCTGCCACTATAGCATACAGCACTAATATAACATCAAAAATTAAATCACTACTGTTAGATGAAATAGGAAATGGAAAGTGTTTGGGGAGACTTGGAGGCTCCAAAAGGGGAACTATCGGTGCACTTCGACTCGCTCCAGGGTCTCCATGAGAACCAGCGCGACCGGGTCGAGAGATCCTTCTAGCGCCCGAGGGCATTCTTTGGGATTGTTTGCGAATTTTTGAAGAACTTATATCGAACTTTGCGACAAATAAAGGCCAAAAAAGACAAATTGTTCAGGTTAGGATGACTTGTCTTCATCTATGGTTAGGAAGCCGCCGGAAGACCACAAAATATCCCCCCTAGGGGGTATGTTCTGTGCCGGAAGACAGTGCAATAATATTAGAATTACTCACTGTCCCCCCACCAACCCGATACAAGAGCAAGACTAGCGCATATATCGCACTGGACTACTTGTCTTTACCTATGATATGCGCTAGTCAAGAGCAAGCAAGAATTGTCACAAATCTCTCTATTTTTGGCTTATTTTATCAGTTTTTAACGATTTTTTTACGTATGCAGAGCGTTTTGGCTATGGCTACTAATGGCCAACACCAGGATTCCGGAACACAAGAGAAACTGCAGAGACAGACGGGATAATCCATAGAACAAGGGATAATCTGATATGGCGGAGCACGCACTTTGGAAATGGAAAAAAATCAAATAATTTCCAAAAAAGCAGATGTTTTGGGCCAAACACTTTTGGTAAACAACTATAATCTAATTTATTGAGATCTTCGTTTTTTGTATTGCTGTTGCGGTTTTGCAACATTTTCAGAAATAAAATAGAATACATCCAATCACATTCATCTTTCAGTGTCAAATGCATAGATAAAGACGAGTAAAATAAAAATCAATATGTATTTTAAACAGCCGTTTTTGAAAAATATTCACGCAACGTTCACCAAGAATGTTTTCGTCTGTACCAAATCAGTCAAGTTCCAGGGACTTGAGTTAATCAAATTTGTACTAATTTCAACTTTGATTGATAATTTTAATTGCTTTTGCTCTCCTCGCCTTTTGCTCTCCTCGCCTCTAAACATTGAAAATTTCCCTTTTTGGCTAATGAAATAACCATGAAAAATGTCAAAAATAGAAGTAAAAATTTTTACAAAATTTGCAATTGCTTAGGCATCTTTCAATATTCTGACAAAAAAATCAAAGCATCTAAAACATTTTTACCAAGGGCTTGAGTTGCCAATCGTACTTTCGTTTTATCGCGTGTCCAATGAAATGCCTTATTCTCAATGTATCAGCGTGTAGTCCCTCTTAATTTTGTAGTTCGTCTAGACCCTGAACAAAATCCCACGTACTAAGTCCTTGTTGATGTAATATTTTTTGCGATGCAAAACAATTTCTAATTAATTTTATCATGTGGCTGGGATCAAAAAATTGAAACATCTGAATTGGCTACGGGTTGTTTTTAAATTATCCAGATTGGTCCACCCTGTATGGTTGCAAAACGCAATTACGATATTTAATGCTAATAAGAGTCCTTTGTCTGCTGAGAAAATGTCTACAATAAGTGGTAATGTTTCTATTCACATTCACTTTCACTATTACTAGAGACTCCATAGTCACTAACTATCGAACATCTTTGGCGTTTACTAGGCTCTTCTGGTTTACTTGAAGTATCCGTTTCTGGTTGACTTTCTTTATTTGCATTTATGCTTCTTGTACTGTTTGGTTTATTATCCAGAATAGCTGCTTCTTTCTTAGAATTATTTTTATCATTTTTTCTAATAATCCCTAAATCGATTTTGTCGCTTTTATTCAAATTATTTGCCGCCATTTGCCTTTTCCTACTAATATTGCTAGTGGGCAATGCGCTTTGCGACAACAGTTGCTTCCGTTTCTCATCTAGATTTTCCTCAAAACTCCTAATCGGTTTCATCGAAAGTAATGTTGCAATTTTTCTATCCTCATCTCTTTCTTCTAGCAAAGGAATGTCAAGACTAGATTTTTTCAACAAAGCTGTATCTTCAGCATCTTTTTTCTTAATCTGGTAATTTTGCTTCTAAAAATTAAATGTAAGTACATTTTGAGCCGAAAGTGTAACAGTTTTAAAATACTCACCCTAAACTCGGCTCGTAGTTTGGAATTGGCAGTGTAGCAGTCTGCCCAAGCATCCTCATTTCTATTAAAGAGTTTTACTAGTCGTGGTTTAGCGGTTTCCATAGCGTTTAAGTCTTGAGCCCCATGTTCCAGTTTATACATTTTATCATCAAATAGTCTTTTCTGCACTTCCTTTGTTTCAGGCACAACTTGGCCATTTTTAATAGGATCCCAACGGTTTTCTTGACGACGAGCCCCCGAAATAATTAGATAGTCCAGATTCTAAAAACATATTAAGTTGCACTATGTTAAGTTACATACATATATACTACTATACATTAGATATTACATACTATTTAGTAAATGATGTTAGTAGTAGCATGTACTTACTGCTGGATCAGCCCTGATAACATAATGATTATCACAAAGATGGCATTTCATCTTAAACTCGTAAATGGGGGTTGTATAATACATCCCGACTTTAGTCTTTTCAGCATTGTACCGCACGCCCATTCCAACATGATTCTTGCAGCCCTCGCACCATATATTGTAGGGCATTTCAAACCGAATTATTATTATTCCCTGGTCTATTTTCCTGGCTCTTTCCCGCAGGGCATGTGTCCCCAAAAACTTATTGAGCCCCCCAACTTTGGGATCATAATCTGGGGGGTAATACTTGTTGGTGCCTTTACGTTCACCCATCTTGAAAAAACTGTTAGTCTCTAATCGTTATAGTTATGCTTTTCTGAAAAAAATTAACTGCTGGACACAATAACAAATAATATTGAGGTTAACACCACAGATCACAGAGGTGACACTCTGTAATCTGTTACACAGACAATCCACACAACAGTGTTGCCAACGAGATATTAGAGCTAGAGACAAGATCTTGAAATCGCTGAGCTCCACCCAAAGAAATCAATAATTAATCTGGGGCTGCACCGCATGTTCTTCCTTTTCCGAAAAAATCACTCATAGCTGTGGTTCTTATGAATTATTTTTTCGTTTTTAGATAAAATATTTCTGTTTATTGTGCAAACATTTCAAGTTATTCATTCTACAGTTTTAAGAGTTAAAAATTTTCCTTAAGTCGGATTGTTGGATTCAACTCCACTGCAAGCTACAAAGATTCTTCAATTTTTTGCTCAAACTTCAAGCGTTTCTAAAAAATTAGCCTACGACCCTTTTCTCCTAACAGTTCGTAAAATTGCGGCTTTAAACTTCCCTTTTTCTGTGGCAATATCTGAAGTTGCTTCAGATACTTTGGGAACTTCAAATGACTTTTCTGAAATTAAAATAGAACATAATGAGGGATACTTTTTTGTTAATTTCATTTTAGAAAAATAAAACAACATTTGCGAGCTAAAATTATATATTCTACTTTTATTAATAGCACAAGTATACAACATAAATAAAACATAAAAATCACACTAAGAAATAAATCATTCGGAAATGATGGCATTCTCAAACAATACTGGGAAAAGCTAAACACCAAATATATTTGTTTACTTAAGTTTTAATTGATGAAGTTGTTTAATAAGATCTCTGCATTCTATCTGCATATAAAAGTAGTTTTATTAAGGGATTTCATAACATAGGGACGAGAGAGTTCTAGATCAAATTACAATAACTGTTGAAATGTATCCTATAATTCGTAAATAAATAATATATACATTAATTATTGGTAATTAATTCGATAAAATGGTAACATGAATTGGAAAAATGTACTAGATACGAACTAATCTCCAAACAATTAATTACATTTTAAAAATCTATACAACACTAGAAAGTACTTTCTGATGTCCTAATGCAATTGGATACTCTCAAAAAGGGTTATAGACAGGAAAGTAATTGTTCCAAAACATTTTACACTGACAAAACTTCTAGATCATAATACAACAAACCTAAAAAAAAATAAATAAATACGTTCTATGGTGATATTTTTGGTCTACATTGCCTTCATTACTTGACAGCATTGGTATGAAATGAAAAATCGCACAGATCTTGCAAGTATAAACAGTAACAGGTGTTCAACATACTTAAAACAATTTAATTATTATGTTTATATTGAAACGACTTTTTTATACTTACTATAAAACAAGGCACAATGAATCAACAATATTAATATCGGATAAGTATTTGTCATTTTGTGTAATCTTGTGAAAAGTTAATTGAGAAAAGTGCATAAATCACTGTCAAACAATAAAAATGCTTCTTTAATCTTATCCGCCTGCAAAATTAAATAAAGAACCCTGAAATATAACTGCTCAAATTTTACTTACGTTCCAGTTAAGACTGGGAGATTTTGCTACAGATTTCATTCGTAAATTCTGAGCATTTCGCTTTTCCGCCCAAATCACCTGCAGAATGCAAAAAATAATTCAACCAATAATAAAAATATATCACTTTCTGCATACCTGTCAAGTATTTGGCTTCTTTGATGGTTTCAAAGCATGCACGCTCTATTTTGTCCGCATATGGAGTGAGTTGCATGTACCTAAGCATCATGACTGCAGAAAGCAAGAGAGCAGTCGGATTGGCTTTGTCTTGACCTGCGATGTCCGGAGCAGTTCCATGGACCTGTTATTAATCATTAATATGTTAAAATATGTTTTTTATTTTATTTATTAACCATTAATATGTTAAAAGCGAATTCAATTTTTTAGTCTAAAAGTTCGAAACCGAAGTACTAGAAGGCTTGAGAATGTCTCTTGTTAATTTTCCAGAAAATATGTAATCTTTAATGAGTTCACGTTTCAATGTCGATTAAATAAAAAAATCCTTTCCTTTTGTTGGTTGTTTTGATCAAAAATGCATATATCTTACCGATTCAAACAAAGCTCCGTTAAGACCAATGTTTCCCGAGGGTGTTAGACCCAGTCCTCCTACTAGACCAGCGCACATATCTGACAATATATCACCGTATAAGTTAGGCATTACCAAAACATCGTATTTTGAGGGGTCCTGTACCATGTTAAGACACACGGTATCCAAATATCTTTCCTCAAATTTGACGTCGGGATACTTCTTGGCCATGTCGCGACAACAACGAAGGAAAAGACCATCTGACATACGCCTATAATAATAAAAAACATACAATTAATTAATTGCAATAATTTTGAGAATAGTATACTTTATGAACGTTTCTCAATTTAAATTTGTTCAAAATTCCAGCGTTTTTTCAACAATTCCATTCAAAACTCCATTGAATACTCAATTAAAACGCAGAGGTCAGTAATAAAACAAAATATTTCATAGTATTAAATATCTCTTCGTATACTATATAAATAATATAATTATACGGCACGTAATTATTAAAGAAATTACAGTGAAGAGGGTACGAAATTCTAAGAAACTACACTGAAAAATCGTACATAAAAAGTATACAGACATGAATGGCTTAATTTATAACAAAATTCAAATATATTTTCAATTTGCATACGAGTGGTTACGGAAAATTTAGAAAATAACATTAGAACACATCTAAACTACAAACATATTTTTCAATGTTACGTGAATCACTGTACAGTGTGATTACCAGAAGATAAAATTTAATATATATGTATCTTAAAGATTTCAATTAAACCATTTTAGAGCTTATAGTTTGACAAAATGGAGAAATAGCCATTAAGAAAAATATTTTTAGGAAAATGTCACTTACATAATATTGGCTTTATGTACGGCAGTGACCTTCTTTCTCTTGTTCTCTTTAGCGTATTGGAATGCAAATTCCGCCACTCTTCTTGAAGCATCTTCAGTGATTAGCTTGATACTTTGTACTACACCATCAACAATTTCATGCTCAATGCCTGAGTATTCACCTTCAGTGTTTTCTCTTATTGTTACCACGTCCACATCATCATAAAGAGTTTTGTATCTGAAATAAATTGAGAACAAAATAAGTAAACATTTTATTCAAATAATCGCTACTCACCCCTCTAAGCTTCTACATGGTCTCACGTTGGCATATAAATTGAATTCTTTCCTTAAGGCTAAGTTCAGAGATCGATGTCCTTTACCAACTGGGGTCATTAATGGTCCTTTAAGACCGATTTTGTTCCTGCAAATAAACAGATTAAAATAAAAAATGTGTCTGCGATCTTATACCAAAATCTTAATTTCCCTCTAGCTCTAAAATATATCAGCTAACATAGCGGTAAGGCAAACTTTTATAATATGTCAGCTCTAGTCGCACCTACCATTTTTATATTATTTTCGGGCTTTTATGTGGAAAAAACAACGCTGTCGACTACTGTACAGCAGAAGATTAAAAATGTTGAGTAAATTACGAAAGAAAGTTATGTCGCTCATTATGAAGTACAGTTGCGGTTCCCTTGCTTGCATATATGCTTTTCATACCATAAGAAGAGTTTTACAGCAGAAACAGAAATTATTCTTGAGCAAATGTAGTTACCGGTATAGGGTACTAAGATAATTAATCCATGATAAATATTTGGATGCAATGACACATTATTTTGAACATATATTTTACCACTAGCTAACTTTCAAAATTATATTGCCCAATAAATGTGATTAATAAAGTACCAAACAATCATGCAATAGTATTTTATTTTATATATCAACTTTTTGTTTGAATTTCAATTTTGTTCCACCAAATAGCATGCAAACTTTTTGACTTAAAAATGCCATCGGTTTTAATTAAAACGCTCCTAAGAGATAAAGAAAGGAAGTCTCATAGATAGTATCTAGAAGAGATATAAACTCTGATCAAACGTTTAACAGTTACTTCTGGCGTCAAACCGTCTCTAAAAAATCAGCATTTTGCAGATACTTAGAAATCACCTGATATGGGTTCAATTGAAGAAAATCAGTAGTGCCGTTTTCGTTAATCAATTTTATTAAATTGATTTGAATGATTTTTAGACAACCATAAACATAATGTTGGTTCAATGGTTCATTTCAGTAAAGTTTGGAAATAAAGCATTTAATACTTCCTCCTTATAGGGATGGACATGTATACTATTTGTTAGCGAACGTGAAAGTACCTCCACATTTTCCATACTGGAAAAGTATGCGCACAAATATCGACATTCAGTGTGCGTGTATTAATTTAATGAGCCTTTAAACCGTTGCAAATTGATAAGATAAAAATATGAAGGGGGATGAGCAAACAAACAAAAAGAAACACTTTGAGCTTCTAATTAAAAAATTCATGGGGCTATTTATTAGACTCTAGTAGCTCGTAAAAATCAAAAAATTATTAGCTACGGGATCTGCTTTCGAATTAAAATCCAAGTAAAATTCTATATAATTAAACTTCCTTCATAAGTCCTCTAGACTAAACTAATCCCATATAAATTTTAGGTTTGATAAGGTTTACCGATTGTTTAATAAGTGATACCGAATTAAGGAATGTCGACTCATAATATATACAATTGATCATAGGTAACGTTGCAGGTTGGCTTATTACCTGTCTCGTGTATTTAAACTATTTAGTATGTTTATGACGAGAAATTAAGTTACTATAGAAATCTTAATAGTAACGCAACTCATGAATGAAACCGAGAACAAACTTTTGGTAAATCAATTAAACAGATTTGTATAAATTCTTCAATTCGAGTTCCTCTTTATAATGCAGACATTTATATAGAGCGATCAATCCCACAGGAACAACAGGAAAATTTTCAGTCAATTCTTATTTAAACAAAAAAACACATAGTTTTGTGAGTGAACATTTTGTCTAGACGTCGCGGAGTCTCAGCTACTCTTACGAATTTGGATGAAAATAAGCGACCATCTCAACGCAGTTGCTACAAAGCGTTTAAGAAGAACTTTAATACGTAATGTCCAAGAGCTGTTACCATCTTTGGTATTTTGCTAGGGAGAATTTTCGAACCCTGGATAAAATTTGCCACAGAAATACAGTTCATACCTGTTAACAGAGTCAATGGCAGCTTGGGGGATGCCAAACTTTCCATCTGGGCCCCTTACAGGAGTAACATCCACAGATTCCCATTCGATAGGAACCTTGGCTGATTCAAAGATCTGTTGAACTGCAGCAGATATTTCAGGGCCAATTCCATCGCCAGGTATGAGGGTGCACTTCTTTATTTCACTACTGTAGAGTCTTGAGCTAATCGGTTTGCTGGAAACCTGCAAGCAATCAAGTATCTCACACCCTTATGTTATGGTATATTTATACACAGTTTATGTGAGTTGTCAATAAATTGGGTGTTGTAAATAAATACAAAGAAACGCTTGTTTTAGCCGTACATATGTTGGAATTTTAGTATTTCGGGCATTTCCAGTAACTTTTAATTGGCATGTGATATAACCTAAAAAGCTTTTGCGCCTTGAGTTATATAACACTTACAATTTCTGCGGTTCTACCGCTATTCTTTGGCGGATTTTTAGCCAGGAACCGAAGCAGCCCGCTAAACAATTCGTTGATATTTTTCCCATTGAAAAAACCAGACATTCCAACGTTTTTTTGTATCAAACTCAAAGGCGCACGTTAACTATCACCCAAAGTGATTGCAATGAAGTTGAAATGCAGTGTTATGGAAATTAAGCAGATCTACTTACAATCTTCCTGAAAAACTGAGCTGCCATCCTAATTTATGTTAAAAATGCTTAAAATAACCCCTTAATTTATTTTTAGCACCCTCAAAGGTGTTTAATGAATGACAAGTGCCCTATTTAAAAACAGCGCATGTCAGATTATTGAAGTAGCTGTATGTAGCGATGTCAAGTTTTGAATGTTCATACTTCAGGTCTATTGCTGAATGTTGCTAATTTTAAAATATAAAATTCGCAATTTTTAATTGGGCAGTTTTTTTAGTTGATTTACTGAATTACTGGAATTAAATTGTTCAATTTTCATCTTTCTTTTCAAGTTCACTGTACTAAAATGCTTTTTAACTATGATCAGGAATTAATAAAGCATAAAATTTCGTTAAATCTGCAGAATTCAAATGTAAAACTAGACTTCCTATATTTATTTTAACAAAAATATTTGAAAATTGTTATATTTATAAGTCATACCAACTCAAATATGTTCGTAAAATTAAAGGGCAATCTCAATAATACCAACAGAACAGTCTATAATGTTGCGATCTGCCGAATCTGCCAAACTTTTGAAGTTTGGAGGTTAATTTTCTCGGATTTTTAATGACTTTTTCTGAAAACGAGTGAAATTTGTGTATTTTGTTATAATACCAACTGTATTCAATGCCGCTTTGTGAAGGAGGTGTCCCAAACTTGAGGGTTCGACTACAACAATAAATTATTTCTGCAAACCACAAAAGATCATTTTAAAGATAGTTTAACAAATATGGCGGATCTGGATGGGAATATAACTTTGTTGAAAAAAAGTAATATATCTGTATATGTAGACGAAGCTCTACCAGATATTCTGGTTGTTACTTATGAGTTGGGCTTGAAGATATTTAAGGGCGTACTTTTGGACACCACCAAGAGGTAAGGCTTTTCCTTATATACCTATTTTAACACTTCCACCCCTCAACTCTATCAAGTGTTTATTAGCTACAGATTCCAGGCAATTTGCGTGTCAATACACATGCAAATATCCTATATGCAGGATTGAATATTTAATCGAAATATTTGAATTTTTGCAAATCAAACAATTTAGAATCAGTGCTCATATATCAATTCGATCACTCAGTGTTTTATGTGACGAATTGCTTTCATGATAAGAATTTTACTCTTTACAACTGTGTCAGGCCTGAAAAGCTGTTCTATGGGGGTTCGCTCATTCGATAACAATTCAATTTAACAATAATTGATATTGCTGCACGCGTCTTTGTGATGGAGTACTGAACATCGGTTATCCAAATATTTCTTGTCAAAACCCAAAGCCCCTTTAACGAAAGTTATGATTTGGTAGAGAAATTTAATAATTTTTAATAATTTAGCAGATGTTTCAAAAGAACATTGGGAATTTAAAATATGTTTTTTAATTTACCAACCACGAGTAATTCTTAGCATTTTTATGCATTAAAAATAGATCCTTCTTTGCGTTCAAAAACACCGAAATGGTCTTAGACAAAAAATATAGAAAACCGATAAAGGCATTTACTTATAGTGATCAAAGTAAGCCAGAAAAACGTCTTTAGTAGTTAATTAATGAACTTCTATCTTTTGACGAAAGAGATACCTACCATAATCAAAATTCTGAAGAAAGTGTAAGTCTCGCATTGATTTAGTTGCAACCTCGAAAATCAAAGACGGTAACTGAAATGGCTTGAGAAGCTTGCAAGATTTTCTGCATATTTGGAGCCCCGAGTATTTTTGATACTAGCGGAATAAAGGTTTAAAAATAAAAAGCATATTTTCCACAATCTGGTATAAAAATAATGTCTATATACTTATTTAAAAGTAACAACTACAGTAAATACTACTTATACTCTACTACTTATTTAACAGTAAATGCTGTCCATTTATAGTGAATAACTCTGTACATACACTGTTAAAAAACCGACAGTATTTGAATTAGGTACATGTGGATATCCGAATGGATTCTGTAATCCGGAAGTTTTGATCAACTGTCGAGTTTTGTCTGTTCGAATTATCGATTCTCAATATTTTCATTCTACGAAATCTTTGTTGGTTTCAGAAATTTGCCTTGTGGTATTCCCAACTTGAACCCTGCATTTAATGTACCGAAAAATCCAGATGATGATCCATTGTATGCAGTTAACCAACGGTTTGCGTACTTGGATCCAAATGCCCAAAAGAAGAAAGTGCAGGTTGGTTTTATTACCTATTTTCACAAAATATTGATTGTTATATTGCTATATTACATAATGGTAAATTAAGATAATATACAGCGTGATTTATTTTTAATTTGATTATCTTGAGCAACAGGACAAGCATTAAAATACTTGGGTCTCACAAACATGGGTTATATCCGTTCTTCAAAAATTTTGTTACAAACATGTAGAAAATTCCAAACCATATTAGAAGGTAAAGACTCATTGGTTATGCAAGAAGTACAATTTAAGGTCCTGCTTTTGAATCAGTCACTGTATATTTTAATTATTTTGTTCTGATATCGTAAACACTTGTGCTTGCAGAAGTAGGGATCAATTTTTCTACAAGTTACCTGAATTCAGGGTGAATTAATTAAAGCATCGCTTCCTTTATTAACTATATTAAATTAAAAAAAATATGTTAAAATAATTAATTCAATATTTATTTACGTTATTAAATAGCCGATAAAATCAAAAATAATATATTTGATATATATTGTCAAGAAAATTTGCCTGTTTTGTTGTTTTTACTATCAGGAGCGTTTGAATTGTAAGACGAGAATTTGTGTGACGATTTTATTCTTCCACCGTGTACAATTTTTTTGTATTAAAAAACTGAAAAGCAAATATCAGTATTATTACTTTACTTTATCTTTAGGGTTCAATTAGATATTCGGTATGTTTTTTGGAGAACAGCTTGCTTAATGTAATATTAACAGAATAATATAATTCAAAGAGGTATATTAAGAAAACGTTAATGTAAAACTCTTTGTGCAGGTACCAAATAAATATAAGAATAGCAAAATGACTGTGAGACTGAGGCCCAGGCAGGTACTTTGTTCAAAGTGTAAGGGAATTTGCAATGAAAACTCAGGTAAATTCTCAAAACTAACGAAATTTCGTAGATTTAACATTGCTTATTATTGGTTTTATTATCAGAACATGCTTATTACACTCATTGTTATATGTATTTGGTAATTCTGTAGAAAACGTATCCAGGAAGAGAAAGTCTTCTGAGAGTGTAACCAATGCAACACCAGTTGCGAGGAGGGCAACAAATGCTCCAGTCACAAGGTAAAATGCGGCAATTTACCTTATTTTAACATGTATTTGAATTATTTTTTATGCATTATTATTGTTCAGGTCAGTAAGAACTTATTTAAGTGCAAAGAGGAAACTCAGAGGTTATAGTCAAGAAGGACCAGAAGACGCCAAAAAATGTAGCAAAAAGGCAGAGAAAACTGAAGAAAAAGAAGTTGGTAAGGATTATCCTAAACGCATGTGAACAGGCTAAACAACATCAAAACTTATCATCTTTTTAAAAGGCAAAAATGTTGGGGCGAAATACCCAACAAAAATGTTCTGAAGAAAGTTGGAGTTATTTTTATTTGGATTCGCTTTCGTTTAATTTTAAACATACTTAGGAGTTGAGTACTTCTAAATTAACGTCGTTTATTTTTTCATTTACTGATGTTAATAAATATAAATTTAAATAAAAAATTAAAAAAATTGAAACTGAAATATCCCATGTATGGTACATTTTACTTTAAAAAATATATTATTATAGAATATGTTTTGTTTTACGGTTAAATAAAAGCAATCCCAGAACGCAAATATTATTCACTAAACATGTTTTAAAAAAGTTCTAAAAATAATGTTATAATAATTACAAAATGTATTGTATGTTTTAATTGTTCACATTTGTAAAGAAAAAATTGGCAACCCACAGCTTTTCGCAGAACATGGAAACATTGTGTGTTATTTTCAAACTTATTTAGAAGAAATGACCATTCTTTGTTTAACGCCCTATTTTCGATAAAAAAATTAATTAGGGGTGCGTTTTATGAATTTATTTGAATAAATTATTATTTAATTTTATCCAAATAAACTTGAAACTAAATTAACTGAACACTAAATTTATAGTTCAAAATGCTCTACATTGGTATTTCCATTTGCTTCATGAAATAAATTTAATCTTTTTTAATTAATTTTCAACATTGTATTGAAACGAAGAATTTGGTCGATTTACCCTACTAACATTTTAGATCATAGAATTTACTGTAAAACTTTATACGTAATTTTCTTTATATATCCTTTTATTTGTTATATATTTATTATAACCTGCTGTGTATGTAGTGGAAAATCCGACATGGGTGGATCCCGATACGATACCTTCCGCTAAGAAACCTCTGTCCAATATTGAGAATGAACCTCAAGATGACCCGTTGTTTATAAAGCATTCCGACGAACATTCCGAACAATTCCAAGAGACCAGTCCTGTTCTTGGAGAACAACCCGTCTTTCAACAGCCTACTCAAACGCAAGTTTTAAGGGCTGCACGAAGGACAAGGTGAGTATAGTGCCGGTTAGGTAACATTGTAATTTCAAATAAGGAATTAATGGCATTTTCTTGTACGTTGTTTAATATGTCAGCCTGATGAGAAAATTAATCCATACCATGAAGTGTAAAATATTTTTGTATAAACGAATTTGGGATCTAGGTTATTGTTTATCGCCTCCAAAGACATGAAAATGTAGGATCATTATGTCTCTTACTTTTTTTGTTAATATAGTAGGAAAGTAGCAATCGAATTGAAGTCAAAAATGAAGATGTTAGTATATTTATGTTTATTTGAACAGAAAGAAAAAAAGCAACAGCGCAACAGATGAGGAAAGTTCGACCGAACAACCAACGAATGCGAGTGGTCCAATAGCTGGAAATGTTACCCCAAATACAAGAACTATTAAAATATCGTATGGGCCCCAAGGAGAAGGGACTGTTCTCAAAATACCAGCACAAATAGGTTATTTGATTTAATTTTTTTTTGTTATTATATTTAAAGTTTAAATAGATTGTTTGTTTCTACCTCAGCACTGGATGGATTGTTTTTATGAAAACACCAATATCATCAAAATTGTGTGAAGCCTAATATAGATGTGTAGCAGTTGTAATAGAACTAATTGTATTTAGTGTGTGTAAATGTAATGAGATCTAAATGTCGGTTATTTACTTACAGCATATTTCTGACAATTTTTTTTTAAAACGTGCCCAAACATGCAAATTTAAATACGTTGCCACAATGTTTACACACTGTTTTAGTGCTATTATAATATAATTGCGTAGTTTAGTTATAATGTAGGTATTAGACCGTGATTAACGTTGTCACGAGGCTCTCAAAGACTAATGTTCCCAATTTCCGCACCAGACAATGTCACTGACGATGATTTGGAGGAAAATATCAATATTCCACCACAGGCGATTTCAGTAAAGTTGATGAACACCAAAGCAGCTAGAAAGGCTATGAAAAGGGCGAAAAAGGAAGCTAGAAGGAAAGTGTTACTTGGTGGCAGTCCTTTATATTTAGGTGAGACTTTGCCAACAAGCGTGGTCAAACAAACAAAAAAAAAGTGGTTTTAATGTCTGGTGTATTACATTTTTTGGAATTTTTACCCTTCGTTAATTAATCGAAAATGTTTATTTATTGTAGGTGGTGCTTCTCCTAGATACTTACCAAGTCCAGGCGCCTCACCTAGATATACGTTAGGAGGATCGAGTCCAAGGTATACAGTTGGTGCAGCCTCACCTAGGCAAGGTCTGAGTAAGTGACCACTTTTGAGACAATAATGAGAATAACAATTCATCAGTGATAATACATTTATTTGATGTTTTTTGCCCGATTTTTTTTTGATAACGTTTATTTCTGCCTTCGCTATACAATGAGTCCTCACATTTTTATTATTTTTCAGATGTCTTCTCAAAGAATAATTTCTGAAAAGCCCCACTTTTCACTTAATTCACACTAATTTTTTAATTATTTCTTCGAAATGCTCTTTAGTTTTTGAACAAATTTAATTTACTGAGGCCAAACTATTGCGGCATAGTATCGGACTAACATAAATTTAACATGCAGTATAGAAAAAAACGTAAAAAATTGGTTTTGCAATACCAATTAGTAACATACAAGCGCACGTTATTTCATTAATAGTATTTCAGGCGCACAAATAAGTTTTCTTGCACCAGGAAAATTGAAAAGAAAACGATGAGGAATTTGATTAACATTTATCATTTAATTTTATGTTTGTATTGTGTAAAGCAAAGCGTAAATATCTAAACATAAATATTAAATATTGTAACGGAGATCATATGCGGGTATTTTATTTCAAAAAGAAATCTAAGGCTAATACTTTTTTTTTTAAATACTGGATATGCATTAATTCCGCGTTTGATTTTTAGTGCAGGTTGTTTTATTTTCACCTGATTTATATCAGCAATAGATATATGTATTGTTTATTTGCGGATTTTTGAAGACGTTTTTGATTTACGGTCATTCTTGCGAATTTACAATATAATGATTTTTGAATGAATTCTTGTTCTATAGTAAAACTTCTTAAATTTTACTTTAGTTGTTAGTTAGTTACTTCAAGTCAAAATAATTTATCAGAGAGTTCATATTCTTTCTTGCATTTAAAAATTAATTAAGTTAATATAGTTATTATTAGTCAGATTTTGCAAATAAACCCTTTAAAAGATAAAACGCATAATAAAACAAGGCTGCGCTTGTAGGTTCATATCACACCTATTTTTTTATATGTCTCAAAAATTTTTATGCGAACAGAGATACAGTACAAAAGAGTTTTATAAAAAGTGCTCATATTTCATATAGTTTGAGTAGAAATAGAAAAAAGTGCTCTTATTTCATCAACTTCATTTCTCTTACAACGTGAGTCTAAGTATGCTAGGTAATAATTCTTGATTAATTTTTGATAGAAAATTCGTTCTTTATTGTCAAAGAAGAGCACTTTTTTATGAATCTGTAATAAAGGACATGATTAAATTCTGTCTTTTTAAACAAGACAATATTTTTTCGTCGAAATAACGAAGAAAGGTTTTAAAACATGAATCCGCTTCTACTGTAACATACTAAAATAATCATAAGTGCATAAAAACTGGAAATTCACGACGATTGATTCAATGTCTTCCTTTCTTGTAACGTGTATGTATAATTTTGCTGCTTGTGGAAGATTGTCTTTATTCAAAGTTAAAATGCAATATCTCGCATTCTAACATCAATTTAAGTCAATTTCTCCAGTACTTCTTTTGGTTTCACACCATCATGAGTTAAATAAACGTTTATTATTTGTCTAGCGAAATATCCAGAGCTGAGGATACACATAGGTGCGAAGTAGATCAAGGAAAGCATTGGATTTTAATTTTGTCTTAAAAATTGAGGAATTTGAAATAATCTGAAACTATATTTTGAGTTTGCTAAGCAATAATTTAATTATTTTATGTCAATAAACCTGTACATTTTGTTCACTATTTAATCATAGAAATCGTAATATAAAATGTCTAAAGCATGTACCTAAATTAGTCAGGTATTGGCCAGGTAACAAAAGGCATGTTATGTCATTTAATTTTACAGTTCCCAGAAGAAGAAAGCATAAGATGAAACACAAGAAGAAACACAAAGAAGATAAAGACCGGAAACATAAAGAAAGTGAGGTATGTTAAATTATTTTTGAGTTATGTGGTATTGAAATCGTTATTTTAAGTTTTAAAAATATAGATATGAGAGTAATTCAGTAAATATGGAAGTATATTGAAATATATTTGAGCACAATTGAATGAGCACGAATAATTCAAATAGTCCTAAAATTACGAATGTTTGAATATTCTACAGCGTGTACCGATCCAAGTATTCCAAGAGCAACTAGTCAAATTTAAATGTTTTTTTTGTTATTTAAAGTTAACATACATAACTTAATATTTTTCGAAATTTGAATTTTTTATTCAATACTATTACTATGCACTTTATTGTGTCCGGTTTTTCAGTTCCGCAATTACAAAAAAATATTGCGTTTGGTCTTGTCGGATAGATATAGATATAGTAGTATTGATGATGATTCGTGGTGTTATACGAAATATACGATCAAAAAGATATCATATCTTTATCTTATAAAGAAAATTGTTTTGGACAGCTTTTGACGAACTTGAATTTTGAATAATGGAGTTATTTGGAATTTTTATCACTTAATGAAACATGCAACTGTGCAAGCCTCTAATAATTTTTTTATGATTTCATTTAGGCGTTTTTTTGAAATATTAATATTAGAAAAATGGTGTTTAAATTAACTCAGCTCCAAAAAGTATTGGTTTAAAAGTCCTATTTGAGTTTTTTATTTTTTTTTAGATGAAATAAATTAAAACGTTTTAGAACGCGATATTTAACGATTAGTTTTATTTTTCGCAGGTTAGCAGTTCCACGCAAGACGATACAAAGGAACAATGCATCACTCAGAAACTATCAATCAACCTAAAGCGTCTAAAAAACACTTACACATCATGTTCAGCACAAGAGGAAACTACTTCGAGTTCAGATGAACATAGTGAACTTGTACCTGATTTTCCTCCACCAAATCCTCCACTGATGATGAGAATCAACGCCCAAACGTTGTCCAGTGCGTTGGGTTGCGATGGTATTTTGATACCCGATTAATCAACGCTTGAAATTTCGTAAATTTGAAATTTCCAGGCGTGCGTCTTCTCGTTGGAGACGTAGTTTGGGGAAAGATACATGGTTTTCCATGGTGGCCAGGAAAGATCTTAACTATTACCAATTGTAATTCTCAAGGGCCTCAAGCCCACGTTACATGGTATGGATCATCAACTTCAAGTCTTATGCAGTGTGATCAGTTGAGTCATTTCCTGGATAACTTTAAGGTAAGATCTATAGAATAATCATTAATCAACCGTAAATAAATTACTAGTTGCAATACTTCAGGCGAACTTAGCTAGATTCAAATTATTTCTCAGTCACGGCGCACATTAATAACGTGAATAATTGTCTTTGTTACACGGGGTGTTTCAGGGGGAGATGTATATGTATACTTTAATTTGGTATTCTGCAGTAATTCAAACGTGGTCTGAAAGTTCCTCAAAGTAGTTCTGGAAATACTTCTTCTAGAGTATGTATACAGGACTCTTAAAGTCAACATAGAAGCTTATATTTTATGTCTTTCACCAACAGTTACTAGTATTTTCATTAATTTTAAGATGGAAAATTGGCATTAAATTCAATGTAACATCAGCCTGACGATGGTGGCAATTAAATCGGCAGGAAATTGGGCGCCATTACGTTTTGAACTCGGTCTTTTGATGGCTTAAATCTCGGACTAAATCTGACAATATTAGAATAAACATCTGTTAATTTAAAAAAAATATTAACAAAACATTAGATCTGACTGTTAACCTAATAACAGTCAACGATACTACATAGAGTTTTCAAAAGTTTGCTTCACAAATACCACACGGTTTTCCGTATTTGAAAAATAAGCGAACAAATTAGCTGTTTAATTCTTCCACAAGCGCGCACTTTTCAAATTCGCACATGCACAATTTTAGTAAAATAATAAAGGGTATAGAAAATCCGTAGATTGAGCTCAAAACGTATTTTGAAATGAAGTGGCCTGCATTTTTTTATACCTGTTTAATTACAAAGAATTACATTTTTTCTGGCAAAAAATGTCTGGTATCCTCAGCCAAACTTTGTTAGAATACCAACAAATATTTTTGAGCTAAAACATTATTCTAAATCAATTTTTACCGCTCTGTATATCCAAAACGAAGCTTTTGCAGTTCTATGCGTGTAAGAGATGCTTAAATTTTAAACATTGAAATAGCTACATTTCCTCCTTAAATGCTTTGAGTAAAAACGAATTCAGTGTAATTGAATTTTATGTACTGGCTAGGTGCGATATAACAAAAAGAAGAAAGGTCCTTACAAAGAAGCGATTAAACAGGCAACAACTGAAGCGCGTGAAAATGCAGACAACAGGGTTAGACAACCTTTGGGCAATTCTCCCTCACATAATATCATCCCTCAAGTAGTACCACCTGCTTTGGCATCACCTAGGGAAATAGATGTTGCTTCATAAGGTGTATGCAACTTTCATCTTCGTCTTTTACTGCTTGGTTTTCGACCATATTCGTAGTGTTTGTTTTAATAAACGCTTTATTCCTGAATTTTATGCCATGAATTCGGTGTTTTCTAAGTACACAGAATCGTTAGTGGTGCGATGATAAATGATCACACTGGGTTATTTATTTATATTTTGGCACCCACCACCAACAAAAAACATCATGGTTTTTCCGGAAAAAAATTAATTAGCTGTTAACCATACCGCTATGCTTTATCTAATCATAACAAAAAGGTTTTATTCTGTTTTCATTTAAAAACCAAGTAAATGCATGAGGTCCAGGAGGCAGCCCCTGGAAAGTGTGTGTATACAACGTTGATTGGGGTTGAAATATATATAAAAAGTTCACATGAGTGTCAAAAAAATGTTATATCTGCACATATGCATCTAACTTTAGAAAGTCATATGAACATTATTCGAAGTAAATCTGTTATTAATTGGTAATTAAACTTTGTTATTTTCAATTTTTTACATAAATGTACAAATAAATCTACAGGGTATTATCAATTTTGGAAAAAATGTAACTTTTATATTGATTTCAAGATGTATGTTGCCATGTTCTGCAGTTTACACAGTTTTTCATCTGACAATCAAAAACTTCACTGGACAATAATTATACCTCGTTGAGTTGTTAACACAAATCGAAAAATCCCATTAACACTGCCTAATTTATCCTGAATAGTGAGAATAGCTGCGCGTGTTGTGTACTTAGAAAACGACCCTGCAGTATAACATTATCCGTTATTTTCAACTATGTTTAGAATAATTGCAATTTTCTCTTATTTCACTACATAGGATTGTGTAGTGTCTGGATTGTCAGATGAAACACGTGCAAATCTCAACGTATTTTTGCGCTTACTTTAGTCAATAGCCCAAGTGTACTCTTTTAATATGGTGTACAATGAATTGTGTAATATAGTGTCTATATTTGGATTACGTGTTTAGGTATATACAGTGGGAGCATTTAAAAGCGAGGCAGAATTAATATTCACATACGTAATTTTGATTCACAAGCAAATTGATGCGGAATATCTGCCATATTTTTAAATAATCGATCAATTCGAATTTTTTTCAAAAAAATTCCGTAATATCAAAATATACAATTCATCTCGCTCTACAATCCGAAAAAATTGCGATATATTGTCAAAATCTGACAATAAATAGATTTTATAAAAGTGTCCCGCTTTTAAGTAAGTCACACTGTAGTTCAAATTAACTACTTTTGTATTTTAACATGATTTTTAAGGAAACAAATGCGCAGTTTTCAACAATCAAATAACTGGTTTTTATTAATCGATATATTGGCTAAACTACCGAAATCAAAATTCAGCTCGTCGTGTGTTAAATATATAATACTATTAAGTGTTAAGCAACTGTATGTTTCCCAAAATTGTGTTGTATACAATAATGTATCTGTGATTTTATCCTCTTGGTATAAGTAAATAAACCCAATTATTTGCTAGTAATGTATTTAATTTCCACAGTACAGACACCCAAAAACAAGTATATATTTCAAATAAAAATAAATTATTTGTATAAAATTTTAAAAATATTTAGAATATTTACTTGAATCGATTCACTCCCATTGAAGGTGTAATTTTTTAATACGACTATGAATCCGACTTGTGCAGTTTAATGCTGGAAACATTTCGTTTAAATCACCGTAATTCATTAAACTTAATCCGGCTAAGCCAAAATACGTGTGCATTGGATCTGATGCCGAATTTACCTGGAACATAAAACAGTTATGGGTTTAACACTCACCAGAAATGTTCTTTACTTACCCATTTTGAAAAACCACCATATTTGTCTTGTGTCATTAAAACAAAGTTAGGATTATCGTCTGATTCTATAAACTGATATGCATTCAGAAGTTTCAGAGCTCCTCCAGTCCAAAACGAGTAGCAAGTGTCTGTCGGTTTATTTGGTCTACCATTGAAACCTAAGGAAAAAGTCCAAAACACTTTTCAATCTGATTATTTTATAATAGGAATTGGTGTGTACACAGTGGATGAAATCAAAGAATCTGTGTATTCATTACACACTTCAATACAAAAAAAAATTCTTTGATTATTTTATACTGGAATGCAAGAGGTAGTGAATGATTTTCCCTAATTTATTAAAGCACGGGAATATGATCCATTGCATAACATGTAGTTTTAAACTGATCTATAATTGATTTTTTTTTAATGATACTAATAACAAAGTATATAATTTGCACGGAGCAGTACTAGTAAGGTAAAAAAAACGAGTATTTTGTTTATGGATTTTCCAAATATCCTTATTCAAACCATCATCAGGAAAACGAGTGGCTTCCAATTAAACGTGCAGTTTTGCTTAAAATAAGCGAAGATAGCACCACAAACAAAACAATAAATTAATATGCCAAAACACCTAATCAATTTGGGTACCGAATGTAAAAAAAAAACAACCATAAACTTGCGAATTAAATTTCGTTCCTACAAAACAAAAAATCTGTAAATATTGTTAAACAAGTGCTTCGGTCCCGAGTTACAAGGTGGCCAAGTTTTCAACACGATGGCCTTTTTTCAGTGTAATTTTTTTTTTAGTTTATGCTTCATTGTTTGCACAGAAAATTATTGGTTAATTTTCAAAGGATGTGTAAGATCATTTTTCAAAGAAGCAATTCAATTGATTTTTCGGGAAAGTTTGTGCACAATATTTAAACCAATATCAAAGAAAATACAAACTGTTAACAATCTATAGAATTGTACATACTTTCCTGACTGTGTTTCAATTCCAAATCAAAATTAATTCCTGGGTTTCAGTCATTTATTGTCTCTATTTATCAATTGAAATACGTTTCGGTGTATTTTTCCATCATCAGTTTTTATGTGTAGCGTTGTTGCTACTTTAAGCCTTGGCATACATTTTTACAAGTATATATTTTTACAGGCATATAAAAATGTATGCCAAGGCTTAAAGTAGCAACAACGCTACACACAAAAACTGACGATGGTGGAAAAATACACCGAAACGTATTTTAATTGATAAATAGAGACAAGAAATGAGTGAAACACAGGAATTAATTCTGATTTGGAATTCTATAGAATGGGAGTAAAACGTTTATAGACCTATTTTTATCGTAGCTTTTGATTTTGTTTTACGTCCATCAATTATAATTCAGGATTTGGAAGAATAAAGTTGACAATTAATCCTTTAGGTAGTATACAGTTGATAGTCAACAGTTTCACAACGTTTAAAATGTTAATTCTTTTTATTCAAAAAATATTCAAGTACATAAGATAAGATTTTTTCTATAAGAAAATTGAGGCAATTTCCTGTTCTTATTTCACCTACTTGTTTTGCTTCTCGCTTTCTTATTTAAGGTTTAACATAAATCCTACTAACGAGCCTTTATTCTCTTTTTCCAATTTCAAGACAATTGAATTTCCAGAACACTGTGATTATCTTACCTATTTCCAATCTTGACAAAAGCCATCTTCTTAAGTTCTTAAATTGTTCTTGTGATAATATGTGAAGATTATTGCTTAGTGCTAAGGCAGCGATGGCGCAAAATGTTGATCCACAGTGACTTTCTAAATCTGGTCCTTGACCTATTCCTCCATCATATGACTACATAGAAAGAGACTACATATAATAATTCTGAGTATAAAAAACGAGTTTTCTACAAACTCTAACAACTAGCCTGATTTTTGACAATTAATCGATAAATGAGTGCCTGATCCCATACATAGTTGTACTTGCACTACCAATACCTTTTTCACTTACTATGCTTTTCAATATAAAGTCAAGCATTTTTTCAATATCAATTCCGCTCCAGTTATTCAAAATGTATGATATCGCAGCAGCGCAAAATACAAATCGCATATCACTTTCTGCACCGTCTATGGCCCCTTTGTATGAACCGTCATCCAATTGTAAAGCCCTTAAACCTAACGGTCTCCTGTTAGTTGAATATTTGAAGCAGATGTTCATTTACAAACTTTTTATAATTTCCTTCGTGTTGACCCTCTTTAGGTCATCGCCTAATATTAATAAAGATAACAAGCAGGAGTAAGTTGTTGCTATATGACCCCATTGGTAAGCTTGGTGCTTTCCTCTATACTCCCGGGTGTTTATGGTGGTGGAACCCTGAAATCCACTGACTGGCTCTGAAACCACCATCACATAGAAATGAAACTGTTGAGCTTGGATGCAACTAGCTAACCTACCATCATCCTCCACTTGTAAGCTATATAACCAATCTATCATTTGGTTTTTACGTTCTTCGGGTATATCATCTATGTCACCTAGTATATCTAATCCAGACACACAAAAATACAAAACAATTGATCTGCAAAAGTAAGGTGAATCAGACTTAATTATCAGACAGCGTACTATGTAAATTATATGATGTACAATTATTATTAGCATCTTTGATTATTCTATGCTAGGAAAACCCAAATATTACTCTGCTCTAAATGGTTTTGATTCGTACTTTGAGGATAATTTTAACCAGAGCAAAGGAACAACTGTTGTCTAAAAATGAAATAAACTTCACTAACTTTAACAGAAACGAAGTTAGAGGGTTAAACCCGAACTACAGTTGGGCGGTGTCATTGTGCTGCACCACAGGCACAGGATAATATAAATACAGCAGCTGCACCAGTTACCGCATAAAACTACAGAAGACTTCAACTTTGTATCAACGATTCTTCGTTGATTTACCATTACCGTGTGCAAAACCGCAAAATTGCGGTTTAAATAAGACAAATAAGAATAAGAGCATCAAGTAAACTGAACAAATTTAGCATATATAAGTAGTTCCAGGTAAAGTAAATAGTCCACTTACCTATTTGAGTCCATGTTTGCTAAAAAAGAAGGCATGCGACCATTTAGGAATCTATTGAGGTATTTTTTATGCAATTCTTTCTGAAATGATAGTTTTAGTAAAGTAGCCATCTCTTTACCACTTATACCATTCAATTATCGGCTGCGATAATATATCTGATGTCTGATGTGTTACTTGGAAATATTTATTACACTGTAACAGGGCGTAGGTACTTGCATAAAACTGCACATAGGAAATGGTTACGAGACTATTTACATTAACGTTTAACAGCCTTTAATGTGCGTTTAGTTTGTTGGAAACCATCTCATTTCTCATATAAAGCAACAATTTTGACTAAAATAAATAAAATAAATAACGAAGACATCATATAAAATGTCTTAGATAATAACCTAAGAATCGAAATATTTATGGTTTGATCGAGCATTCTTCTTCGTTTCGATGATAACTACCTAACTTAAGGCTATTTTCAAAATTGAAAATACCTCTAAAACTGTGGTTAGAAATATAATAATCAAACTTTTATAAATTAAAATTGAGGAATTAAATGCAATCTAAACTTATAGCATTTAAAACAACAATAATTAGAGTGATGTACTTATGATAAATGCAATTATTAGTTCTTATTTTTCTGTGAGGCGCAAAAATTGCAATGCCAGTGAAATCAATTTCTAGTCCCATTAGTATATTATTTACAATTTTTTATTTACTACATGTGGGTTCTTGTTGGGAACTATGGGGATATAACGTTGAATTATCGGTCCCCAAAAGGGATGAAGTGCTAAAGTTTATCCGCAATCCTTACTGTTACAAATATGAGTGTTGTAATGACAACTGGATACAATTCAAGAAGCGAAGTAAGTAATCGTAATTACATAGAAAAAGGGTGTTGAATGTCCTTACGTTAGAGTATTTGTTGCCACTCAATACTTTGATCATTCTACTAAACGTAATCTAAGTACTATATTCCAATCTAATTTAGTTTGTGAGTTTTATGCAATGAACTTATAGACATACTAAAAAAGCTAATGTCCGGATGGAACCCCTGTACTTATATGAATAGGTGCATGAAATTGAAGACAATCTAATTCTACACAAACACTTTGTAAACCTTTTCTTCTAACGTACTACTCTAACGTACATACTTTTTACTTCTGATTACATTGCCGATTATTTATTTGAAAATGTCTTAAAATTATGAACTGAAACATACAATTAAGTAATATATCGGGAATAGAGATGTTTACAGAAGGTCAACAAGAATCCTCCAGCGCTCTAATGGAGTAATGGCTTTGAGTGGCTATAATTCTACGACCGTAATATCGATGCTTTAACGGTCAAATGACTCTCATATTATGATATAACACGCCGTCTTGTTGAATGAATATTTCCTGCTTTCCTGCTAAATTAACTTCTCCGAGAAAATGTGCCTTCGTATCTAGCGATAGCGCTGACCTGTTAATTAACATCTTATCATCATTGTCATCATCATCATCATATTTGTTTCTTTTCTTGAATGTTTCTTCCTAAAAAACCGGTCACTATTTTTGCCCCTACCACCTACCATACTTAAGCTTAATGTTAGTTAATGCTAAAAACTCGGTGGAAGATGGGGATCGATTCGAAATTAATTTCTTCTACTTCAATTGTGGACATTTTTCGTATTAAACATAACTCCACTCGGCCTTTAGTATTTATTAAGTAACTATCGTCAAAATTAGAGTCTTATTTTGGAACCTTTCTCACAAAGTTGCTGAAATGCGTTAGATTTGTATGGAACATGCTTGAATTTATTCACTAGAATAGTTAGAGTAGATTCTCCAAATTGTCAATAAGGAAAGGCCGCTTTCTCTTTTTAAGTTTCTGGCAAATTTCTTGGGAACAGCTTCCAAATATGCAAATTGTTAGATATAATGTATGATTCATATTTTATCTGAACTTTGAGTATACTGTAATGAAAATAAATGTTGAATGCGCTCTAAAAGTGCTAAATACACTAAAAATTAGAAGTTGAAAATGTAAAATGCTATCTTGCAAAAATTGTTGTCCACATATCGCCTATTATACACACCTTTCAGACAATTTAAACAATATTTCTATCGTACCGATCACATATATATACTTGTGTTTCAAACATTATTCCACAGAATGAAAAACATTTTGTCAGAAACTTCGTAATTTCAACTCGACTATCGACTATTTATATCTATCAACTTTGATCAGCCTGTCTAATTTGGTTTGTATTGTTTTCTCAGAACTGGAAAACAACTTCTCCACTCATGTATTTGGACAGCCATTGTTGAACGCAGCGGTGGACGCACTGTCTTCACATTTTAATAAATATTTTCAATCTAGTAAAGCTCTAACAATGAGTTTTCATGGGATGACAGGAACAGGAAAGAATTATGTAACCAGATTTATAGCCGATAGCATTTTCACTAATGGAATGAAAAGTAAATACGTACATCATTTTTTTGGGCGTCTTCACTTCTCTGAGACGTCTTTACTTAAACAATATCAGGTGAGAACATGATTTGCTGTTCTTTTATGTAACATATGCAGGTTTCAGTTTTAAAGAATATAATTTCTTACACTTCCACAATATTTTCAATAGCATTTTAGAAAATGAAAAAATATGCTATTGAATTTGGCTGTACGAAAATTGTAAGACTGTCGAAATCATTCTTTCCACAGATCTGAAACGAAAGTCGAATATGTTTTCTTCTTATAATTAACAGGATTGTTAGTGATCCATTTCGTTTAAAAACCATACTTTTTAACTTTATAATTACAGAGCTGTGTTCAATATGTTAATTTATTAGCAGTTTAATTTTTAGACGGACCTGTACTCCTGGATCAAAGGCAACATAAGTGAATGCCCCACACAGTTATTCATTTTTGATGAAGTAGACAAAATGATTCCAAATGTGTTAGATTATATCACCCCCATAATCGACTACTTAGAAGATGTCGAAGGAGTGGATTATTCTAAGGCTGTATTTATATTTCTTTCAAATATCGGAGCTGATATTATCACGGAACACTTTCATGACCTCTATGTGCAAGAGGGTAAAAATAGGGAAGACTTGACGTTATCAGACTTTGAATATTTTATTCAGAAAGGAGCATTTAATGAAAATGGTTAGTATTTATTTGTTAAAATATATTCACTTTTTCTAATGTTTAAAGTTTTCGGAATTTGCCTTTAACCTACGCAGTACTATGGAATATACTATAGAGGGTGGAATATGCTGGCCCTGTATTTGATTACATTTTATAAATCTAACTATTTAATCAACGGAACGTCCCTTGCCCTGGTTGCGATTAGCAATATAGTCATATTTTTCAAGCGTTAAATATTTGATCGATTACTGCCTCAAAACTTGAATGCAATAAACGACTTTTCTTCAGTAGTCTTTACCAACTTCTAAAGGCGTATTTACAGTGTTTTTAGAAGTTGCCAACAGGTACACACTTTTAATTCATTTTCGTGGGTCATTCCGGACACTTAACACACACACACACACACACACTCCGGTTTAAGTTTTAAACTTTTTCCTACATAAGGTGTATGTTAAAGGACTTTATATAACACCCAACTTTGGTACTTCATCAGGGTCATTTATTATWATCATTATCACATTCAWGGAATTACTTTTAAACATTTTTTTTTGTTTTAGGAGGACTGTTCCATGGTAAAACAATATCAAATAACTTAATCGATCATTACATTCCATTTCTCCCATTGGAGAAAAAACATATTCAATTGTGTATAGAGAAAGAATTCCAAATCAGGAAAGTTTTACACCCACATGAAAATCATATAAAGTAAGTCCTGCGATTAACTATTTATTTCGGTACTGAGATAAATATTATTTGCGTTATTATAAAATAATTTACTTTCTTATTGTAACAGTACAGACGCGCTCTTCATCAACCAAATGTTCATTTCTTCAAAAAAGTTCAAAGTTTTTTCTTATTGATTTAAAATACACATGATTAAACAAAATTAGGTCTTTCAATTCACCTCTTTCAAGGTTTTGTTCCCTTTTATCATTTAGCCGTAAAAACCTTATGCATTACTGCAATTAGTAAGTAAATTATTCCATATTTGATAAATATGCTGTTTACACTCAATTTCGTTCTGTTTGCTATTTTCGTGCTATTTTCCATGCACTCACTTCAAATGTCTCACTTAGGCTGTTCTTCCCGTACCACAGTTTAATAACAATTTGTTTTTCTAGTGAAGTAATGAAGATTATTGAATGGGGACCTGATAGCTCAAAGTTATTCTCAAAAACAGGCTGCAAACGACTTGGTCCAAAGGTAGCCATCCTTGTCGATAGGCATTACAGGCATGTTTCCTTCAGCGAAAAAGACGAACTTTAAGGTACGTTTGCAGAAAATGTGTGGTTTGTTTATCAGTTTCGCGACACATCATTCGTTTTTGTTAACTTGGTATTTTTTGTCACTAAAATTCAAATAATACTTTATACATCTAGTTGATGTCCTAATATATTTATTGTGTTTAAGATACCTGCTTAATATTTATAAGTTAAACAGTTCCTTGTTTTGAAAAATAGATTTATAATGGGTGTTCAGCCGACCTTTGGTTATAAGAGTTTAATTTTGTAAATTCGTTTTTGTTTTTTGCGATTGCTGGCCTAATCTAAAATCGGTTACCTAATATAAATACTTACTTGCATATACCAAAATCGTTTAAAACTCTACTTTTGCGCATAGATTAATTATTTTATTTATACATATTTTGTTTTAATTAATTTTTGGGAATGAATAAAGATTTTGTAATTGCATGATATTTAATATCTACGATTTCTTTTGCACTTACATATTTTTATTTTATCTTAGACGACTTATATTTACGTAACTTCGGGTCCAAATGGGCAACTAATAGGCTAAATTAGATTAAGGTTAATTGAATTTAAGGAAATCACATCTTTATTCATTCTTGCACGTGGTATGATAGCAATACTTAAGAATGGTCTATCGTTCTACCAAAAAATCAATTCCAATGGATACAGTCTGTATTTTATGATTGATTCCGTAGCGTATCCAACCTCAGCAAGACTTATACATTATAAATATGTTCTGTTTTATCAACTGATATATTTTTAAGGGTATAGAATTTATGATTAGGAAGTATTTTATTAGTAAAACATTTTATACTTGCTGGTCGTTAACTATGATATTCCTTTGTACAAGAAAAACCTAGATAGTTTGATTTAGATAAAACATAATTGAAATTTCTTTAGGGATTAATTAAATAATTTATATTTTTTCTCGTACTCCTTTCCAAGCGTTATTTTGAAAACCAGTAGGGCATTCATGAGGTTGGGAAAGCATTTGTTTTGTTTTTGCCAAGTGCATGAATATTGCCGCACATTTTTTTCTTTATTAAATTATTTCTGATGTTAATATGTACTGGGCGCCTGCTGAGCTTCGACTTAGTATAAGAAGCCGGTCTGATTTTCTGCGGAAATGTTTTATGTAAAAAGAAATAGAATATCTGGGTCTTTTCGGCATGTAACGCCTTAAACAACCGAATAATGCGAACCACAACGACGAAATCAATAAACTGGCCAACACATGTATTAGTTTAACATTTCCTGTGTCGAAATAAATTTAACTTATTGTTGAGTTATCATTTGTAGTTTATTCATTGTTAATTCTAGTGAGATTTAATGAAATGGGCTACTTTCACATCCCCATTAAGGACATTATTTACCGTTGTTTTCTAATTATTTTAACTTATATACATATAAACAATTTTTATTTGCAGCAAAAAAACCATTTTTGCTTAATTTATGCTATTTGTTGTGTTCTTTGCCATTGTGAAAAGCTATCACATTCAGAAACAAGAGAATAACCCTTTTCATCGAGATGTTTGTTCACGCAAAAGATTCAAATTCGATCAACAAAAAGAAAATGCTATGAAACCATGATGAAGTCAAATTTCAGCTTCGATTTTTTTTTCATTGATAATCTTTTATAACTAGGATTCAGCTAGACACCGGATATCCGCGTTCATTATTATTCATTACTTAAGATGTGAGAAGCTGCACTTTTTTCTCTCTCAGTTCAACTTGGTGTCAGTGAAAAATCATGACCAACTTTTAAATCCTTACTTGAAACAATAGCAACCAATCCTACTCGACTCATAGAATAAACCAAAATACAATTTTAAAAACATTTATTACTGTACAAACAAATAGTTCAACATTTCTCAGCTCTAAACAATTAAATTTTGCTAGGCAAGATATCAAAAGATTCACTGTTCATATGGCTTTTGGGTCTACATTGCTTAACATAAGGCTACAGTTGTAAAACTAGACATACGCGGTGATGATAGACTTGATAATGACAATAGACTTGATAATGATAAATAATAAATAGTTATTTTATTTAAGGGCATCATATTTTGCCTGAATGACTTAATATTTTGGAAAATACTTTAAAGCTTGATTTGCAAAAGTCTAACCAGTTTAAATATTTCCTGTGCAAATAGTCTGGAATGTTAAATATTCCCAGGCTTAAAAAAGCCAGATGTTAATGTACATATTGATAATATCTAAGTGTATTTATATTATATGCCAGATTTGATTATTTAAACTAAGCCATACCTAAACATTATTGAGTACCCTTTTTTTCATATATAAAAAGTGATAGTTTTTGCCTCAATTAAATTTATCGCAATTGTGAATGTATATGTATAGTAAGGTTACAGTATAAAATACAATGTTTAGATCTATTTTATGTAAAAATATGATAGTTTTTATCATGTTCAAGAAAACTGATGTGTATAACTTCCCTTTAATTATCAATTTTATTAATTAATTGTCAAACAAATAAGCAGACTAATGTGAGAGCTAAGATATTAGAAAGCGTTTCTTTGATAATAAGACATTGTACAGCTATGGTATTAATTTGCAGTCTGAAGGCGCTTTACAAATACCTAATGAATAATCTTAGCTCCCACTTCTATGTCACATAAATACATGTACAGCAACGGTTCACAGTTTTATTGCTACACATACTTTACTTTGTTGAAGGTAAATTTTTGTTCCCAATTAATATATGTATTTATTATGCACATTTAAATATGCAGATGAGATACCTTTTCCTATGAGTACAACACTAAAGGTCAATTTTAATAGTCAATACTAACTCTTAATATCCATTCCTGAGTTGTTCAATAATAATATTACAAGTGCTTAAATGTATACATATATAAATAATTATTGAATGGTAAACATTAAAAAAGACAAGATCAATAGGCAAGGCAGGTAGTCAAATTAGGCAAGCTTTAATATCTTAATAGGAAAATGTATGACTCTGGAGTCATCAAAATTAATCTTAATATGTCAAGTATAATTCTTAGGCTGGACTAGTAAATGGCTTAATAGTAAAACTAAATACCACATTTTATAACATGCTAACAAGTATAATCACTACTCCACTTATGTTAAGTAAATAAAATAGTAAATCACATAAATTAGTACATAGCAAATGAGAAGAGAAGTCTGGACTTTATCAATGAATTTCTTATTGAAACTACTTTTTATAAAATAATGTAAGGCACAATTCCTGTCCTCAATTTCCAACCCAAAATACTTTCCTCAATAAATAATGCGTGACCTAAATAAGTCCGGAACCAAAATAGTTACGTTTTCCTAGTTAATTCGGTTTACTGATAAAACTCCACATTTCTCTTTCATAAACTACTTGAAAAAATACTGCAAACCGATCGTTCAAAGGTCGCCGTTTTCAATACCCTTATTCAGATCATTTACCACTCTTCCTAGGGCCTCTCGGTACTCGCTGTCCCTTTTGAAGATGGCATCCAAGAACCTTTCATTTCCAAAGAAGGAAAACACGCTTTCCACCCTGTTCACCGACTTGTCGGTCAAGTGCCTGCAAATAATTGATTGCAAAATTTTTTGGGAATCGCCCAATACTTGCACCAAGTAGTTTCGATCGTAACTGAAGTCCACTTCGTAAAAGGATATGATGGTCATTGCTGCAAGCGAATTTCATGTAAGTTGTATATCGTAGAAGCGGATTCGCTTTATTTGTAGTTGTTGAAAAGAGATACCTCACGTTCTCGTTATTTCAAAAACAAATACTTTATCAAAGAGAATATAGTCTAAAACTTGGTGCTAATTCTACGCCAGCCAAAGGCTTAAACAGTAAAAAAACGAATTTGTAAATGAAAATACTTAATAAATGCTTCTTAAAATTTCAAAATGGTTCGGCTATTGTTTGCAAAAAACTAGCTGATAATTCGTTGGTAAATTTTTGAACAAGCCCTCTCTCAATACTTCTTGTTTGCCAATAAATGTAGATTTTTTAAGTTCATTTAATTATCATTAACTATTTCTTATTTAAACTAAGCAACATTAGGTTAGTACATGAAGTGAACCAAAGTATCATGCACCCAAACGAAGCTATTTTATCAAAATTGCAATCTCAATAATAAGATTGAATCCAAACCAAAAAAATGTTAGTAAATTCTCATCAAACGACCAGATATTCACATAAAACATGCTACTTACTTAATATTTTTTGAAAGTCTTTTGTTAGAACAATATTGCTTCTTAGACGAAGACTAAGCTGATTTATTTTCCAATTCTTGTCGGTCAAATCGAAAATATTGATTTTTGTCGAAAATCGCTCTTCTGTACTTTGTATCTGGTTTAGCAAATTTAAGGTCCAATTATATTTTTAAGAAGCTAAAATTTGCTGGTTGATATTCTAAAAATGGCACTGCCCTGTATGGGACTGTTCTATTATGCCGATTTTTTTGCATGTCTATGGCGTGGAAGTCTCTTTATTCTTTATCTACCCGCGCTGCAGACGCGGCTTATCAAATTCTTTCCTTTCACTATTTGCACCAACTTTTCCTGCTGCTTCAACTAAATCGTTATAATAAATATATTACGCTTTGATAAAGTATTCGTGTTCTAAATACCAAACTTGAGAAAACGTATTCATTCTTGAATCATAATAAGGAACGTGAATAAATTCTTCATTTTCAACAACTCTCAAGTAAAAAAAAAAGATAAACAAGTTTCAATTTGACTTTATTTCTTATGATAATGTTTACTCAAAACATTTCTTCAACATTTATGTCGATTATCTTATTTTATCATCAATTTTATATGGACTTTTTATATTGAGACTTACCGGCCATTCTGAATTTGTTCTTGAATTTTTCGGCAAACCTAAGGTCTTCATCAGTTAACAAATTGTTCCTGTGCAAAACGCCCAATTTGATTACCACTTTTATGATGTTCTTTATCAGCTTTTCGGCTTCTTTTTTATTGTTTGACTAAAAAATGCAGAACAATCGCAGTTACAAAACATTCAATCGGTGCGGGAACGCTTCTAATATAAGCGCTTCCGCCAGGAATATGGGTTGTAATTTGTTGTAAGTGCGATTATTACTAACGGATAAGTGAATTTTTTTTATTTGAAAGTGTTAGTTGGTGTTGTAAAATGGTGTTATTTTACTATCGATAGTGGAAGCAATCAAATGAAAAATAAGAACACTTACGTATTGTTTGGCTAACCGATAAAGGTTATCCAAAAGAGAGGCAGTGACATCGTCTATGAATACTTTTGCTATATTCTTTCCGGCCATTCTGCTCAAGATCTTCTTTTGGGCTCTCAGCCCAATATCTCGCGCTTTGAACGTGCTCTCCGTCATGACTAGAATAACGTTAAATTTTAAGTGGAATTATCATCAATTGCTTAATACTAATATATTTAGTGCTATAACAAGAAAATGTTCTTGCATATACAGGGTGAGTCAGTAAAGCGACTGCGCAATTGCATAAAAAAACGTTATAAAAGTGTTGTGGTTGCGTATAAAGTATTTCTTATTGGTGCTTTGAAATATTCATGGTTAAAATTAATTTATGTCCTCCAAATTCGTATATTTATATTCTTTAAGTATTTATATGTTGTACCAAAAATAATGAAGGTCACAAACAACAGTAATCAAAACATTTACTATCAAAATGAACAATGATGTTAAATGAATAAATGAGTACTTGAAAGTACCAGAAAATAATTATTTACCTGCATGAGCTCCAACACTTTTTTGTGTACAATCTCAAAATATATCTACCTTGATTCAAGTTTAACATTACACTATTTAACCGATTGAAAACATAAGAACAAACACAACAGATTGAAAGTTCGCTGCTTAAAACACTGTTTGCAGATACAAAGCAACATTAGTTTATCACCACCTGTATGGATTTCTCAACATTAATAAGCGATAAGCTATGATGGTTTCATGCATTTGTACTGAAAGTGACTAACTGGGCAAATATTGTTAATTTAAACCAGTGCAAATTTCCAGCAAATAGAGTGACTAAAATCCGAAGTGATTTAGTTTAGAAAAACATTTTATAATTGCGTTTTAGAAATTACCTCACAAACCTTCAAAAAACATAAGCTCCGTTAGAACACAAAACATTTACTTGCAGATCTATCAATGCAATATCAAGTTACACACATTCATATTCGTTTGGAAAGCACAACAACCTCAATGCGTCGTTAAAATAACCATGTAGTAGCGGAAGTAGGAAATGTAAAAATAATTTCATTTTTCATTTTGATAACACCTACGTAGACCGGAGCTTCAAATGATAAGCTAATGTTATCGAAAGAGTCATTTGGTTAGTGGTTTGAGTCAATATTGTTACAATTTATAACATAAAGCTGCCCTAATGCGACAAACTGTTAGTATATCCCTTATTGTAAAACTGATAATGCTTTCTGATCAAAAGCTGCAGATAATGTAAAAATAATGCAGGTTTTTTGTTCCACCACTCGAAAAGTAAGTTGTTTTAAAGCCGGTGGTCTGGGGTTCTTATTCAAATAAACAATATAGATTTAGAGATGGGTCTTTTTAGAAAATATATCATTTTTTTATTTGGCCGAATTTGATAATTGTAACTCCGTTAGAATCATTGTCAAAAGTTTAATCACAGCCGAGATACGTCGTCATTTTGATTTTTCCTCCAAATTAACTCTTAAAAGATTGTGTTGAAACAGTTTTTATGAAGGGTCAGGTGTATTCATAAGTTTTTTTAAATATTACGGCTTTTTTGCAGTAAATTGAAACAGATACCCTTAATATTTATGCAGTATAAAAAGCTCTCCAAAAATGCATTTCCTTCTTTAGAAATTTGGTACAATACACATTTCATTTGTTTATTTTCTTTGCCTCTTAACACAGGAAAGCTATGCAGTTTTTTGAATTAAACATAAGATTTTCGGCACGGTTTTAAGCAAAAATCGCAAAATGAAAAGGTTTAATTGGTGGCAGAATATTAAATACCAAAAAGAATGATGGGTCCTTTAAAGCAAACCCATGTAGTTTTTTTATACCTGATCATCATCATCATCAACACTTGTTTTTGAAAAACACCATGATTTCGCAACTTTTCCTAATTTAACCGACTTCGTATCTCTTACGATTTCGGAAATCCCATGCAATGCATCCTTATCTTGGACACCCTGTATATTTTAATTATTTCGCGAGCCTTGTTTAGCCACCCGACTTGACCAACTTTCATTTCAAAGTTATGTTCTCAGCAAGCGCCAAATAGTTAATTTTGCAGAATTTAATCAAATACAGGTACAACTTTTATGTACACGGGGATATAATGGAAGCGGAGGAACATTTTTATAGTAGAACTGGTAGAGTTTTCTTTCTCTCCTTTCAAAAGAACAGTTAATTTGAATACGAAAACAACGAAGAGAATATTTCTCATTTACTTTGCCCGGAAATTGAAATCTCGATGGGTAATTTTGGCCGCTCATTAAATAAACTAAACTCAACTAAATCATCATTTGATTGCTGTTTGAAAGACAGTAATAAAATTATCTTTTTATGTATGTATATCGATATAATATTCCCTTGTCAACGAGCTAGTAGACAAATATTTGCTAAACATCGCTACGCGTTTCATAATAAAGTGCGCTTATATGTAGTACCTACTTTGCTCTATTAATTTGAGTAATTGCTCTAAAGGGATCGGCGCTTATTTACGACTTAAATTCTGCGAAATAACGTTGCCCTAGCTCCCTCCCTATTAACGTTTTAAATTACTCCTCAGGGTGCTGTGGAATGCTTTAATTGAATATTAAATGATCTAATAGCGAAGCAAATAAGAAAATATGTGCTCAAAAAACTTACCTGGTTTCCTCATTGAAACGATTCCTTGAAATTCTCGAAACTTGGCGTGTGTTAAGGAGTGAAATTATAAAAAAGCCTCTAAAAATAAAAACATAATTGAACCAAAAAAATAGCCGGGTCGACTTCAGCTAAATAATAAAAGCAAATTGTATGTGCAATAATATTCATGGAGCCCTGGAAACTACAAGGACTAATGGAAAATTAATTCATATCCAGAGAATTGTGCATGTTTAAAGGTATTTGTATTCTGCTGGGCTCCAGATAGCGAACTATACAGGGGGCACACATTAATCTAATCTTATGAAGGTCAGAAAATTACTTACAAAGGCAATGAGAACATTCTGTAGCTACGTATTGATATACCAGCCAACATTCCAATTCCACCATAGCTGACATTTTGGACTTGATTGCGAATAGTCTTCTTAGTTCTGGCAGTGAATTATTAACTTATGGACTTTCCGGTTGTATCATCTGCAAACGAAGGAAATAGACGTTAAAATTTCATGTATGTGACTACGAACTCAATTACTTGTGTAAGGTCTTTGTGAATAAAAGCAATAAAATCTTCATCAAGTGACTTCATCTGTAAAATGTAAAAAGCGACGAAATTACCGAAGTAAAGGTCATTAAATGGTTTCCGTTTTAGGATTTAAGTAGCGTAACGCAACGAACGGTTGTGCAAAACGCGATAGGTATTTAAGCTCAGAGGAATAATGCATTTAATAAATACAGCATAAAATTTTAGCATGTTTGTTTGGCTTTTAAAGAGAAAGTCAAAATTAATTTTTGCTGAAGAAATGACAATAGCCAAAGTCTTTACTTTTGTGCCTGTAAACGAAACATTATGGGATTCGCAGTAAAATCCTCAAGAGATAACGTAGGTTTTACCGTAGTTATTTTGTATGTAAATTAATTAATATCATTGTGTGCTATTTTTACTCGGGTTTTATCATGGTCACGAAGAACTACAACATGCCAACTTATCTATTCATAAACATACATTAATAAAAGTTGAAATTCAATAGCAAAAAACAATCAGGTCGGACTAGGGTTTTGCCACTTTTGAATCGTTTAAAAGATTAGAGTCATATTTCTGATCGGGTTGAAATTATCCGAACACTTGTAAATATTTTTTTATATCGATTAGCTTTTGTCAGCAATTCCGACCCTCAGAAGAGATCGGACCCAACATTTCAAATTGCAACAGCTTGTTTCTGGGAGTGCAGAAAGTTTAGTAATTCGTAAGTCCATTTTGGATAAGCGTTTTGACAATTCTCTCTTTAGATATCGAGCAAGTCCTAATCTCCATATACATAGACTCAAATTAATGACTTATTCAACATATTCAATGCTTAATTGGAAGCGGTTGAGAATATGAAAATAACATGTCTTTCCAGATATTATTTTTTAATTATTTATGATAAAAATTAATATATTTTTAGTTATCATCATCTTAGCATAGCACGTTTCGAGAATTTCTTTCGCTTCGCCTCTGTCTCGATTTATTTTCACAAATTCACAACCTTCAAAGAGATGGAAGACAAACTAACAGGTCAGTTTTGAACACAGCTTATTTCTTGAAAACGTTCAAACACTTGAGTGTATCGAGAAATATGTTTTTCTCCTTTGGAGTGCCTGTTGAATTATTGAACATTTTCAGTTAAGTCTCGATAACTATTGAAAATATTATGATTTTCGTAGTCTAGATAACCATATTTGCCGTATAGAACTTTCTGTGAAATTCTGCATCGTTTAAAAGGTGGAAGCAGCAAAAAATGTCTCAATTTTAGGGCATCTTGGTCTTTAAGGGCCGATATCTCGGTAACGGTTCGAAATATCTGATTACTCATAATAATCTGTTCAGTAAAACGTTTCGAGAACTTTGTTAAAATGCTACGTTGAACATTAGGCTTGAACAAAAATTAATAGAAAAAGTTATTTACAGATATCGATTTAAAAATTGATAGTTATACTGGAAATATGGAAAAACGTGTTTTGAAGAAGTTTTGGCAAAAAGTTGAAGTGACAAGATTTTTTGCAACAAAAGTCAAAAACATTAGTTGTTCATAAATAAACTCTACCAGGAGAACTAAGTATTACCAAAAACTTTCCCAAAGTGGAAATTACAAAAATCTAGAATATGAAAGAAACTATTATACCTCACTCATACAAAAACAAATTTATTAGGATAATGATCCTATTGAATTAATTTATTTTATAAATCAATTGTGTAATTAAACAACTATTCAAATACGTTTTCGATTTGCGTGTCCTTACAAAGAATATATAAGCAATCGAAAACAACTGGCGCACGTGAAAGCTGATAGATTTTGATCAGCTTGAATGTATTCTATGTACCTACTGAATGATTGTGCTGACTTTGTTATTCAAACGCACTCTACCTGCCGTTTAGATTAATGTTAATCACAAAAATAGATTGAAAGAACCAGAGTAAAAAAATAGAATGCAAATGTACTTCGCTGTTCTGTTTCTAGCAAAAGCATTTAGGGTAGTCTAAATAAGTACATTGAAAAATAGCAAATAATTCCACGTCAAAATAATATTTGTTCTTCGAATAGCATTGACTGAAAATAGTTGTACAATATAAGATAGCTCCAAGCGACCCTGCAATTAATAGCTAATTTTACCATACAGGATGTCCTTCTTTACCAAACAGTTTGCTATAAAAACTCGATACCTCGAATTTTATCTAAAAAGAGCCGGTTGAAAATCAGCATTTGGCGATAGATTCTTTCAAAGATTAAACAACTTTTTTTTAATCAGTTGACGCCCTTGAAGAAGCTCACTTATTAAGATCCTTTTTCGTAAATTTTCTGGTTTTCAAGACCACGAAAATTTAGCTGTGTTTTTCATTTTAAAAACCAGACCCCTATTAGGTCCATTAAATAGCGAAATATAATTCTTGAAGTGTTTTCGTTGCGTTTACAATGTTAGCGAGGAAAATGGTGAAATATGATCGAATGCATGTGGATAATTGTATGAAATTCTATCTTTTAGCGGAAGCTGGCCGGCATTAGCACTAAACAAACAATTATTTTCTTTTACAGTTTTCATTAAACAATTGTCAGATTTTATATCTGATATATCGATATTTTATTGAACATATTCTGGGAAATAAAAACACTATTTTAGGGGCTTAGATTGCGCACCGAARGAGACAAAATCACGGGTCGCCCAATTTATTTTGTCTAAAATCTAAGAATTTCATTCCGGATAATCTACTAATTTGGAAAAGTAATTTTCAGGGYAAGAAAAAATATTTATRCAGGACCCMTGAATGTTGCGCCCCAATAACTGGACACTTTCTATAACACATATTTTCGTAACTCGAAAAACAATCTAGAATATAAGCTAACCAGAATAGAAGTTATGTGCCACACACGATCCTCGTAAAAACGACSTAAAAGGTAGACTAAATATATAAAATATATGCAAAATCTATTGCGAATCCTGGCCACTGAGCAGTTCAGAAATATAATAAATACAAATTTGAGAAACTTGCCAAAATAAATGTCAATGGAAATTGAGCTGTGGTACAAATGCACTACAAAAAATGCAGTCGAAGTTGCCTCGTTTAAAACTCATATCGGTAGTCATCAGTAAAAATTTAGCTATTTGCTGTCTCAACAGACTGCATAGTTTACGTATTGTGAATGGATTTCCACACGTTAAAAATGCGGCCTTTGTGTCGTAAATAATATACCAAGACGAAGTAAGAGACCAGACTCTAAATTAAAAAATTAAATTTTATTAAGCCAAAATCGACACGATTAAAATGATATCTCGATTTAACCAGTTATCGATTGAGTTTTCGAGTGATATAAAATTAAAAACGAGGTGCTGATATTTCAAAGCTGAATAACTACACAATTTTTCAGTCTTCTGAATTTTTCTAAGAGCGGGTATAAAGAATTATTGAACTGATAATTTAATATGAAATAAATGTTGCGCAAATGGCCTTTGGAAATTAAAGCAAATAAAAAAATGAAATACAAAAATACTATATGTATCAGTTGAAAAAATGCGGGAACTAACATCAGGTTAACTTAACTCTAAAACAAATACTCGACTCACATTCAATCAAGTCCACTTAAAAGCAATTTCACTCTTGACTTCGCTATAAATACATGCACTTGTTAACCCTCAGTGATATTGAAATAATTTAGCAAATGCCAATTACATGAACCAGATCTCTCTGCTAACTTCTTCCTGATTTGTTTTAAAGCTCGCAGTAATTTTATAGGTCGATTTAATGAAAAGCTTTAGGAAAATTAATTCGTTACTGTTAATTCACTGTCTAAGTCCTTTTTTAAAACTTCCAAGTCACTTTAAAATGCTTTATACTGTTTTTCGAGAAAAGTAACCAAAGGTTGCAAAAAATTAATATTACGTTAACTATTAATAATTTCAGCAGCATTTGGCGGGTTAATGTAGATTGTTCAATACGCATTTTTTCTTAAGGCAGTTTTTAAAAAGTGGTTGGGTTGGTAATAAGTTTGAAGATTCATGTAAGACGGACCTGCTAAAGCTGGCACGCGCTTGGAAACCCGATAAAGGAAACCGTTAAAAGGAAGGACGGGTGGGTTACCTTCACCTGGCCTGTTCTAGCAGATGGTCGTTATTTTTTTTATATCAAAGGCTGTAGATTATTTGGCGGGTTTCACAATGGGGTTCTTAGACATCAAGCACGACTTACAGGCCACTAAGATGATGAATTCCGTTTTTAAAACGTCTTTCGTTAATTAATTAAATAAGCAGTTCGCAATTCTTTTTTTTTTCACACTCTTGCTGGGATAATTTCTACTTTTCCATTGTAAAGTAAAATCATGGTGTCAGGGACCTCAGTAGGTGTTCAAAAATGGTTCGCAAATTGATGTCCGTAGGTGGAGACCAAGTATTTTAACAGTTATCGAGATAATCTAGAATGTTTTGCGAGTTTGAGAACAATAAATAGCTAGTGGAGATACTGGCATAATATGCACAGCTATTCATTTTGCAGTAGAAAAATAATTCTGAATGCACATTTAAAAAATTATTCAAACTTGTTCAATTGCACAAACGTTTTGTTCTGTGTTGTTTATCGGAAATTGTTTGATTTTGAATCTTTAAATCAACTTTAAATTGCTCTAAAAAACACCAACTATTTTCACTCGCATAACATTTCTATCATTTTCTTCTTTCTCTGGCTGAATTTGAAATTCAGATTTAGTTTTTTTGTCATATCTGATTCTCGTTTAATGATCTGAAGAAGAGGAACATTTTTTGCCAAAACTGATCATGAAAAGTTCGCAGCTTGCAAACAATTTTTACTAACATGGATATTCAGAATTTTTTTTTTGTTCCCAATCTTAATCTTCGGTGGGTAGACAACAAATCAGAATTGAGACAATGAACAAATATCTAATTGTTCAAAACTTTCAAAGAAATGAAAAGAAAATTCTAATAAATATTGAAAATTTCTGTACAATAAATGCAACAGTTTGCAAAATGAAGCGTTGATTTTACCATTTGTTGAGTAAACCCAATGGAAACTTGTTTATTCTGAAGTTTCAAACGATGAGATCATGGTCCATTGCGTCTTTTTGAGAGAGGCTTATATGTATGAGTAAGTCTACCTGTTCTGACGCCTGACCTCTAAAGGAATGTAATATTGCTTTAAATATTTCTTCCAAGTCACGACTTACGGCTTATAATAACTACCGATTCCACAGGGTGTTGTGGGCTGGGTATATGATACAGTCGAACGAATTGACAAATCGAAAACTTTGTCAAAAATCTAAATTGAGAAATAATAATTATAATAAGTTACTATTACTCCGTGTCATAGAAAATATATTGAACGGCTTGATTAACAGACAGATGTATTAACAATCTGATTTTAAATTTAACAAGAAATATTAACATCAAACATAGCTATTTTAAGCTTGAGTAACACACTTTGCGATAAACTTATATTTTCTTTAAAAAAAATGACGTTATTTTAGTTTTTAACACTGCGAAACTTCACCGACTAAATGAATCGACGACACTAAAAATACATTTATTTACTCCATTGAAACAAAAATTATTATATTTATATATAAAAAGACTATTGAAAGAATTATTTACTTTACAAAAGTGTACTAATCTGAGAAACATTTAAATTTGTTTGTTATGATAAAGTATTTTCTTTGCGGTACGTTCTTTGATTCTCACTTTGCAACATCCTAATTTTGAAAATATAAATCAATTATTTCCAATGCAACATCCTGTCTATGACTCCTTCGTCTGATGCTAATTAATAAAACAAATTAACAAGGAATTATCCCAACTATGGAAGAGTACGAAGGGTACTTAAAAAATCTGCACCATCGCTTTAACAACAGTTGACCAAAAATAATCATTTTTCAAAAAATCGCGTGAGAGAATTTCATCACATGTAGTTTGTGCGCAAAATGTACTTTCGGTCTCTTGAAACGCTAAATGCTTGAATTCGTGACTTCTACAATTTACGATTCAAATGTACTTAAACTTGGCTTGCTAATGTTGAACATTGCACATTGTTAATTATATTAATAACCACAGTATCCGAGTTACGCCAAAAGAAAATTTACACGGTGTCCGTTCGAAATAATCGTAAAAAATACGTTTAGAAATGTTCGCAATTGGATTTGAGACAGATTATAGAAGATAATTTTAGGGCTAGGACCTCTTATTATACACCGCATACACATATTTATATCGCTGATAAAATTTAAATAAAGATCGGTTATATTATTCGTTATTAATTTGCCAAATTTTCGAAAAAGCCTATATTTTCTAAGTATACTTTAATTATCATGAGATTCATCAAATTAAAATGAATGAAAATCAAATTATTCTGATGATGAGTGATATGTCCCCGAGCTGCACAGGAGTTGAACCATTCACAAACATACATAAGCAGTAAAATGTTTGTATGTTTTCAGAGTTTTTAAAATACCCGGTATATTAATTATAATATAATTATGTTAAACAATTCCAATACATGCTTAAAAAACCTTCTTGGAATGAAGAAATTCATTCATTTACTCATGCATTTCAAATTTGAGAATGATGGGCATTAAGAAGTGGTACTAAAATATATAGAGGGTGTGTAGTCATGATTGATATAATTAACAACTTTTGTTCAGAAAAGTTTACTTTTAAATCGACAATGTTTATCAAATTTACTATGCTAGCAATTTCCACTTTTAAGAAACATTAACAGGTTTTTTTAGTAAAGTATGTGTAAAATACTTTGTTCTTGCGTTTTTCTACAGGTTAGTAAGTATTATGTGAGCTCAAAAGAAAATTTATTTTATAAAAAAATATGATTTACGACCTCTGCCTTCAGCGCGGGTATTATTTTGTCACAAAAATGCCTACCTAAATCCAGGGTTTTTCTTTGATCTGGTGATTTAGATAACTTGTTCAGAAAACTGGCGGATACATTCTGTATTTGTATGGATATGAAGTGGTGTTTATATGTGTAAATACAGTAGAAAACCCAATTGACAAAAGTAGATACAAAATTTTTTTATGTTACTTTTACGTAGTTTTTCGCATTCGATCAATAAAAAAAATATATTCTCTCTTAAACAATTTATTTTTCTTCTTACTTTCGTGGAATTAACTGAATGAAGATACTAGAGGTAGTAAACGAAAGGAAATGCGATGGGGTTTAAACTTTGTTCAAGTTGGTTAGTGTAAAGCGATAAATTTATTTCTGGAACTTTTATTCAGGGAAGTTTAACTTTTAGTAGCAGTTAACTGCCAACCATCAACGCTTTTCAGAAGCAGTAACTAGTTTTTTTCGCAAAATATTTGGAAAAATACTTTTTTTGCATTTTCTCTACAAGTTAGTAGGTTTTTGGTAAAATTTGCATTATATCTTACATGTTACAATTAGCAGCCATTGATATAACAAACTTCCCAGCGACGTACTAACCATAGATGTCGAAGTTCTTATAGGGAATTATAGAAACATTTCCTAGAGAGTAAATCTCGGATGTTCAAAAAGATGAGAAATTTTCTAATTGTATGAAAGCGTTTTAGTGCGATAAAGTTTCAACCGATTATTCTAGGAGCGGTTGATTTAATTATTTTAAGCGATGGGTTGGTTTAAGAAATTTGCCTCAGCTGAGCTGAAGAGAAAATTGAACATGATTTATGTCTTTAGCGCGGGTATTATTTTGTAACAAAACCACTTAAATCCACGGTTTTTTTTWATCTGGCGATTAAGATAATTTGTTCGGTAACCGGCTGGAGACATCCTGTATTTATATTAATGACCAGTTTATTAAACAATGTCTGAGTCATTTTCMCGCAAGTAGAGTGCAAATGGGTAAATGCAGTAAAACAGCCAACAAACAATTCTTAGTACAGAGGATATTTAAAATATAAWTTAAAAATRCAGTTCATGCTAAACATCACTCCGGTTAACGAAAGTGGGCATATTCGCTAGCCACGGAAATCAATAGCGAACAAGGCTAATAAATGTAAAACAGAAGGAATGATTCATTAAAAAATACACTTACCAATTAACTAAACAAATCCGGTTGCTATGACAACACAGAAGAAAACATGACAAATTATTGATATTTTTGAATCGGCACTGGGAACCATGGATTGTTGAGCGCAGCTTTACGGAAAAAGCTGTAGCTGAATAGCGGTTGAACCGATGTGGATTTTATGAACAAATTGTGTTCAAATAGCCCGTTACTGAAGAAGCAAATAAATACCTTCCACTAGTCTGCGGTAGCCGCGCAAAACAGCAAAAAAATGTGAATTGAAGAAATTTAGGGAGAGGGAACATCAATGCGTCGACATGGAAAGCACAAGACCTACATTTGCGCATCGCATTAGTGAGAGGAAATGCGGTTTACCCATAGGCAACCATCAATAAGAAGTTTTTAAAAAATTGCACAATAAATACACATAGTAATAAAGGAATGTGGCATAACTGAAAACTGAGAAAGAATGTTTCTGCTAAGATAGGGCTTTAAGCAGTTTGCCTAAAATTTGGAGCTCTTCTCAAAGCCATCATCTGGTTATCAGAGTTTCTTCTGAATATTTCAGTAACGTGATTTTTTTAAAAGTTTTTACCCTGAAGTCAATTCATTAGAAATTAGTAGATATCGTCGAACCAGTAAGTTCAAAAAACATTTTTTATTCGAATGAATCTAAAAGGGCCATTTTTCGACCGGAGCGATGATCATAAAGAAGATCATTGCACATGTGCGCAAAAGTAAAGTGACAGATTAAACCTGTCACTGTTATTATATTTTTTAAAGTATTTTTTATTAGAATGAATCTAAAAGTGCCATTTTTAGATCAGAAGCGATGGTCATAAAGAAGCACTTTTCTT